CCCTAGTACATTCATCTCGCTGTATCAAATTCGCGTTATGAAAACACGCGGCGTTACAGGAGAGCAGACTGCACTGAAATCCTCCTCCGTCCGCTTTGCAATCAAACACGTAACAACACTCTTTACTAAACTATGTTTTATTTTACCAGGTAAGGCCCACTGAGCGATGTAGCTCCTTTTCAGGAGCGATCTGGCCATCACAAATGACAGCCCAACGAAGTGGTGGCTTATCAAGTGGAAATTCCTCGCAGCCAAATACTCTCGACACGTGATGTCGATTCTAAACGTGGAGGGAACAACCAGAGGGCCCGCAGAAACATCGACACGACCACGGGGAGAGAGAGAGAGACGCCAACTCCACATATAGAGCAGCAGGCATCGTCAGGGTCGGAATAGAACCCAGGACCTCCTGCATACCAGGCGAGGTAGTTAACATCTCATAGCCACTGTGATGATGATGAGGCCACAAATTCCACATATACAGCAGCAGGCATCGTCAGGGTCGGAATAGAACCCAGGACCTCTTGCACACCAGGCGAGTAGTCAACATCTCATAGCCACCGTGGCGCCCCAATATTAGTTGGTGATGCTGCGGCTGCGTTGGCAATGGTGCAACAAGCAGAGTTAACTAAACGAAACGTCAACACATTCATCAGTGTTTAAAAGATATATAATAATCAGCGTCATCTCTTGGAATCGACGCAAGCGCCTTTGGAGCCATGTGCTTATCACCTTCAACGGTGCCAGTTCAACCCCCCGATGGACGCTTGGACAGCTGAATGGAGTTCAAAGGAAGTCGCAGACACCGCCTTGTTGTGAAATACCCAACGCAGAAGATCCCTTGGGTTTGAGCTTCCACGAAGCTGCCCATGGTCCACCCCTAAACCGCATCCACTGCACAAACCATGGCAGCGGTAGCTGCGGATGGTAGCTGACGATGTGAAATGTGAAACTCTCCAGCAGTAGCGGTGCGACTGTGGCCATCCAGAACAGAGACCTACACAACGTGGGACGACGCAATTCCCGATCCACAAATACGAAGGAGACATCATCACAGCTACGACGACGACGACGATGATGACACACGACTCCGCTACTGCTCCTGACGTGGTAGTCTGCTGGCTTCACCACCTGAGTGTCACGTGGTAGTCTGCTGGCTTCACCACCTGAGTGTGACGTGGTAGTCTGCTGGCTTCACCACCTGAGTGTCACGTGGTAGTCTGCTGGCTTTACCACCTGGGTGTGACGCGGTAGTCTGCTGGCCTCACCACCTGAGTGTCACGTGGTAGTCTGCTGGCTTCACCACCTGAGTGTCACGTGGTAGTCTGCTGGCTTCACCACCTGAGTGTGACGTGGTAGTCTGCTGGCTTCACCACCTGAGTGTCACGTGGTAGTCTGCTGGCCTCACCACCTGAGTGTGACGTGGTAGTCTGCTGGCTTCACCACCTGAGTGTCACGTGGTAGTCTGCTGGCTTCACCACCTGAGTGTGACGTGGTAGTCTGCTGGCTTCACCACCTGAGTGTCACGTGGTAGTCTGCTGGCTTCACCACCTGAGTGTCACGTGGTAGTCTGCTGGCTTCACCACCTGGGTGTGACGTGGTAGACTGCTGGCTTCACCACCTGGGTGTGACGTGGTAGTCTGCTGGCTTCACAACCTGAGTGTGACGTGGTAGTCTGCTGGCCTCACCACCTGAGTGTCACGTGGTAGTCTGCTGGCTTCACCACCTGGGTGTGACGTGGTAGTCTGCTGGCCTCACCACCTGGGTGTGACGTGGTAGTCTGCTGGCCTCACCACCTGAGTGTCACGTGGTAGTCTGCTGGCTTCACCACCTGAGTGTCACGTGGTAGTCTGCTGGCTTCACCACCTGAGTCTGACGTGGTAGACTACTGGCTTCACCACCTGAGTGTCACGTGGTAGTCTGCGGCTGCTGTGTCTGTAGCAGCAGCAGCCGCACTACAAGGAGAAGAAGAGAAGCGACATTTCGGGAAATGTGCTGCAAAGAGCCATTGCCCGAAACGTCGCCTTTTATATAATTCCCTTTTCAGGCCACACCACACAGTGTAGTTGGTGACGCGGATCGTGTTGTTGTTGTTGTTGTTTATTGTTCTTGTGTACCGCTACAAATGTGGCAGAAGCAGCATGAACAAACAATGCCAACAACGTTGGCATTGTTTGTTCTGTAAGCAGCTGTTCTTGCCTGCACCTCTGACGCGTTCTGTTCCGATGCTGCCTGCGACCCTCCGTAGGGATCCCTCTGATGTGCCTCTCCGTGCGCTGTGCTGACGCGCACCACGGATCTCCCTTGCAAGCTAGCTGGGTAACTGGCTCTGTTGCACTTTCCGTGCAACAAATGAACATTGATCGATTCAATTCCTCCTACTAAAAAAAGTGTCTTGAGACTCAATGAGGCCATCCTGGGTAAAACAAGCGTAATATTACATTACAGTAAATATTAATTAACAAAAAACCCCGCTAATCTTTACCCCCCCCCCCACCACTCTCCCACCACTCTCCCACCGCAGCAGGCAGTGCTGTGGTGTGGGGCGTGCGCTGGCGATTCCCTCCCGGGTTGCGCCCCCTCGTGTCCGAGTCCGGGTACTGCAGAGATCCCCCGCGTTAAAACGAAATGCCATCCTGACTTGGAGCTTTCGCGACTGCAGGAATTCACATTCTTTGGGTCTTTCGGTAAAGTCACGTAGATAGGTTCAAAGAAAATAACAAGGATTTCTTGTTATTATATATTTTTTCGATTTTTCTTTGAACCTATCTACGTGACTTTACCGAATGACCCAAAGGAAAAAAAAAATCCATCCCTCGTTTATGGCGGCAGTGGTCGATGCGTTCCTGAAAGAGGGCCGCGTTGAGCGAGGAATTGCCGCTCCACGTAGCCGTGGCACAATGGAAGTGTGCGCGTGTGGAATAACCAAACAACCCGCTGTCCATCACAGACACGGCGCATATTCGCCTTTATTGACTAGTGTGTCGTATCGGACACTTGAGAACTTACACGGGTTATTAGTTACATCAGAACATTATCAAAGCAGCTAGCGAAACATCAAGCCTCGTGCGGCAATACACACCTGTCATATAAATGCTCACTTGATCGGGTGTCCCTTGATTGCATTGGTACGTGTGTGCAGTGTTCAGTTTGTTGTGTTTTAGTTTGTCGTGTTTTAGTTTGTTGTGTTTTAGTTGGTAATGTTTTAGTTTGTTGTGTTTTAGTTGGTAATGTTTTAGTTTGTTGTGTTTTAGTTTGTCGTGTTTTAGTTTGTTGTGTTTTAGTTTGTCGTGTTTTAGTTTTTTGTATTTTAGTTGGTAATGTTTTAGTTTGTCGTGTTTTAGTTGGTAATGTTTTAGTTGGTTGTGTTTTAGTTTGTCGTGTTTTAGTTTGTTGTGTTTTAGTTTGTCGTGTTTTAGTTTGTTGTGTTTTAGTTTGTCGTGTTTTAGTTTGTCGTGTTTTAGTTTGTCGTGTTTTAGTTTGTTGTGTTTTAGTTTGTTGTGTTTTAGTTTGTCGTGTTTTAGTTTGTCGTGTCTTAGTTTGTCGTGTTTTAGTTTGTCGTGTTTTAGTTTGTCGTGTTTTAGTTTGTCGTGTTTTAGTTTGTTGTGTTTTAGTTTGTCGTGTTTTAGTTTGTTGTGTTTTAGTTTGTCGTGTTTTAGTTGGTAATGTTTTAGTTGGTAATGTTTTAGTTTGTTGTGTTTTAGTTTGTCGTGTTTTAGTTTGTCGTGTTTTAGTTTGTTGTGTTTTAGTTTGTCGTGTTTTAGTTTTTGTATTTTAGTTGGTAATGTTTTAGTTTGTCGTGTTTTAGTTTGTCGTGTTTTAGTTTGTTGTGTTTTAGTTTGTTGTGTTTTAGTTTGTCGTGTTTTAGTTTTTTGTATTTTAGTTTGTCGTGTTTTAGTTTTTTTGTATTTTAGTTGGTAATGTTTTAGTTTGTCGTGTTTTAGTTGGTAATGTTTTAGTTTTGTGTGTTTTAGTTGGTCGTGTTTTAGTTTGTCGTCCCCTTCCCCCGCACCTCCGATTAGCACCGCTGGCGACGTGCCGTGCGAAAGAAGTTCAACGTACGTACGCAGCAGCCCTTTGCCACCCCGCTACTGGACGAGGAGGGCCTTCCCCACCACGCCTGTGCAGGTTCGTGGAGGTTATATGGCGACCACACTTCACCGCGCCCGTGATGCACAGACGTGGCATCGGAAGCGCAGTACAACAACAGACCGGGTTGCTGTACTGCCCTCCGCTGCGTAAACCACGTGGTCCCACGACAACCTGTGCCCAGTGCTGTGCGTTGTGGTCACACGGCCAATGACTGGACAGGCTCCAAAAACCCCCACCTCCTCCTCCCGCTTAGCTTCCAAGATCTGACATGATTGGGCACATTTCAGGCGAGATATGGTCATCGGCAGTTAATCCGATCAATTAAACAAATGTTCTGTTTGCGTGACCTTATTAATTGGCTGTGTTGGGTGGTGGCGGGTTCATCGACACCTTTATGCGATCTAACCTAACAAAAACCTTTAACTATGAATGAAACAAATCGTTGACTGTTGACGCGAGTGGGAATCATCGACTGGTGTAGTAATGGGTACGTGATGGTATTAACTTTGAAAAGGTCTAATGCAGGGCATCCCTGACCCCAGTCCTCACGACCCACCACCACGCTTCGCCATCCTGCATTTACCAAATGACTCCTCCACCGTTCAAATACAAGTTAACGCATTCCATGCTGCACACGCCCGATGATTGTTAAACACATCCCACGTGACACGCTAAGCAGTTAACGCTGTGTCACATGGAACACGTGTGCTGTACCCGTACACGAACCACTTTACTACTATTTATATTTTACCAGGTGAGGCCCATGGAGCTACGTAGCTCTTCTTCAGAAGCGACCTGGCCATCACAAATGATGGCTCAACGAAGTAGTGGCTTATCATCACGTGGAAATGTATAGCAGCCAAATACTCTAAATGTTTTTAAATGCGGAGGGAAAAACCAGAGGATCCGGAGAAAAATCCACACGACCACGGGGAGCACACGCAAACTCCAAATATACAGCGGCGTCAGGGTCGAAATCGAACCCGCGACCTCCTGTATACCAGGCGAGGTAGTTAACATCTCGCCACATGTATTGTGTGTTTGCGTATACACGAAATACGTGTACACCACACATGCACACTGAGATCTTGATTTAACGTGAATCGGCTCTATTAACGCAAGACCGTTGATTGTTGAGCGGCATCATGTGGGACGTCTTTGACAATCATCGGGCACGGGCAGCAGCGTGGAACCAAGTAACGTGTGCTTGAAGAGGGAGTAAATTTGGTAAACAGGGAAAGACGTAGCGTGGTGAGTCGACGGGAATTGGGAAACCCTAGTCGAATAAAACCTGGATCTACCGATTACAATTGATTCTTAGAACACAGTGCATCTAGGGAATGGGGGGGTCATATTTGTTGCATGTTAGGCTTTAAATCCAGCTGGGTCTGTTCCGTGTCAGTGACCCGGAAGATACAGTTCAGCACACTGGCACATCGCAGCCAGAGTGGCGCTCGCTAAACCTGTTGGCTGCTCGTCACGCGTGTCTTGTCTATTCCAGTTGAGCAGTGACGCAGAAGAATAGTCGGCGATGAGTGAATCCCCGGCCGTATTCACGGTCGGCTCGCTAAGACCTCTACCGGCATCACATTGACAAAGACTAATAAGGATGAGGCGTTATTGAACGTTACTTAACATTGCATTATGACGTAAGGTGTTTCCGTATCGCTTGCTATTCCTATACTGACCGATTTCTTATATATATGTTTTTTTCATCACGTGCAGTGTATTGCGTCACGCAAGGTAAACGCCTTTGGCCGTACACGCACCGCTGTGGGTGGCACGCGCCACCCTGGGCTGGCGAGCGTCAGTCCGGAGTGAGGAGGGGGACTGGCTCACTTCTTCTGGAGCAGCTCCTCCTTGAGCTTGTGAGCCACCCTCTTCCTCTGCTCCAGCGTCTGCGACTCCTCCGTGCGTGCGCCCTGCGGTGAGCACACAGTGTCATCAGCAGGCGCTGGCTCTGCCGCTGGCGCCCTCATGACGACAGTGATGACGACGATGATGATGATGATGAAGGTGCCACAATGCAATTGCTCGGTCACGCCACTGCTGGCAGGAAGTGCACCTGATTAGCACGGTTGGCTACGTACGGTGCGAAATAAGTTGAACGTACTGTACGTACAGCGCTATCGAGCATCGCTCGGTGGTGTGTGGCCAACTCTTGCAAGTTGGCCGGTGTGCCTCAGAAGAGGCGTTGGGTACACCCACATTTGATCCTACCACGCATAATCAGCCGATCGACTAACAGTGGTGTACTCATTTATATCTGCTGGTTGGACAGATGGGGTGAGGGCAGGGGGGACTGAATATACGTGATCCATCGTTTAACACGTAGGCTTTCGCGACCAATATTATTCATAATAAGGGTTTTTGGGTTAGATCGCGGTGGTATAAATGTGTCGTAAGCCTCCACCATCCGACACAGCCAGTAAGGTTTGTCACGTAAACAACGCGCCAATTAGTTACTACTTCAGCACACCGGTGTGTTGGAGAGCGATCCATCGTTTTAAACTCCAGGGCCGGGAGATCGAACCGGCGACCTCTGGATTGCAACAACAGCGCCCTTTAGTTACTCGACCATGAAGGCCTCGCCGAGTCTCAACACCTCCTCAGGAGGGTCCTGCTCCGCCGCACAGATGGGTTTAACGAACCCGCTTGCTGTGCTGCCATCTCTAGTCTACCTCGCATGCAAAGCCGAAAGGTTACTAATATTGTTATTGTAACAACAATGCATAGAGGTGCGGCGGTCGAAATATACTTCCTGAAAGCAAGACGCGTTCCAAAAAACGAATAGATCAGACGAGTTAGCCTGTGACCGCATCTGCGCCCGAGAGCCATTGCTGATGTTGGCTGCACGTGATTCGATTCCCTGCTTCTGTTACATTAATATCAGGGGTGGGGAACCTCCGGCCCGCGGGCCGTATAAGGCTCGCGAAATCATTTGGCAGTTCCAGCCATCACATTCGGGGTGAGTTAATTCAATGTTTGACCAAATATAACAGGCTAATCTTTAAGTTAATACTTTTGTATGGCCCGCGAATTATGTTATGAATGTCCAAATGGCCCTTGGCAGAAAAAAGGTTCCCCACCCCTGCATGAATAGGGAAGTTCAACCTCCGCCGGCCCCGCCCATTCCTCTTTTATGCCCCACCCCCATCACTCCTTAGACCCGCCCCTTCCTCTGTAGGCCCCGCCCCTTCTTCTTTGTGCCCCCCCCGACTACTTAGGCCCCGCACCTTCCCACGGGTTTGGGTTTGTTTGGGTAGCCGTAGTGGGGGTTGTAGAAGGGGGGTGATTGGGTGGTGATGGGGGGAGGGTAGCAGTGGTGGTGGTGAGCGGGGCGAGCGGGGCTATGGATCGGGTGGCTACATGACAGCGACAACCTCAATCCTTTTAGAGCAGCACTATAAGAGCCTTATAGATTAAAGGGCTTATCATTAAAGATTCTTATAATAATACTAGATGGACTAGAGCAGTGGTCGACAAACCAAAATAACAATAAGAGACATTATTTTCGAATTCGGTAAAAACTTAATATTTCATGAGCCGCGATGCATGTCAATACGAGACGGTGGTCCTTAATAGAGAACATCACGAAGCAGTCTTTAAGGAGCCGCATGCGGCAGGCTGCAGGTTGCCAACTTCTGCCCATGGTCAAGTGGACTCCCATGGTAATCTCCCATGGTAAACTGGACTTCCATGGTAACCCTCAATATTTCAAGAGCTGCGATGCAGTCCTCGAAGGGCCGCGGGTTGCCGAATGAAAAACACGCTTTCAAACTTAGTCGGCAGAGCGTGCAGCAGCAAAGAGCGAGAGCCGGTCGCCCCTTTTGGGTTTGCGTCGTCCACTCCGGGAGAACGACCGCGTGTGGGCACGCCTCTCGCCTGTTTCCCCGTGGCCGCGGCTGCCGGCGCCGGCCGATCGGCGACAGCGCCGCCCTTGGCCGACGGGCCTCTCCGTGGAACGTCCCCATCGGCGGCGCTCGGCTGCGCGCGGCCATGCGGGCCGCCGCAGCTGCCGGCCGTGCACGCGTCCGCCCTGCCGGGACTCGGCGCCCTTCGGTCGTTGGAGGTGGCGCTGGTCTGCCGCTGCGACGAGCCCAGCTGCTCGCGTTTTGCCGCCAGCAGGCGGTCCCGCTGCTGCCTCAGGTACTCCTCCCTGCTCCGCAGCTCTTCCGCAGACAGGTTCTACCAACGCGCGTTGACACACACACGCAGAATCAGACAGGTTCTACCAACGCGCGTTGACACACACACGCAGAATCAGACAGGTTCTACCAACACGTGTTGACACACACACAGAATCAGACAGGTTCTACCAACACGCGTTGACACACACACACAGAATCAGACAGGTTCTACCAACACGCGTTGACACACACACACAGAATCAGACAGGTTCTACCAACACGCGTTGACACACACACAGAATCAGACAGGTTCTACCAACACGCGTTGACACACACACACAGAATCAGACAGGTTCTACCAACACGCGTTGACACACACACAGAATCAGACAGGTTCTACCAACACGCGTTGACCCACACACAGAATCAGACAGGTTCTACCAACACATGTTGACACACACACAGAATCAGACAGGTTCTACCAACACGCGTTGACACACACACAGAATCAGACAGGTTCTACCAACACGTGTTGACACACACACAGAATCAGACAGGTTCTACCAACGCACGTTGACACACACAGAATCAGACAGGTTCTACCAACGCACGTTGACACACACACACACAGAATCAGACAGGTTCTACCAACACGCATTGACACACACACAGAATCAGACAGGTTCTACCAACACGCGTTGACACACACACACAGAATCAGACAGGTTCTACCAACAAGTGTTGACACACACACAGAATCAGACAGGTTCTACCAATGCACGTTGACACACACAGAATCAGACAGGTTCTACCAACGCACGTTGACACACACACACACACAGAATCAGACAGGTTCTACCAACACGCATTGACACACACACAGAATCAGACAGGTTCTACCAACACGCGTTGACACACACACACAGAATCAGACAGGTTCTACCAACACGCATTGACACACACACAGAATCAGACAGGTTCTACCAACACGCGTTGACACACACACACAGAATCAGACAGGTTCTACCAACACGTGTTGACACACACACAGAATCAGACAGGTTCTACCAACGCACGTTGACACACACAGAATCAGACAGGTTCTACCAACGCACGTTGACACACACACACACACAGAATCAGACAGGTTCTACCAACACGCATTGACACACACACAGAATCAGACAGGTTCTACCAACACGCGTTGACACACACACACAGAATCAGACAGGTTCTACCAACGCACGTTGACACACACAGAATCAGACAGGTTCTACCAAGACGCGTTGACACACACACAGAGAATCAGACAGGTTCTACCAACACGCGTTGACACACACACACAGAATCAGACAGGTTCTACCAACACGCGTTGACACACACACAGAATCAGACAGGTTCTACCAACACGCGTTGACACACACACACACAGAATCAGACAGGTTCTACCAACGCACGTTGACACACACAGAATCAGACAGGTTCTACCAACGCACGTTGACACACACACACAGAATCAGACAGGTTCTACCAACACGCGTTGACACACACACAGAATCAGACAGGTTCTACCAACGCACGTTGACACACACACACAGAATCAGACAGGTTCTACCAACACGCGTTGACACACACACACAGAATCAGACAGGTTCTACCAACGCGCGTTGACACACACACAGAATCATACAGGTTCTACCAACACGCGTTGACACACACACACAGAATCAGACAGGTTCTACCAACACGCGTTGACACACACACAGAATCAGACAGGTTCTACCAACACGCGTTGACACACACACACACACAGAATCAGACAGGTTCTACCAACACGCGTTGACACACACACAGAATCAGACAGGTTCTACCAACACGCGTTGACACACACACAGAGAATCAGACAGGTTCTACCAAGACGCGTTGACACACACACAGAGAATCAGACAGGTTCTACCAACACGCGTTGACACACACACACAGAATCAGACAGGTTCTACCAACACGCGTTGACACACACACAGAATCAGACAGGTTCTACCAACACGCGTTGACACACACACACACAGAATCAGACAGGTTCTACCAACGCACGTTGACACACACAGAATCAGACAGGTTCTACCAACGCACGTTGACACACACACACAGAATCAGATAGGTTCTACCAACACGCGTTGACACACACACAGAATCAGACAGGTTCTACCAACGCACGTTGACACACACACACAGAATCAGACAGGTTCTACCAACACGCGTTGACACACACACACACAGAATCAGACAGGTTCTACCAACGCGCGTTGACACACACACAGAATCATACAGGTTCTACCAACACGCGTTGACACACACACACAGAATCAGACAGGTTCTACCAACACGCGTTGACACACACACAGAATCAGACAGGTTCTACCAACACGGGTTGACACACACACAGAATCAGACAGGTTCTACCAACACGCGTTGACACACACACAGAATCAGACAGGGTCTACCAACACGCGTTGACACACACACAGAATCAGACAGGTTCTACCAACACGTGTTGACACACACACAGAATCAGACAGGTTCTACCAACACGCGTTGACACACACACAGAATCAGACAGGTTCTACCAACACGTGTTGACACACACACAGAATCAGACAGGTTCTACCAACGCACGTTGACACACACAGAATCAGACAGGTTCTACCAACGCACGTTGACACACACACAGAATCAGACAGGTTCTACCAACACGCATTGACACACACAGAATCAGACAGGTTCTACCAACACGCGTTGACACACACACACAGAATCAGACAGGTTCTACCAACACGCGTTGGCACACACACAGAATCAGACAGGTTCTACCAATACGCGTTGACACACACACAGAATCAGACAGGTTCTACCAACACGCGTTGACACACACACACAATCAGACAGGTTCTACCAACACGCGTTGACACACACACACAGAATCAGACAGGTTCTACCAACGTGCGTTGACGCACACACAGAATCAGACAGGTTCTACCAACACGCGTTGACACACACACACAGAATCAGACAGGTTCTACCAACACGCGTTGACACACACACACAGAATCAGACAGGTTCTACCAACACGCGTTGACACACACACAGAATCAGACAGGTTCTACCAACACGCGTTGACACACACACACACACAGAATCAGACAGGTTCTACCAACACGCGTTGACACACACACACAGAATCAGACAGGTTCTACCAACACGCGTTGACACACACACACACAGAATCAGACAGGTTCTACCAACACGCGTTGACACACACACACACAGAATCAGACAGGTTCTACCAACACGCGTTGACACACACACAGAATCAGACAGGTTCTACCAACGCGCGTTGACACACACACACAGAATCAGAATCTTTATTTATACTGGAGGAATCCGATAAGGTATAGAGCTCTTCTTTGGTTCTTTCGGTAAAGTCATGTAGAATGAGAATAAAATAATAAATTAATAAAATAACAATAAAATTCTCACGACGTTTCGGCCACAACACAAGTGGCCTTCTTCAGGTGAAAGGAACAGACCCGTCGGGACGACAGAGCTTCAATGAACGTTGTTAAGATTCATATCGTCTTTTTAAGCTGGTTTAGAGAAGTGAGGCACCTTGACAAAGGGGTTTACATATAAAACAGGAGAATTTAGCATTGAAATAGCTGAGTGATTAGCTTGTGACTGGTCACAGAAATAGCCATGTTAAAGCCAGCTATTTCAATGCTAAATTATCCTGTTTGATTTGTACTAGGTGCCTCTGAGGATGTGTAAGCTTTGGCTTTAACATGGCTATTTCTGTGACCAGTCACAAGCTAATCACTCAGCTATTTCAATGCTAAATTCTCCTGTTTTATATGTAAACCCCTTTGTCAAGATGCCTCACTTCTCTAAACCAGCTTAAAAAGACGCTACGAATCTTAACAACGTTCATTGAAGCTCTGTCGTCCCGACGGGTCTGTTCCTTTCACCTGAAGAAGGCCGCTTGTGTTGTGGCCGAAACGTCGTGAGAATTTTATTGTGTTATTTTATTTTATTAATTTATTATTTTATTCTCATTCTACATGACTTTACCGAAAGAACCAAAGAAGATGAATCCTTGCAGTCACGAAAGCTTTAAATCGAAAGCTATAGAGCTCTTTCTCACAGATGTCTAGTAGGGGCCGGGTCATAAATTTACAACAATAAACAGTACCCAAACACGAGATGAATGCAAAGTATAGGAAAGGAAAACAAGTCACTACAAAAACACAAATAACCTACTCCATAATACCGTTGTTTTTGGGTTAGATCGCGACAATATAAATGTCGTTAAACCCGCCACCACCCGACATAGCCAATTAGTTTCACGACACATTTATATTTACGTGATCTCATCCAAAAAAACCTGTATTATGGATAATATTGGTCGCAAGAGCCTACATGTTAAACTAAATAATGTACTGCGTTGTGTGGTGGCACAGACGATCGCCACGCCACCGCTCCACCAACCCCAGAGGTGATTTGGTTAGTGGTTAACCCTACGCAACCATCCTGTTTTGGCTGGGACATATTCAGTTAATTTGTATAAGCGACGTCATCGACGTTAAGTACATTGGCACGGTTGGCTACGTACGGTGTAAAAGAAGTTCAACATACATACATGTAAAATGTCATTTTGACAAATATATATTTTTTGTACTACTTGCAGTAATTACAATATCAATAACGTTGAGTGTTTAAAAAGCAATCGAATCACGCAAAAGCTGCGTGATGTTCAACACACGGAGACGCGTGTAGATTAAGATGCCTCTGGCCAAGTACTCTTGCGAGTGTTTCTACGCGTGGCAGGGGACGAGAACATCCGGGGAGTTGCTGGTGGGGGTACGCGGACTGGCGATGGGCCTCGTGTTTTGTAATTGCCTCTTTGTGCGCTTAGTGTCGTTGCCCTTACCCCCGCACCTCCAATTAGCGCGGTTGGCTACGTACGGTGCGTGCGTGCGTGCGTGCGCACGACAGGCAACACGACGGAGGGCCACCGCTTTAGGCTGCGACGCGATGCCGGGACTGCGCGGCATCTCGGCGCAGCGCGGACAGACGCGGCAAAGCGGCGCGCAAACCTCGCCGGGCCGTGGAGCGCCACACTCAAATGTTTTCCAAAAATTATATTGTGAGAGGGCTCCCCCAGAACTCCGGTAGTACCGCGGTGGGGGGGTGGGGGGGCACGGCACACCCACCCGCTTCAATTGAGCAGACGCCAAAAGGACGACGTTTTGCACGGTGTCGCCGCGCCGGTCGGCCCTACGTGACGTCATCGCATCAAGTGACGTCATCACACCTACCCCTCGATTTAAGGAACAAAACAGGATTTCTCCACATCTGGTTGCTGTCCACCTGATGATGCCGGTTGTAATTACTGGCGAAACGTCGTACTCAGATTGTAAATGTTGTGGATTTGCTCTCCGACTCACCGGTGTGCTGTACTAGTAACGAACTGGCACGTTCTGTTTACGTGACAAATCTTACTAATTGGCTGTGTCGGGTGGTGGCGGGTTTAACAGCACATTTATTTACTTACGCGATCTAACCCAAAAACACCTACATTGTGGATGATATTGGTCGTGAAAGCCTACGTGGTGTTAAACTGGCCCTACGTGTTTCAGGGAGACGGCTGCCTCCTTGGGCCTCGTCTCGTGGAGCTTAGAGGCCTGGGCCTTGCCCGGCGGGGCCGCCCCGTTGGGCTGGCTCGCCCGGGGCTGCTGCCGCTGCTGGGCCGCCGCGCTCGTCCCACCTGGCGGCTCGGAGGGCAGCTGGCGTGGAGGCGGCTGGGTCGCTTGACTCCCGCCTGTGCACGCAGAGCGTTGCCGTGCGATTGGAAACACGTTGTTGAGCGCAAATGGGCGCGCCCGGGTACATTCTCGAATGTAAGGTGGTGCACGTACAATCCCTCTGTGCCTATCGAATGCTAGACCATATTTAACCACGCTGGGGTGCTGTGTGGCTCAAACCTGCTGAGCCTCCGAGATCTGATGGGTGTTCTCGTGATCTGGCAATGGAAGGTAGCGAATCGCAGCGAGACGTGTCGAAGTAACTCTCTCATGGGTTGTGGATGGTTGGCCGGGTGGCTCAGAGGTCCGAGCGCTGAGCTGGCGCCACTGAGATCCTGAGTTGGAATCTGGGTGTCAGCCACTCGTGAACAACCCGGGTTCTCAAGCGCATTAGGTTGACAGTCTCATTCCCGGTCACCAAATGACTGCGCAAAAACGATCACGTTAAAGTTGGTTTTGACACTTTACTTGGCGAAATTCCAGCTCTTCAGAATTAAAACTATGTCCGCTTGAATTCCACGTGACAATTGTCATAGCAGGGTGTGTGGGAAAGTGTACCCCGAGCTGCGTGAAGATTAACGGGGCCACGTGAAGTCTACTTGATGAGAAATCCCACAAAAGGTTTCTTCGATAGCCATTCTGGACACGTGGGTCTGCGTTGCTCTTTGAGAGTTCCAGACGGAGCCTTCGTCTCTTGACACGATCGCACGAGCACAAGTGGAAAATCGTCATAAAACTTGGGAAAAGCACAACAGCGTGTAACTCACCAGGCACAGACGGGACGTCCTGCCGCGCTGCTGGTGCAGATGACGCACCGGCGGCCTGGCGCTGGGGTGGGCCCGTCGCGCCAGGCGGCTCGTCCGGAACGTCAGAACAGCGTCGACCGCTCGGGCCCGGCACGTCCGCGCAGCACTCGCTGACCTAGGCCGAGACCAACGCGCGTGGTTAAGCGGGACACTCCGCCACTCTTACAGCCTCCATCATCCTCAGTGGTCATCACCAACATCATCTGGCTCTTTGACCTGTCTCAAGAGTCAACGCGTCCTTCAAGGACCGTTCCTACAGTCTCATCATCATCATCATCACCACCACAACCACCGTCGGAGCCCACCCCGGTAACCTGCGCTCCTCCACTCTGCATGTGTGTCATGGGTTGGCCCGGCCATTGCCCAGGGTCCTGGACTGTAACGAGATATTTTTTTGAAAAAGAAGGCCACTCTAAATCGTGGTGTCCGCGACAGCTCCGCGGAGCGATTCCCACGCCCTGACGGACCAACCAGTGGTCCGCAACCCCACAAGTTGGAAACCCCCCAGGTCAACCGAGGCCAACGTGGTCCAGTTACCACACGCACATAACCATCGCCCCCCCCCCCCACCCTTCTCGCTTGCCCAGGCCGGGTGAGCTGAGCTATGAAGATGTGAAACCTGATGATCGATGGAGCCCTCCAGCAGAGATCGCCCTTCTCTGCATGGCTCTTCATCCTCCTGCTCCTCCGTGGCCCCGGGCTCCAGGATGCACGATCTCCTCCACTGCTGCTCCATCTCGTACTGCTGCTTGGACGCCCTGCATACCCCACAAATGCAGCCGTGGCGAAAAGTGAATGAAGGGCGCATTCATTGAATATAATTGTTCCTCGAAAGACAAAGATCCCCCGGTATAGCCTCAACAGACTGTTGGGGCAAGTCCCGTTGGCGAGCACCTACTGTATGTAGGGCCGGCACGGCACACGAGGGGGCGGGTGGCCAGCACCACGCCCGTCCGCCTTTGTCACCCCGGTGGCGATGTTTACACACCGCACCGGGTACTTATTTGAGGCTGAGTCGACCTAGGGGAGGACTAGGACCGGTTCAGATAATCGTCACTGGTGCTGGACTTGAGCGGGAATCGATCTCAGGTCCCCGGGTTTGTAGCACAGCGTAGCGCTAACCGCTACACTACTGCTCCCCATACTTGTTCCTCACACACACACACACACGAGTTGACGCACGTATTGAATGTATACGAAATTATTTCAATCGACTCATCAGTTGGTTGTCACCCGCCAAGCGTCTGCGCTGGTCTCTGGGAAACAGCCTCAAGTGGCACGACCATTATCAGCCACGAAATCCGCACAAAAACACAACGGAGACTATTTGTGAAACAAACAAGACATTTTCCAGTGGGCAGTGGGGCCGACTAAAAGGATTTGCGGGCCTACGCATTACCACTGCCTAATTTTTCAGTGATAATTCTCCTGGGCATCCTCGGCCCGGGACGATCGTCCTGAATTTCCCCCGCTAAGAGGCTTATCTTCAAAGCTCGTTTTCCAAAAATCCTCTCCCGCTCGCTCCGCGCACATTCCCGCCGGGAAATTTTAGATTTTGGCAGCACACGCGCAAACCCCCCCCTCTCCCGTCGATTCATTTGCCCCCCCCCCCCCCCCAAAACAAATTCGCACACACGGCCACCGCGGCCTAAGGACAAACGCACAATTACTCCGCTTGGCCCATCAGGGCGTCGTGGGATTGCTCCGTGGAGGTGTTGCAGACACCTCGTTTTAAAGTGGCTTTGAATACATATTCTTGGTTCTTTCGGTAAAAGCACGTAGATAGAAAACAAAATACAAATATTTTTTTTATTTTTTGTTTCCTATCTACGTGACTTTACCGAAAGAACCAAGAATATGAATTCCTGCAGTCACGAAAGTTTAAAGTCAAAATTTGGCTTTGAATATTCCACAAAATATCTTGTTACAGTCCGCAGCAGGCATCAGGGTCAGGATCGAACCCACGGCCTCGTGTATATCAAGCACTTTAGTGCACTTTAGTGCCTCTGTGGTAGCAGCTACATTGGAGAAACCAAACGACATATCTCGGACCGCATCCGCGAACATAAAGCAGACTTGAAACACGGTAGGACGAACTCCTCTGCCGTGGCAGATCACTGTTATAATTCAGTGGGCTCACATGACATTGACTTCTCCAAGACGGAGGTTCTTTGCAAGCCAACCGGCTACCATGAGAGATTCGTTCATGAGGCCATCCACATATACAAGCACAGAGACAATTTCAACCGAGAAGATGGATTCTGGCTTACTAACCATTGGAAAGATGTTTCAAACCATTTCGGTTCTTAATTAATTGTATTTTACGTTGACCTTCAGACCGCAGTTTTTTCGCTGGCATTGCCTCTTAATACCTCTCACACCACGGTTAATGGTATGGTTTATAACATGAGTATAACAATTAATAGTATAACATTGTAATGTTTAACATAACTCATAAGGCAATATATAGCATCGTAATTGCATAGTGAATATACAGTAATGTGGAATATAGGTGTATTCATAGAATAAGACAGTATAATGTTACAAGTCTAATATTTTATAGTCTAAAGTATAGGGTAGTGTAAAGTAACGCATTGTATAATTCAAAGGTGGAATTTGTCTATGTTATACCATGTAGTTTAGATTGGAGGGTATAATATTGTATGCCATAGTAGTCCTGTTTATAGCATAGTCATAATGCAACTCAGTACACAGCAGCGCACCTTGGTTTACGGCACTTGTTTATCTTTTGAAATTGTTGTTTGTTTCCTACCAGCAGCCTCCTCCGCCCCGGAGATTGTGGGCTGGAACATGCTCATCCAACTCTGCTCATCCAACTCTGCTCATCCAACTCTGCTCATCCAACTCTGCTCATCCAACTCTGCTCATCCAACTCTGCTCATCCAACTCTGCTCATCCAACTCTGCTCATCCAACTCTGCTCATCCAACTCTGCTCATCCAACTCTGCTCATCCAACTCTGCTCATCTAACTCTGCTCATCCAACTCTGCTCATCCAACTCTGCTCATCCAACTCTGCTCATCCAACTCTGCTCATCCAACTCTGCTCATCCAACTCTGCTCATCCAACTCTGCTCATCCAACTCTGCTCATCCAACTCTGCTCATCCAACTCTGCTCATCCAACTCTGCTCATCCAACTCTGCTCATCCAACTCTGCTCATCCAACTCTGCTCATCCAACTCTGCTCATCCAACTCCGCCCATACAGCTTTAAAAGACTCGGTCCTTGCGTGACAGCGTCCATTCAAGCTCTGTCTCCTGGATAGACCTGTTTCTTCACCTGAAGAAGGCCACTTGTGTTGTGACCGAAACGTAGTGAGAATTTTATTGTCGTATTTTGTTTTATTGTTTTAGTCTCATTCTACGTGACTTTACCGAAAGAACCAAGAAGATGAATCCTTGCAGTCACGAAAGCTTTAAATCGAAATACAAACAGCAGTTCTAAAGAAAGGAGTTTTGAATCTAGATTATTTAAAAGTGCACAGGTCCAGTGGGTTTCTAATATCGGAAGGAAGAGCGTTCCAGACGGTCGCAGAAGCGCATCTGAACGCGCGCGGTGCGGTGGCCAAAAGCCAAGAAGACCGGATTTCGGTGATGGTTTACGCTCCTTGACGAGATCAGCAAGGTGGTATTGTGGTTCATTTGTGGCAAGCAATCTGTGTGTAATGAATGCGACCAAACTGCTTACCCTGTCCTCCTCCACCCTACACACCGTGCCCCACACATCACTCCTTCCACTCCTCCTCCCTCCCCATTGCATCTGCAACCCACGTGACATTCCGAACCCCCAGCTTGCTTCCCCGCCTATCAAGCCGTGACACGGACTGGTCGGTTGGCCAATTAACGCAGGCGGACAGGGGTGGCCGGAGTTGGGAGACGGAGCAGAGAGAGCGAGAGAGAGATGTGACGAAGGCACCTGATGGCCTCCTGCAGAAGTTGCATCTCTTCCCGGTCCAGCTCTCCCACCTTGTCCAATCCGTCCACGCTCATGCACTCGGGTATCACGCCTGTAGCGCAGCAGCAGCAGCACGGCCACAGATGAAGCACCACACCCCCCCACCCACCCACCGCCATCGGCAGCCGTCTCACCCGTGGGCAGCGGCGTACGAAGTCGAATGCGTCGGAGGATGTTGGAAATGCTCGTTGATGAACGTCTTGGGTGGGTTTTTTTTCCAATTATATTTCGTTTGTGCGTGATAATACTGTGTTACATTTCTCGACACTTTTTTAATACAGTGTTCTCTTTTTGCGTGCTTTTCTTGCCCAATTTTTATTGACGTAGTATTACATTGTGCTCTTTTGCCTACCTATTCATCTATTGAATTTGTTGCTGTTATAGCTGCTGCACTGCTTGAGAGGAGAGAGAGAGAGCTTACAAGTAAAGAACGTCACTGCACCGCGTGACACTTCGCTGTATCCTGTGCATCTGACAAGTCAACTTTACATTGATTACATTTGGCATTTGTGCCACTCATTACAGTGCGAGGCTATCACGGCGAAGGAAGGCGGCGTGATTATTAAAGACGCAGTGTGCGGTAGTTTCACACCGGGATGGGGGAGGGGGTGCCAATGTTTGCGTGATTCCAGTTGAGTCATCTGTCGGTTACATTTTAAACTTGGAACACGACGCCGGCACGGTCGGCTACGTTACGGTGCGAAAGAAGTTCAACATACGTACACATACAGTACGCACGCAATGGGCTTGCTGTTCTTTGGCTGATGTCACGCGATCTTTAACGTCCCCTGTAAAGCAGATGCCGCGTGGTATATTTTTTTTTACGGTAAATGCACCCACGGTGATAACGAGGGCGGCCTCCGGGTTCGAACCTCGAAGCTCTGCAACAAGCGACGAACGTGCCACAGCTCTGCCATGTCACCCATCGCAGTTTCTAACACAAAGACAAAGATCCCCCGTATAGCCTTAACAGACTGTAGGGGCAAGTGCTGTTAGCGAGCACCTATGAAGGCCGGCACGGCACACGAATGGGTGGGTGGCCAGCACAACGCACGACCGCCTTTGTCTCCCTCGTGGCGATGTTTACACACCGCACCAGGCACTCATTTGAGGCTGAGTCGACCGAAGGGACGCCCAGGACCGGTTCAGATAATCGTCACTGGTGTTCACCGTGAACGGGAATCGAACTCGGGTCGCCGGGTACGTAGCGCAGCAGCGCGAACTGCTACACCACCGCTTCCCACAATTTTTTACAACAACAATCGCCTTTCGCCACTAAGTGGCGGTGACATCACCACAGTGCTTGTGCCAGGCTAGGTGCACTTTAAGGCCACGTGAAGTGTCGAACGCCCGCTGGCAGGAGGTCACGGGACAGACCCAGGTGCCACGGGTTGACTGAGATGACTGAGATGACCGGCCGACGCACCAGCTGTACCCCTTACTAACACACACACACGCGACATCTGAGCCACCTGGCACACCGCCACGCTTCTGCCGCTCACCCTTCTGCTCCTGCAGGTGCAAGAGCGCCTGCAGCTCCAGCTCAATGTTTTTGCGCACCATGAGCCCCTTGAAGAGCTCGAAGTCGTCTGCTGCCAGCACGGCCTCGAAGACCTGCTGGCGTCGCACGCGGCAACACAAAGAAAAAGACGAAGTTCCCCCGTATAGCCTGAACAGACTGTTGGGGCAAGTGCTGTTAGCGAGCAGCACCTATGAAGGCCGGCACGGCACACGAGGTGGCCGGTATTATAATAGGAAGCCACTGGAGCCGTGAATTTTGTTTGTAGTCCTTCCCCCGCTCCTCCGATTAGCACGGTTGGCTACGTACGGTGCGAAAGAAGTTCAATAAACACAACACACGTGGCCACCTTTGTCCATGCGGGAGAGCAGCCACAACAACTGTCCAACAACCCCTAAGGTCCTTTTCACGTGAAGGCGTTATCAGCCAAACGGTGGGAGTGTCAACACGTGGTGAGCAAAGCGGAGCACCTCGAGATAGCCCACACATGCGAGGGGGCAACTCTCCACCTGTACAGAAGTCACAGGTGGAGCCCTCCTCCCCGGCGCCCACGTGAAGCAAGTTTCACGACGTCCGCGTGGCGATACACCAACACTCGCTGCTACCTCCGCAGCGCTGGATTACGCAGCCCGGCTAAGTAGACGTGCATCAAGATGTTAAGCCTGGGATTTGAAGGGGTGAGGAATAGTCAGCATTGTGGATGGCCAGGAGGAGCTACAACAGTGAGGTCAGCAGAAGAGGCCTCCCGTTGAACATGAGTCACCCCGAATGCACCCGATCCCAGCGGATCTCACGCGCAAATATTGTGGGTCGCTTGACGCATGGTGCTCACGGAATGTGTACCATTATAATGTGAAACACACCGTTATAACACGGAATGTGTACCATAATGTGAAACACACACCGTTATTACACGGAATGTGTAGCATTATAATGTGAAACACACCGTTATAACACGGAATGTGTACCATAATGTGAAACACACCGTTATAACACGGAATGTGTACCATTATAACGTGAAATACACACCGTTATAACACGGAATGTGTACCATAATGTGAAACACACACCGTTATAACAAGGAATGTGTACCATAATGTGAAAACCGTTATAACACAGAATGTGTACCGTTATAACGTGAAACACCGTTATTACATGGAATGTGTACCCTTATAATGTGAAACACACACCGTTATTACACGGAATGTGTACCATTATAACGATGAAACACACACCGTTATTACACGGAATGTGTACCATTATAATGTGAAACACACCGTTATAACACGGAATGTGTACCATTATAATGTGAAACACACACCGTTATTACACAGAATGTGTAGCATTATAACGTGAAACACACACCGTTATTACACAGAATGTGTAACATTATAACGTGAAACACACACCGTTATTACACGGAATGTGTACCATTATAACGTGAAACACACCGTTATAACAGAATGTGTACCATTATAATGAGAAACACCGTTATAACACGGAATGTGTACCATAATGTGAAGCACACCGTTATAACACGGAATGTGTACCATTATAATGTGAAACACACACCGTTATTACACGGAATGTGTACCATAACGTGAAACACACCGTTATAACACGGAATGTGTACCATAATGTGAAACACACACCGTTATAACACGGAATGTGTACCATAATGTGAAACACACACCGTTATAACACAGAATGTGTACCATAATGTGAAACACACACCGTTATAACACGGAATGTGTACCATTATAACGTGAAACACACACCGTTATAACACGGAATGTGTACCATAATGTGAAACACACACCGTTATTACACGGAATGTGTACCATTATAATGTGAAATACACACCGTTATTACACGGAATGTGTACCATTATAATGTGAAACACACCGTTATAACAGGGAATGTGTACCATTATAATGTGAAACACACACCGTTATAACACGGAATGTGTACCATTATAATGTGAAACACACCGTTATAACACGGAATGTGTACCATTATAACGTGAAACACACACCGTTATAACAGGGAATGTGTACCATTATAACGTGAAACACACACCGTTATTACACGCAATGTGTACCATTATAATGTGAAACACACACCGTTATTACACGGAATGTGTACCATTGTAATGTGAAACACACACCGTTATAACAGGGAATGTGTACCATTATGTGAAACACACAACGTTATAACACGGAATGTGTACCATTATAATGTGAAACACACACCGTTATTACACGCAATGTGTACCATTATAATGTGAAACACACACCGTTATAACACGAAATGTTTACCATTATAACGTGAAACACACACCGTTATAACACGGAATGTGTACCATTATAATGTGAAACACACACCGTTATAACACGGAATGTGTACCATTATAACGTGAAACACACACCGTTATAACACAGTGTGTACCATTATAACGTGAAACACACACCGTTATTACACGCAATGTGTACCATTATAATGTGAAACACACACCATTATAACACGGAATGTGTACCATTATAACGTGAAACACACACCGTTATTACACGCAATGTGTACCATTATAATGTGAAACACACACCGTTATTACACGCAATGTGTACCATTATAACGTGAAACACACACCGTTATTACGCGCAATGTGTACCATTATAACGTGAAACACACCGTTATAACACGGAATGTGTACCATTATAACGTGAAACACACACCGTTATTACACGCAATGTGTACCATTATAATGTGAAACACACCATTATAACACGGAATGTGTACCATTATAATGTGAAACACACACCGTTATAACACGCAATGTGTACCATTATAACGTGAAACACACACCGTTATTACACGCAATGTGTACCATTATAACGTGAAACACACACCGTTATTACACGCAATGTGTACCATTATAACGTGAAACACACACCGTTATTACACGGAATGTGTACCATTATAACGTGAAACACACACCGTTATAACAGAATGTGTACCATTATAACGTGAAACACACACCGTTATAACACGGAATGTGTACCATTATAACGTGAAACACACACCGTTATTACACGCAATGTGTACCATTATAATGTGAAACACACCGTTATAACACGGAATGTGTACCATTATAACGTGAAACACACACCGTTATAACACGGAATGTGTACCATTATAACGTGAAACACACACCGTTATAACAGGGAATGTGTACCATTATAACGTGAAACACACACCGTTATAACACGCAATGTGTACCATTATAATGTGAATCACACCGTTCTCACGCACTTTCTGTGTGGTCACAAAGAACTACTTTTTTTAGCTGAGCAGTACGGTGATACGGTACGCGGATTGATACGGTAACACGGCGGTTTACCCATCTCACTGCGTGCGCGTACTAGTACATGGTATCTCACCAACCTTTTACCGTTACATTATTTATGGGAAATCGTTTCTTCCTCAACCGGCTTTTTCGCCCGACGCGGCACTTTCCAGGAACGCATCTACTTAAGGCAACATTGGGGGGAACCAAATCTTCCAGGGGGTCTGGGGGTCCCCCCCCAGAAAAAAACTAAAAATTTAAAAACGAATTTCCTAGCTAAAATATTACAAAATTCAGTAACACATAGGATGGACTTTTTTTTACTTTACCGAAAGAACCAAAGAGTATTGATTCCTGCAGTCAAGAAAGCTTCAAAGCAAGATTGTATTGTATTACATTGCCCCGTTTTTTTTCTTTTTTACCTTTTCTTGTTTCATTGTATGTAATGGCAGAGGTGAGGGATTTATAAAGTACAACCATAACCACAATCATATAAACAGAAAACTATTTTATAGCAATATATTGGGGGGGATGTGTCCCCCCCCTCCCCCAATATACAGTAGAACCTCGGAGATCGAACGCCCCAGAACTCGAACAATTCGGTGATCGAACAAAATGTTCGATCATTTTTTTGCCCCGGACATCGAACAAAAATTCTGAGGTCTAACAACTTGAAAGACCGGTTTGGGCCGAGACGCGTAGCCAGGGCGACCGAGACAAAGGCGAATGAGCCAGTGCACGCGTAGCTCTCTCGTACTTTATCACTGTAAAGTTCCTGCCCCCCAATACGACTCCTCTCATCCAGCCCATGGACCAACAGGTAGTTTCCAACTTTAAAAAAAAAACTCTACACGAAAGCCCTTTTTCAAAGGTGGCAAAATGGGCTGAGTTACACAATTTTATAGAAAAATATCATCCAGATAAGGCGGTAGCCAGCAGAGCAGGCGATTTTTAGAATGATAATGCATTGAGCCATTTCAGAAACATCTTAAAACGGAGGCAGAAACAATCCTCTCTTGATGAGTTTTTAGTAAAAAGGCCCTCAAGTGAATCACAGTTAGTGCTCGACAAAAGGCAAAGCAAAGAAAGAACCCCAGAAGGGCAGTTACCCAACGTATTTATGGAGGGGGACTCCCCTTCCAAGCAACACTGACACCTCCTGCTCCCCTCCTCACCACCTTACACTCAAGCCGTCCACTCTCCTTATTACAGGTAAAGTGAAGTTCAATGTTAATTTATTATATTAATTCTAACTGTGTTTCTTTTTTTTGTATGCTTTTATGTACTGTACTGTATTTTAATATTGTAAACGTTGTGTAAAAATGGCCCATAATAGGAGCATCCTTGGGTGGGGAACCAATCAATGCTATTTCCATTCATTCTTAGGGGGAAAATTGATTCGGTGTTCGAACAATTCGGTGTTCGAACACGGTTTTGGAACGAATTAAGTTCGATCTCCGAGGTATCACTGTATATTATAATTACGGCCTTGCTGCTACTACTGCTACTACTGCCACCACCAGCGCGTTAAACCAGGACTTGTTGGCGTTTTTAAAACGCAAAAATAATTAGTGCAGTGGCACGCTTTGCACGTCAAGATGACAGCACTATCCCTGGACACATGGCGAGTCCTGAATTCCGGGGTGGGGTGCCCCAGTGTTGCCGTGGAGTGTCACTGGGCCTCCTCTTCTATTGAAGGAGCGCAGGCTACAGTGGTTTCCTGTACGGTCCATAGTTAAGGGCGCCACGGTGGCTAGGAGATGTTAACTACCTCGCCTGGTATGCAGGAGGCCCTCGGTTCGATCACGACCCTGACGCCTGCTGCTGTATATTTGGAGTTGGCGTGCTCTCTCTGTGATTGCGTGGATTTTACTCCGGGTCCTGCAGTTATTTTTCCCTCCACGTTTAGAATCAACATCACGCGTTCAGAGTATTTGGCTGCTAGACATTTCCACGTGACAAGCCACTTCGTTGGGCTATCATTTGTGGCCAGGTCGCTTTTGAAAAAGAGCTAGACAGCCCAGTGGGCCTTGCCTGGTAAAATGCAAAATAGTTTAGTTTGCGGTTAGTTAGCGTGGCCACATTCACGCTGCTGTGGCTGGCGGGCGCCACAGACACACCGCACCCGACCGCCTTTGTCTCCCCACCGCCGCACTGTGACCACCTACGTGCAGGTGCTCCGACTGCACACTCTGGGCGCTGCACGCGTCCAGCAGCTGCTGCTCCGAGATGCCCATGTCCTGCAGGTAGCTCTCCAGCAGACCCTCCACCTACACGCCGCAGGCAGGCATGGCATGGCAGGCAGGCATGGCAGGCAGGCATGGCATGGCAGGCAGGCATGGCAGGCAGGCAGGCATGGCAGGCAGGCATGGCAGGCAGGCAGGCAGGCATGGCATGGCAGGCAGGCATGGCAGGCAGGCAGGCATGGCAGGCAGGCATGGCATGGCAGGCAGGCATGGCAGGCAGGCAGGCATGGCAGGCAGGCAGGCATGGCATGGCAGGCAGGCATGGCATGGCAGGCATGGCACGCGTGGGAGCCCCACACTTTATGCTGGACGGCTGCCCCACGGTATAATCGTTTAGTCGCTGTGCACTGGCCCCTATACAAAACACCACACGGGAAGGGGGGTAGAGTCAGTGATGTAATACATGGAAAGATAAAAGAGTTAAAGAGTTAGGGAAGAGAGAAGAGCAAGAATGGTAAATCAGAGGAAAAGGATGGAAAAGGAATGGAGAAATTAGAGCAGAGGTTTCAGGGAACGTGAGGATAGGGAGGAGGAAGAGGCCACGTAAGGGCTTTGACGCTGCACGGAGGAGCATCTGTTGTCACAGCGGGCAGGGAGAGGGGAGCAATTTCGCATCTTGGATTTGCAGGGCTGGCGACGTACGGTGTGAAAGAAGTTCAACATACACGCATACATTCTAAGTGGGGGTGGCCACACAGAAGTGGCGTGATTTACAGGAGGCTTGAGCTGATTTAGATATATCGGTCTATCTGCAGCAGAATGTTACTGAGTAACCAGCATAGCAATGCTGTGTACAATGCAGTCTGCAGTGACACAGTGTGTAGTGATACAGCGTGTAGTGTCACAGTGTGTAGTGTCACAGTGTGTAGTGATACAGCGTGTAGTGTCACAGTGTGTAGTGACACAGCGTGTAAACTAGAGACACAGTGTGTAGTGATACAGCGTGTAGTGTCACAGTGTGTAGTGACACAGTGTGTAGTGATACAGCGTGTAGTGTCACAGTGTGTAGTGACACAGCGTGTAAACTAGAGACACAGTGTGTAGTGACACAGTGTGTAGTGACACAGTGTGTAAACTAGTGACAGTGTGTAGTGACAGTGTGTAAACCAGACACAATGTGTAGTGACACAGTGTGTAAACTAGTGACACAGTCTGTAGTGACACAGTGTGTAAACTAGTGACAGTGTGTAGTGACACAGTGTGTAAACTAGTGACAGTGTGTAGTGACACAGTGTGTAAACTAGAGACAGTGTGTAATGACACAGCGTGTAAACTAGTGACAGTGTGTAGTGACACTGTGTAAACTAGTGACACAGTGTGTAGTGACACAGTGTGTAGTGACACAGCGTGTAAACTAGTGACAGTGTGTAGTGACACAGTGTGTAGTGACACAGCGTGTAAACTAGTGACAGTGTGTAGTGACACAGTGTGTAAACTAGTGACACAGTGTGTAGTGACACAGTGTGTAGTGACACAGCGTGTAAACTAGTGACACAGTGTGTAGTGACACAGTGTGTAGTGATACAGTGTGTAAACTAGAGACAGTGTGTAGTGACACAGCGTGTAAACTAGTGACACAGTGTGTAGTGACACAGTGTGTAGTGACACAGTGTGTAAACTAGAGACACAGTGTGTAGTGACACAGCGTGTAAACTAGTGACACAGTGTGTAGTGACACAGTGTGTAAACTAGAGACACAGTGTGTAGTGACACAGCGTGTAAACTAGTGACACAGTGTGTAGTGACACAGTGTGTAAACTAGTGACACAGTGTGTAGTGACACAGTGTGTAGTGACACAGTGTGTAAACTAGACACACAGTGTGTAGTGACACAGCGTGTAAACTAGTGACACAGTGTGTAGTGACACAGTGTGTAGTGACACAGCGTGTAAACTAGTGACAGTGTGTAGTGACACAGTGTGTAGTGACACAGTGTGTAAACTAGACACACAGTGTGTAGTGACACAGCGTGTAAACTAGTGACACAGTGTGTAGTGACACAGTGTGTAGTGATACAGTGTGTAAACTAGAGACACAGTGTGTAGTGACACAGCGTGTAAACTAGTGACACAGTGTGTAGTGACACAGTGTGTAGTGATACAGTGTGTAAACTAGAGACACAGTATGTAGTGACACAGCGTGTAAACTAGTGACACAGTGTGTAGTGACACAGTGTGTAGTGATACAGCGTGTAAACTAGTGACACAGTGTGTAGTGACACAGTGTGTAGTGACACAGCGTGTAAACTAGTGACAGTGTGTAGTGACACAGTGTGTAGTGATACAGTGTGTAAACTAGAGACACAGTGTGTAGTGATACAGTGTGTAAACTAGAGACACAGTGTGTAGTGACACAGCGTGTAAACTAGAGACACAGTGCGTAGTGACACAGCGTGTAGTGACACAGTGTGTAGTGACACAGTGTGTAAACTAGAGACACAGTGTGTAGTGACACAGTCTGTAGTGACACAGTGTGTAGTGACACAGTGTGTAAACTAGTGACACAGTGTGTAGTGACACAGCGTGTAAACTAGAGACACAGTCTGTAGTGACACAGTGTATAAACTAGACAGTGTGTAAAGACACAGTGTGTAGTGACACAGTGTTTAGTGACACAGCGTGTAAACTAGAGACACAGTGTGTAGTGACACAGCGTGTAAACTAGAGACACAGTGCGTAGTGACACAGCGTGTAGTGACACAGTGTGTAGTGACACAGTGTGTAAACTAGAGACACAGTGTGTAGTGACACAGTCTGTAGTGACACAGTGTGTAGTGACACAGTGTGTAAACTAGTGACACAGTGTGTAGTGACACAGCGTGTAAACTAGAGACACAGTCTGTAGTGACACAGTGTATAAACTAGACAGTGTGTAAAGACACAGTGTGTAGTGACACAGTGTTTAGTGACACAGCGTGTAAACTAGAGACACAGTGTGTAGTGACACAGTGTGTAAACTAGAGACAGTCTGTAGTGTCACGGTGTGTAGTGACACAGTGTGTAAACTAGTGACACAGTGTGTAGTGACACAGCGTGTAAACTAGAGACAGTCTGTAGTGACACATTGTGTAAACTATACACAGTGTGTAAAGACACAGCGTGTAGTGACACAGTGTGTAGTGACACAGCGTGTAAACTAGAGACAGTGTGTAGTGACACAGCGTGTAAACTAGTGACACAGTGTGTAGTGACACAGTGTGTAGTGACACAGCGTGTAAACTAGAGACACAGTGTGTAGTGACACAGCGTGTAAACTAGAGACACAGTGTGTAGTGACACAGTGTGTAAACTAGAGAGTGTGTAGTGACACAGTGTGTAGTGACACAGTGTGCCACTGCGCCCAATGAAACTGGAACCTGGATGTGAGTTGCCAGCGCACGGCTCTGACATGGCCCTAATGAGTAAGGCCATGGACCCACCACCCCCACCCACTCAATTCGACCCTAAAGGAAATTTTTAATTGCGTCAAATGCCACGAGACGCGATGGCATTTAGACACTAGGGCATGTGAATTGACAACCGTTTGTCGTTGTTGTACCAGTTTCATCCTCATTAGGACTCATCAGTACAGTGCTGTACAGCCATCATTCCCTACCGCTACAATTTGTGACCGAGGGATTTATGATGAGCGACCAGCCCTGTTCCTGCACGGTGGAGGCCCAGGAGGGCAGAGAAATCTGCGCTACAGGCAAAGCTACTTACAAGCGCCATGCAAAGCTCAGTGATAATTAAACACAAAACGAAGACTCCCCCGTGTAGCTTACACAGGCTGCTGGGGCAAGTGCTCTTAGCGAGCACCTATGAAGACCACTATGCATGTATGTACGTTGAACTTCTTTCACACCGTACGTAGCCAACCGTGCTTATCGGAAGTACGGAGGAAGGATAAACTTAGGGGCCTTACATAAATGACGTCACGCACCTAGGGGTGGGGGAGGGGTCAGACATTTGTGACGATGTGTGACGAGGGGGGGGGGGGCTTGAGAAATGTGACGTCACATCAAAATGCGCAACTTTAAATAAATATAGCCAACACGTTCTACTTAATTAAATAGACTTTTTATATATATGTTTTTCTCCTACAACATCAGAGTGCAGCGCCACATTAAATACGCACTACAATGACAATATTTTAAAGCGATTTGAAGCATGTTTTTTTTGGGGGGGGGCAGAGCTTTGTGACGTCATATTTGAGAGGGGGGGGGTCTGACTTTTTGTGACGTCGTGACGAAGGGGGGGGGGGGTCAAAAATCGTCCAAAATCGCGTGACGTCATTTATGGACGGCCCCTTACACACACAAAGCAGTGATAAAGAATTGAGTTTGCATGGCACATGGGAGGGTGGGTGGCCAACACCACGCCCGACCGTCTTTGTCTCCCCATTGCCGACGTTTTATACACACCGCTGCAGGTACTTATTTAAGGCTGAGTTGACCTAGGGGCGTTCACAGGACCGGTTCTATTATTTGCCACTGTTGGTCATGAATGGGAATCAAGCCGAGTTTGCAGCGCAGTGCGCTAACTACTACACTACCTCTCCCCATTCAAAGAAAAAAAAGTCTTAACAGGCTGTTGGGGCAAGTGCTGTTAGCGAGCACCTATGAAGGCCGGGATGGCACACAAAGGGGTGGGTGACCAGGACCACGCCTGACCGCCTTTGTCTCCCCAGTGACGATGTTTACACACCGCACCAGCTACTATTTGAGGCTGAGTCGACCGAGGGGAGGCCTAGGCCCGGTTCAGATAATTGTCACTGGTGTTGACCGTGAGCGGGGATCGAACTCGGGTCGCTGAGCTCGTAGCATGGCGTGCTACCCGCTACACTACTGCTCCCCACACACTACGTACGGTGTGAAAGAAACTCAACATACATACATACACACGCACATGCAAGGGTCTGCAGGGCACTCACCAGCTCCTTGTACTCCCTGTGGATGTCCGTGTATGAAAGCTTATTCTCCTCTCCTGGATCGAACACTGAGTGTCAGAAGTTTCAGAATCAGACAGTTTATTCTCCTCATCTGGATCGAACAATGAGTGTCAGAAGTTTCAGAATCAGATAATTTATTTCCCATTGAAATAAAGTCCATTGAGCCGCACGGCCCCCTCCCTGTTCAAGGGGCGACTTCGGCCGCCAGACAACTACCGCAGCAAAGCGTTACAACAAATGACCAGTTAATACGCTCGCTTAAGTAAAATAAAATCTAATAACATTATCTTCAAATGTAAACACGAACAGATGAATGCCAGCAGGCAACAGCAGCAGCAAATATACAGTTAATACGCGCATGCTTTAAAAAAAAATGTTCACCATAACAATATTCTCTTCAAACGTTAACATGTTCACAGTTATGTCCAATCGCACTTTGATACTCTGTGATCTCCGCGGGGTTTGTTTAAGGGAATGCGGGGATGGCAGAGTGGATGGAGATTGCCAAGGAGAAGACACCAACCAGGTGATTCCTAAACCTTCCAGCAGCTACAGAAAACGCTCTCGAGCCAAATTGTAAATGGAATCTGTGAATTGTCAACAAACAATCGCAACTGATCAGCATGCTGAAGTAGAGTGAAACCAACCCCTTTGATCACCATGGCATTGAGAGTCCTTCATCCAGCAGTGGATTTACAAATAAGTGTGAATGATGCCAATTATTCAGGCAGGAATGTCAAACCGACTCTCAGCACTCACTATTTCTGGAGGAATCGCTCCTGCATGGTGATGTTTGCCCAATCCCTTGAATGAGTTGTTTGGGTTCGTGCCGGAGAAAACCCACCAGCACGCGCGCGGAGGAGATGGCACGCAACGCTGCCGTGTTCTGGACAACCCGTAGCACCCATGCCTACCACACACGGCAGGCTCTGGTGGTCACCCATCCAAGTAATAGCCAGGCTTAACTCTGCTTAGCACCCAAGATCCAGCGAGATCAAGTGCATTCGGGGTGATTTGTTCAGAGACGAGAGCAGCGGCGTAGTGTGGTTGGCATGGGCCCCTGATGCAAGATATTCATTAATCCTGCCCCCCCACTCCCCTGCCCCCATTCCCCTGCCCCTTTCCTTCCAATTCCTTCCCTCCAAGTGAGTCGTCCGAGCCCCAAAGGCAGCTGCTGGAAAGCCGTGACCTTTAGCGACAAGCGGAGAACGTGCTACCGCTGAGCCATGCCCTGTTCATATCGCGATGATGATGAAGAAGATGATTTATCATTCAACAATCTGCAGTGTACTGCCTCGTTAGGGACCATCCATTTAGTACGTACGCAAAAAATCTGTCAAAACTTGACTCCACCCCCGATATTTAATCCACGCAGAAACGACCAAAGATTCATAATATTAACGAGGCTTCACCTTCACCCCCCCGCCACCCGTTTCCTATGCGTACGCACATTGTAGACCCCCAATACGCAAGCGCACGCATTTGTGTTAACCCCCCCGCCCCCCTCGATGCGTACGTACTAAATGGATGGCCCCTTCGGCCCTGTGCTCAGAGAGTCCCAGAGCTCCCGGGCTGGGAGCGCCCGTTGCCTCGTTACCACCGAGGCGTCGGGCATCGAGGTGGCACGGGGCTCTGTGCCCACTCCGCACAGTCAACACGCGAGTCTCGCGCGCGCGGGGAAGATCAACCAACGTGAGTGACACCGCGACGGCGTCGCTACCGGCGTCCGGGGCTTGGACATGGACGCGCCGTTGAAGGATGCCGGTGTGACGCCGGATGTGGACACACGTCGCCCAGCGCTAGGCTGTGCCTGTGTGCCTGTGCGCGTGCTAGTTTCGTGGGGAGCGGTGGTGTAGCGGTTAGCGCTACGCTGCGCTGCGAACCTGGCTCCCCGGGTTCGATTCCCGCTCACGGCCAACACCGGTGACGATTATCTGAACCGGTCCTGGGTCTCCCCTAGGTCGACTCGGTCTCAAATGAGTCGCTGGTGCGATGTGTAAACATCGCCACTGGGGAGACAAAGGCGGCCGGGCGTGGTGTTGGCCACTCACCCCTTCGTGTGTCGTGCCGGCCTTCATAGGTGCTCGCTAACAGCACTTGCCCCTACAGTCTGTTACAGGCTATACGGGGGATCTTTGTCTTTTTGTTTTCCCATCCGTCAGTCATCTCTGGGAGCGAGCCAATGGCGAACCTGGGTCTGTCCCGTGACCTCATGTCAGCGAGCATTCGACACTTCACGTGGCCACAAAGTGCACCCAGCCTGGCACAAGCGCTGTGGTGATGTCGACACTACTTAATAACGAATGGTGGCTGTTGTCTATAATAAAGGTTGTTGTTGGGTTAGATAGCGTAAATATAAATGTGTCGATAAACCCGCCACCACCCGACACAGCCAATTAGTAAGGTTTGTCAGCTAAACAAAACGTGCCAATTCGTTACTACTTCAGGAAATTGGTATGTTGGAGGATAAATCCACAACGTTGTGGTGGCGGGTTTAATGACACATTCATATTCATACGATCTAACCCCAAATCACCCTTTATTATACGTACTTTTGGTCGCGAAAGCCTACAAGGACACTTGAGCCCGAACCTGTAATTGTATTTTGTTTAACCAGGCGAGAAGTCAAGAGCCTAGGGACGGTCTCATTCGCAAGAGCAATCTGGGTCACTGGAGAGACTTAGGCGAGGCGCACGGACCACCTTGATGAGGTCAAATCTCAGCCGCTCGCCGTCTACGACGCCGACAACCGAAGTGGGCACCGACCACCGCCCGGGGTGCTTAGAAGGGGCGCGCGCAGCCGCCGGTTAAGTGGCTGGCCGAGGTTGGGCCTCACTTTGAACGTCGAGTTCGCGCAAGGTGATATCGACGTTAATTGAAAACGACACCCCCGCCAACGTCGCCCGGCTCCAGCAGGGCATCATCCTTGCGTGGCACCGGTTAAATTCCCGCTCAAAGGTGCAGTGGCAAAGCTATCGAGTTTGCGGGCGGCTTGGCCAAGAGAGGGTGCCCAGGTCCCCTTCCGCGTGAAAATATGACATTGGACATGGGGCCCCGTTTAATTCCTTTCAACAGGGCCCATGGCAACATGCTACGTCACTAGTCAGGTGTTTACACAGCACAGAACCTCCATCGTTCCGTCTGTGCTGCTGCCCCTATGGAATTGTCTCCCGCAGCCATTCGTACCTATGCTGACGCCTTGTCATTGGTCCGAACTGGCAGGCAATGCGCCGTGTCACTCTTGGGAATTAAAATAGCCTAGCTAAACAAAATAAACTTGAAACTTGGTCAAGTCCAGGCTCATTAAATGTGCGTATTTCTTATCAACTTCTTTCGCACCGTACGTAGCCAACCGTGCTAATCGGAGGTGCCAATGACAGTCTCCTATCAATGATGTCTTCAATCACACCTTACCTTGAACATACTGTGTATACTTACACCCTTTTCCAGTGGTCCTGCCTTACGTACATGTCACCCAGTGTCTTGAGTTGGAGCTGTACATGGATGCTGTAAAAATCCAAGCCTAAGGCCAATTAACCTGGAATACACCTCGGCTTCATCACGTCTCGGAAGCTCAACAGATTTGAGCCTGCATTGGGCTTGGATGTGCAACCACTATGCACGTCTGGTTTTCATAGGCGGCTGCGGGACTATGCTATGTTGTGAGTAGCAGCGGGAAAATGCAGCAAAATCCATCGTTGTACTGTGCTTCTATGCTCCTCAATTGCACCAACCCGCGGTGACCAACGTGATGGTAGCATGGTCAAATAACCACCACGATCTGTAAGGCGTGGGGAGAGACAAGTGCAGCTCAATGCCACAGGAGTGCGATTTGTGGCCATGCAACCCGAACTATGGAGCATATAGTAAACCCATAGAGACACACAGACACATGGAGATATATAGAGATACATAGAGATACATAGGGACCCATAGAGATACATAGCGGCACATAGGGACCCATAGAGATACATATAGACACATAGGGACCCATAGAGATACATATAGACACATAGGGACCCATAGAGATACACAGAGACACATAGGGACCCATAGAGATACATAGGGACCCATAGAGATACACAGACATACATAGAGATATATAGAAGTACACAGATACATAGGGACCCATAGAGATACATAGTAACACATAGGGACGCATAGAGATACACAGAGACACAAACTTCAGACGGGCATGTATATGTACTTTCTTGAGCAGGGGGACCTTGCGGGCGCTGCAGGATTTCAGTCCTTCACGGTGTAGTGTGTTACCAATTGTTTTCTTGGTGACTATGGTCCCAGCTGCCTTGAGATCATTGACAAGATCCTCCCGTGTAGTTCTGGGCTGATTCCTCACCGTTCTCATGATCATTGCAACTCCACGAGGTGAGATCTTGCATGGAGCCTCAGGCCGAGGGAGATTGACAGTTCTTTTGTGTTTCTTCCATTTGCGAATAATCGCACCAACTGTTGTCACCTTCTCACCAAGCTGCTTGGCAATGGTCTTGTAGCCAATTCCAGCCTTGTGTAGGTCTACAATCTTGTCCCTGACATCCTTGGAGAGCTCTTTGGTCTTGGCCATGGTGGAAAGTTTGGAATCTGGTTGATTGATTGCTTCTGTGGACAGATGTCTTTTATACAGGTAACAAGCTGAGATTAGGAGCACTCCCTTTAAGAGTGTGCTCCTAATCTCAGCTCGTTACCTGTGTAGAGGTGTTAACTACGCGCTGTTGCGTAACCTGCATTGCCACCAGGGCAGTGCAGCATTACCCCTGGGTACAACGGTTGGGGTCATTCGAGGTGAAACGGATCGTGGCCAGGGTTTGGTACGAACCAATCAGACGGTTCCACGTGGGAATGTATGATTGGTTCTACCTGGCCACGAAGGAGTATAAGACAGGTGACCCAACGGACCTCGTGGAGTTCTCTCCCTGCACGAAGATAGAAGACTGGGCTGAAGCCTAGCTAGGACCCTGGACCAGCCTCCCAGCCCTTCTAAGGGCTAAGGCTCGGCATACCCAGTGGTCAGGACCCACCCGGCCAGCGGTGGGTCAGATAGCCTCCCCTAGGTCCTAGCCGGAGGACTAGGATAGCGATAGACGTGTGAGTCCCGCCAGGTCCGGAGGTTGTACCTCCTTAGGTATCAAGGAGGTTAGCGGTAGACGTGTGAGTCCCGCCAGGTCCGGAGGCTGTACCTCCCTAGGGTATCGGGTGAGGGGACCGAATATCCCTCTGTGTGTGTTAAGCGTTGTATAAGGAAATAATACAATAAACAGAGTGTGCCTCCTAAAGAAGTCTGCTCGTCCTTACAACACTACACCTGTATAAAAGACACCTGGGAGCCAGACATCTTTCTGATTGAGAGGGGGTTAAATACTTATTTCCCTCAATAAAATGCAAATCAATTTATAACATTTTTGACATGCGTTTTTCTGGATTTTGTTGTTGTTATTCTGTCTCTCACTGTTCATATAAACCTACCATTAAAATTATAGACTGATCATTTCTTTGTCAGTGGGCAAACGTACAAAATCAGCAGGGGATCAAATACTTTTTTCCCTCACTGTAGATACACACAGGGGCCCATAGAGATACATTAAAGACAAGCCACAGTTGTATGATTGTGGCCATGCCACCCCAACTATGGACCAGGTAGTAAACCCACTGTAGTCTACGCTCCTTCAATGGGTGGCCGACCAACTGGAACTCTCTCCTGAAGCCCTCTCGTCGTGGCCAGGAGACCTCGACAATGGAATCTCGCTCCCGAACTTTCTGCTGCCATACGGTTTAGTAGAATAGAACGCGGCATGGGGGAGACACTCATGAAGCTGTGGGATTGACATTATTAAAAACGGGGGTTCGTATTTTGTACATACCGTTAGGGGGGAGCCCCCATCGTCCAGCAGTGGATCGACCATGGTGCAGTGGTTAGCGCCCTGCACTACGAACCATGGCTACCCTGGTTCGTCTCCCACTCACGGCCAACACCAGTGACGAGTATTTGAACCGGTCCTGGTCCTCCCCTAGGTCGATTCAGCATAAAAAAGTACCTGTTGCCATTTGTTAACATCGTGGGGTTGGCCACCCTACTCGAGTTCCGACCCGGCCTTCATAGGTGCTCACTAATTGCACTTACCCCAGCAGTCTGTGAAGGCTATACCGGGGATCTTTGTATTTCGGCATTAGAGTCTGTATTTACACTGCAGGAGGAATCCGATGAGCTATAAAGCTCATGTTCACAGATGTCCAGTAGGCGCACAGGGTCAGAACGTTGCAACAAACAAACAATACGAGAATAACGACAGGAGTCCAGAGTACGGTATCACAAAGATAAGCAAATCACTAAAACAAATCAACGTTTATTTCACCAGCTAAAGCCCACTGAGCTTACTAATTGGATGTGACATAACCTCACTAATTGGCTGTATCGGGTGGTGACGGGTTTAACGACTCATTTATATATTTACGCGAACTAACCCCTCCAACCCCCCCCCCCCCCTGTATTATGGTTGATATTGGTCGCGAAAGCCGACTACGTGTGAACCCCACTGAGCTATGAGCTTCTTCTCCACAAGCGACCTTGGCCACGAATGACAATAAAGCGGAAACGCACGGCAGCCACAAGCGGGATGTAAACACACAACTCGTGTCAGTCAGACGTTTCGGGCCCGCAACCTACCCGTGCACCTGTGCTCGATGAATCCCATCACGGGGTCTGCCCACAGCGGACTGTGCAGGAACCCCACCACGCTGTCAACCACCCAGTCGCTCATGCTCCCACCCTCATGCCCAGGGACACCCCCGCCACCAGAATCCTCCTCTCCAGCGCGAAGCAGCAACGAAGTCGTCCACGTCGCCCCCCACCCCGAGAGAGACCTTGGGATGCTGACCGGGCCCTAGCTGGGTAGCCCACCCTACCACCACCACCACCTCCAACTCGGACCCTCTTTGTCACTGCATCCGTCCAAGTAGTCCTGCCTCTTTGTTCTTCTCGGTCTCTTGGGATCCTGGACTCCTCGACTCCTGGGTTCCTTGAGTAACCTCTTCGTCTTTAGGGGGTGCCAAGACCCTGGGCCGGTGGTTGGTCCTCAGATCCTGAGGCTCTCGGGACCCTGAGCTCCTCTGCTTCTTGATTTCCTGAGGTCCTCGTCGTTTTTGTTGACGTGTGAGCTCTTGGTCTCTTGGGTCCCCTGAGCTATTAGGGTCCTGCGAACCGGTCCGAGTTGGTTATCTTGTACTCAGTCCCTCCACTGCTGAGCTCCCGTGCCACTACCGCCAGCTGCAGCTGCCGTCTCTCTCTCCCCCTCGCCCTCTCTCTCTCTCTCCACCTCTCTCTCCCTTCACGCCCTCCCCGTCCCTGGGCCGAGTCTTAAACCCCAGATCAGCCGCCTGCGACGCGGCCGCATCCCGTGGCCATGACAACGGAGATCGGTCGTCTCCGATGGCAACGCGGGGAGGGAGGAGGGTGGGGGGTTGAGTTGGAGCGCGGCTGCCATGGTAACGCCGGGCCCCGCCCTCCATGAGCAACGCCCCTCCTAAACCCGACGTGACGTCACGAGTAACCATTTGGGGGAGGGGCGGCGGATTTGGATTTCCGACAGGGCGTGCACGTTGGGGTGAGGGGGGGGACCCGACTGATCACGTGAGAGAAGATGGACCAATGGGGGAAAGGGCTGCGCCCGACGCCTGTCCGCGCTACGGATTGTAAACGTCGGGGATCGCGCATGCGCACAGCGGCGCGCGGCACAATTCAAACGAGAAGCCGTTGGGCGGTTCTGTGAGGGGACTCGGCGGGTTCGGTAAGGGGACTCAGTAGGGGTCCTGTAAGGGGACTCGGTAGGGGTCCTGTGAGGGGACTCGGTAGGGGTCCTGTGAGGGGACTCGGTAGGGGTCCTGTGAAGGGACTTAGTAGGGGTCCTGTGAGGGGACTCGGTAGGGGTCCTGTGAGGGGACTCGGTAGGGGTCCTGTGAGGGGACTCGGTAGGGGTCCTGTGAGGGGACTCGGTAGGGGTCCTGTGAGGGGACTCGGTAGGGGTCCTGTGAGGGGACTCGGTTGGGGTCCTGTGAGGGGACTCGGTAGGGGTCCTGTAAGGGGACCTAGTAGGGGTCCTGTGAGGGGATTCGGTAGGGGTCCTGTGAGGGGACTTAGTAGGGGTCCTGAGAGGGGACTTAGTAGGGGTCCTGTGAGGGGACTTAGTAGGGGTCCTGTGAGGGGATTCGGTAGGGGTCCTGTGAGGGGACTCGGCGGGTTCGGTAAGGGGACTCAGTAGGGGTCCTGTGAGGGGACTCAGTAGGGGTCCTGTGAGGGGACCTAGTAGGGGTCCTGTGAGGGGACTCGGTAGGGGTCCTGTGAGGGGATTCGGTAGGGGTCCTGTGAGGGGACTCGGTAGGGGTCCTGTGAGGGGACTCGGTAGGGGTCCTGTGAGGGGACTCGGTAGGGGTCCTGTAAGGGGACCTAGTAGGGGTCCTGTGAGGGGATTCGGTAGGGGTCCTGTGAGGGGACTTAGTAGGGGTCCTGAGAGGGGACTCAGTAGGGGTCCTGTGAGGGGACTTAGTAGCGGTCCTGTGAGGGGATTCGGTAGGGGTCCTGTGAGGGGACTCGGCGGGTTCGGTAAGGGGACTCAGTAGGGGTCCTGTGAGGGGACTCAGTAGGGGTCCTGTGAGGGGACCTAGTAGGGGTCCTGTGAGGGGACTCGGTAGGGGTCCTGTGAGGGGACCTAGTAGGGGTCATGTAAGGGGACTCGGTAGGGGTCCTGTGAGGGGACCTAGTAGGGGTCCTGTGAGGGGACTCGGTAGGGGTCCTGTGAGGGGACTCAGTAGGGGTTCTGTGAGGGGACTCAGTAGGGGTCCTGTGAGGGGACTCGGTAGGGGTCCTGTGAGGGGATTCGGCGGGGTCCTGTGAGGGGACTCAGTAGGGGTCCTGTGAGGGGACTCGTTAGGGGTCCTGTGAGGGGACTCGGTAGGGGTCCTGTGAGGGGACTCGGTAGGGGTCCTGTGAGGGGACTCGGTAGGGGTCCTGTGAGGGGACTCGGTAGGGGTCCTGTGAGGGGACTCGGTAGGGGTTATGTGAGGGGACTCGGTAGGGGTCCTGTAAGGGGACTCGGTAGGGGTCCTGTGAGGGGACTCGATAGGGGTCCTGTGAGGGGACTCGGTAGGGGTCCTGTGAGGGGACTCGGTAGGGGTTATGTGAGGGGACTCGGTAGGGGTCCTGTAAGGGGACTCGGTAGGGGTCCTGTGAGGGGATTCGGCGGGGTCCGGTGAGGGGACTCGGCGGGGTCCGGTGAGGGGATACGAAGGGGACTGTGGTTTGAGTCTTTGTCAGGGTCGTGGTCTGGCTTAGATCTGGGTGGGATCAAAGTTGGGATTTGGGACTCTTAGGGTCTGTGTTGGTGTCTCATCGGGGTCTGGGTTGTGGTCTGTGTTCAAGTTGTCGGTGTTTAGGTCGAGGTATAATCGGGGTTTGGGTGGAGGTTTTTGTAGGGTTTGTATCTTTTTGGGGTCTGATTAGTTTGTAAATCCAGTTCCGTGTTGGGGTTTAGTTTGAGTCCGCTGCAGAATCTCTGTCAGTGTCGGGTCAAGGCTTGGTCTTGGTCGCGCTTGGCCTTTCCAGCGGTGATGACGGGTCTCGTCTTGTCGAGATTGTCAAGGAGATTGAGGCTTGAAACAGATGAGGACACTGGGACTCAAGGAGATGGGGATACAGGAACTCAAAGAGATGAGGACACTGGGACTCAGGGGATACAGGGTCTCAGGCTGTCAAGTATACAATAGGGGTGGAGGTAGCTGTAAACGGTCAGGAGTAGTGGATGCTTGTTGAGCCATGGATTGCAAGATCTTACTAATCATTAATATGCCGCCCATTAACTTTTATTCCGACTCGGATATGGGGGGTGAGGAGTGTTCTGGCGTGAGCAATGATGGTGATCGCGATTGCGATGCCAATGATCGTAAACGATGGCGATCACAGTCCGTTTCCTCTGTTGACAGGTAAAGCAGCGGAGATGTTTGACGACGACGAGAGCGAGAACAGGTTTAGTGTACCCTTGAACTGCCTCTACATTCCTCCCTATCCACACGCAGCACCCACATCTGTTGTCAGCCCTTTCCCGCCACGTCTGTCTTTGTGTGACCCCCCCTTGTCAAACTCGGTCGTGTGTATGTGTGCGTTTTGCAGCGCGCAAGCCTCGCAGGCGAACCACAGGAAGAGGCTTTCTTCGGTAAGCGGCTCTGCTGCTGCTGTTGTGGTTTTTTTTACCGTGTGGCGGGCTGCGGTGCCCCCCCCACCCCCTGCCCTGCCAGGTTGAACGAGGCCAGTGAGAAATTCGCCTGCTAATGGGGATTGTGCCAGGATATTTGTTTGGTTTTTTTCACGATAACAATTTGTTACGGTGTCGACGTTCACAATTCGATTATTTATCACCGTATCGGTTTCCGAATAACTGCGGTTATGTCACGTGTTGCTTTGCTGTACCTCAAATATCAATGAGTACAAAAAGTTCAACTGTAGTGCACTCTCCATAAGAGTGCCATCAGTCTTTTAATCTTTGCAACGTGACAATCTGTAACACTTCGATATATATTCTTGGTTCTTTCGGTAAAGTGACGTATAAGGGAAACAATAAAATAATAAAAATATAAAACAATAAAATTCTCACGACGTTTCGACTACAACACAAGCAGTCATCATCAGGTGTGAAAACCACAGCAAGAAAATTTGAAAAAGAGTGGAGATTATTTTTAACGTTAGCACCACGGAGAGCGATTTGACAGTTTATTCAGATGGACGAGTCCATCTATGTTCGGAAAAGAGGAGGGGGGAGACGATAATAATGGATGCGGTCTGAAAGACACCGTAAGCGTGAACAATCAATTAAGACCCGAAATGGTTGATCAAATCCTTCAAATGATTGCTAGGCCAGAATCCATCTTCTCGGTTGAAATTGTCTCTGTGTTTGTATATGTGGATAGCCTCATGAACGAATCTCTCATGGTAGCCAGATGGCTTGCAAATAACCTCTGTCTTGGAGAAGTCAATGTCATGTGAGCCTACTGAATTATAACATTGGTCTGCCACGGCCGAGGTGTTGGTCCTACCGTGTTTATGGTCTGCTTTGTGTTCACGAATGCGGTCCGAGACATGGCGTTTTGTTTCTCCAGTGTAACTACTACCACAGAGGCAACTTAGTTTGTAGACACCAGGGTACTGTATGTCCGGAATCACATCTTTTACAGACGGAACCAGATCACGGATTTTATGTAATGTGTTGAATCGGACCTGGATCTTGTGTTTATTCAAGATTTTGGAGATCTTTTTTGTGATCCCCGCAATGTAGGGTAAAGTGATGGTTTTGAAAGGCTCCTCAAGAGGGTCCTTCTTCATGGTTGGAGAGATAGCTTTGCAGATTGTGTAGTCGGAGTAACCATTAGCCTTAAGAGCTTGGTGTACGTGCTTGAGTTCACTGGCTATGTGTGCCTGGTCGGATATGCATTGGGCTCTATGGTGCACAGTCTTGATGAGGGAATTCTTCTGGGATGGATGGTTGTGGGAATCCGGTTTCAGGTAAGCATCCGTATGGGTAGCTTTCCTGTAGACAGAGTGGCTCATTGAACCATCAGGTCTCTTTTTTATTAGGACATCCAAAAAAGGTAGCTTGCCATCTTTTTCGACTTCGATGGTAAATCTGATAACTTAGAAGATATGCTGTCAGAAACACAAGCAGGTAAATTAAATTAACTACAACAATAGGCTATGCTTTAAGTTGTAATTGATGAAAGCAAGCACGTTTAATGGGTAATATAGCTGTTTATTTACAACTTTAACTCTTGTGTTGTTTCACAAAAAAATTGTGAGGTGTAATATAGCAATGATGTTTTGCAAACTGGACGATACAGTTATCGTTGACCTTATATCGTAAAATATTTAACATGATTGTCATGTTGCGGCAGCCTCATTGCGAGGCCACTTTCGAAGTTGCGTTTCCAAACACACTTAACGCTGCTTTCATAAGTTTGTCGTCTGACCCCGAACTGAGATTTTACTGGTGGCTGAGTATGTTGACCCCGATGTTAGTACCGACTGATTGGAAATATTGTCTGGTGCTCGGTGGATGTGTTCCAACCCCACAATCACACCCTCGGTGTGCTGTGCCATGTCACTAATGGTCGCCCCGTCTCCTTCCCCACAGATCCTGAAAGTCCCGGAGAAACCGGTTTTGGAAGAGCGAGATGACAATAAAATGGTAACGTAGCAGGCGGCGGATCTGCCGTCCCTTGAAGTCCGCACCGGTGCGATGCGAGGTGGAAGTTATGCTCGTGATGCCCCCCCGCTGATGATTTCACACCACATAACTTTCGTGTCGTGTTTTCCCTTCCCCCCCCCCCCCCAGCAGGCAGACACGGTGGTGCGCAGGAAGTCTCTGAAGCTTTCGCGGAGGGTCAGCTTCGCCACAACAGACCACGTGAAGTAAGGGAGTGCTTCCCGCTTGGTTATGCAGCCTGCTTTAAAAATCAAGGTCAAGGGGTCACCATGGCCAATGTCATTAATGGACACCATGCCTTCTGTCCATTAATGACACCACACCTAGTGGTTGCAAAGTTGACATCTGATGCAATATGGTGCAATGCTCACTGCTAGAATTCATCAACTCTTGATTATCCAGGGTGAGGTGGAAATGGTAGTCTGGATAAAGCTCGGATAACACAAAACTTGTAACTTAGGCTACCGACATGTATTAATTGTGTACCTACATCCAATGGGGGTGAAGCTGTAGAATGTGCATTTGCTTTAATTGTGCCTTAGAGTTATTGGTTTACTTTGTGGTCACAAGGGCAATTGAGTGACTGACCCTTGCTAAGTGAGAAGCAACTAATAATTAAATCGTCAGGAGTGTTTTTCAGTTTTTTGTAAGCGTGGTTCTCTGCATCCCATATAAACCACCCCGTGGATAACCAAGAGCGAGCTAATTGGGAAAAAAGCTAGAATGTATGACAAATTCTGTAAATGAACTATTATGTCTGTTTGTGAAGTTTCATAGGTAACTCTGTTATGCATCACTCTTGCAGAGAATTCAACACAGAGACGACCTTTCTCGGCGTCAGCGTTGGTAAGTTTACGCAAACAATCATTTCGCTAACAAAGCCATGCTTATTCTTGGTTCTTTTGGTAAAGTCACGTAGAAGGGAAACAATAAAATAATAAAAATATAAAACAATAAAATTCTCACGACGTTTCGACTGCAACACAAGCAGTCATCATCAAATTTCTTGCTGTGGTTTTCACACCTGATGATGGCTGCTTGTGTTGCAGTCGAAACGTCGTGAGAATATAATTGTTTTATATTTTTATTATTTTATTGTTTCCCTTCTACGTGACTTTACCGAAAGAACCAAGAATATGAATCCCTGCAGTCACGAAAGCTTGAAATCAAAAATTAAAGCCATGCTTGTTGCCAAGCGTGAAACGATTCCCCACCCATGCGATTTGATGGATTGTCATGAGAGGGATTACACTTTTTCCTTGTGTGGGTGTGATCCGAGAAATTAAAAAGTTTACTTTTCCATACACAGATTGAATGGACAATCTAATGTAGGTCAATTTTAGATAATCCACAGTAATGAAATAGAGGAATGATCCACATGAAAGAACCACACAGATAATTAAAAACATGATTTTAGCTATATAGCCATACTTATTGTTTATCTTTGTAGAATGGGGGTTATGACCTGGAATGCGTCGCTTGTATGTATTTTTTTCCCTTATTAAAGTAATATATTTACTTGCCGGTGTGTTTGCGCCTGCGTGGTACTAACCATCCATGACTGAGAAGCGGCTAACGATACATCTAGCCTGCGAGGATGATCACTTGTTGACTGATTAGGATCAATTCTACACAATCGATTCTTAAAGTGCACGATTCGACGCATGTATCATGAGTGTAACGCCGAAGTCACCTTGTCGAACTATCTTGTCGCTTTTGTTGTGTTCTGCAAGTGTTCAGAAATGTCCTATGTTAGACACTGCAACTTATTTTGCTTCCATTTTGCAACATTGTTCCACATTACAATCTGCACCAGGGGTCGGCAACCAACATAATAAGAAGAGACATTTTTTTAGAATTTGGTACAAAACTCAATATTTCAAGAGCCGCAATGCAATGTGAATACACACATAGATTACGTCACGAGGCAGTCCGTAAAAAGCCACATGCAGCTCCCGAACCGCAGGTTGCCGACCCCCTAGTTCACACGGAGATGACAACACATCAAGTTGGCTTGTGGTGGAGCCATCTGTGTGGGTCGTCCAGAGCTATCCCCCAGTATGTGTGGTGTGTATGCTCTGGTTACATTGGCTTCCTCCCACAAGAAGCCAAAACGCTCTTTTATGAAGTTAGCCCAACCATCCTGTTGCGGGACTGTCCTGGAGTGTAAGCGTCCTGAGGCCGTAAAAGGCTTTTGTGGAAAATTAATTACCGTTTTGTCTTTAAACAGATGGTGAACCTCCAGGGAAGGTCGAAGCTGGTCTCTGTGAGGACGCAAGGTGAAGTGGCTGTTGTAAACGAATACTGCTTGAATGGAAGCTACGTTAGCTGTTGGCTGAGCTAATGAACCTCCGTTGTTTCTCTGTGCGCGTGTGTGCAGCCTTCCTGTGGGGCAGAAGATAGCAGGTAAGACCTGCCCCCCCCCCACGATGTTAATGCACGGTCCACAAAAGCACATGTCACAACTGCTACTGAGATACCTACAAGAGACCTGTCCTATCCACACATTAGAGGTGATGCACTTTCCCATGCGCCCTGTGGTAGATAAATGTCTGTCACATGACAAACTTATTTATAAATGTTTTATGGGTGCCACGGTGGGGAGATGTTTTAATCACCTTGCCTGGTATACAGGAGGTTGTGGGTTCGATCTCGACCCTGATGCCTGTATATTTGGAGTTCGTGTGTTTCTTCCCGTGGTCGCGTGGATTTTTCTCCGGGTCCTCCGGTTTTTCCCTCCACATTTATAAACGTTCATTTAAAGTATTTGCCTGCTATACATTTCCACAAGATAAGCCGTTTCGTTGCGCTATCATTTGCGGCCAGGTCGCTTCTGAAAAAGCTCTACAGCTCAGTGGGCCCTTCCTGGTAAAATGAAAATAGTACAGTTTAATCCTCAGAGCTGAAATAAGCTAAATGAAGTGAAAACCGATATTTAACAAGATGCTAAGTTTTTGTATGCCGTCGTTGACCATGGTGAAGCTGTCAACTACACTCGAGAACCCAATTTCATCATGAGTGCTTGAAACCCAGATTTTAAATCAGTAACTCAGCGGCGCTGACTCAACGTCTCTGACACGGCCAATGTGAGACCGCATAGCCATCCAGTCAAATTCTGTCGGTTGCTACATGTTCAGGAGGCTCATAATCTGCGAACGAAGTGTCTCGGTAGTTACAAGCGTGTGACCGTGTGTACTTGTGTGTGGCTTCAGGATTGGACACTCTGCTGCACGGGCCCATCCAGAACCCAGCCCAACTCACCGAGGTCAGCAGTTTCTCCTCTCTGCTCCGAGCCAAGCAGGTCCCAACCTTGCTGTTTTGCTACGGCAGGGAGGGAAATTATTTTTATGGAGAAAACCATTCACACCTTTCTCGATCCCATCTGTTCTCCTGCGTGCATATGGATGAATAGTAGCTTATAAGTCCATGTCCAGATGAATTTATAACTAACTTAATTTTTCCAGAAAAGGGACACTGAGCTATATAACTCTTTTTCAGAAGTGACCTGGCCACATATGATAGCGCAATGTAGTGGCTTATCAAGTGGAAATTTATCGCAGCCAAATACTCGAAATGCATGTTTCTAAATGTCGAGGGAAAAACAGGAGAAGCTGAAGAAAAATCCACATGACCACGGGGAGAGAGACACGTGAACTCTAAATATACACCAGGCGTCCAAGTTTGACATGCAGTGAATTGCTTCGATGCCTCTGTTGAGTTTTCAAAGTTCACAGTGGTTCACTGCCATATGGTATCGCATAGTGACTCGCATCGAGACTCGCGGGCTTGCATAGAGTTTTCAGTGGTTCACTACTTTGTGGGTTTACATAGTGACGTAGAGAGAAGGTATGTCCTGCTCGGTGATGAATGTCCGCAAATTATTTATGGGTGGCAGCGAAACGTCACCCCACAAACGAGGACACGATCAGCCGAGTTGATTCTATGGGGGAGGTTGAGGACACAAAGCTGGAGGTTGTTTTTTTCATTGTATCCCCAGGATGGAGAGGATCTTCTGATTATTCCGGCAGCAGCAAAGGCCCCAGCTGGGGCAGCCAAGTTTGAAAAGATCGACTTCAAAGGTGCAGGAAGCAGCTCTGTGTTTAAAACGAGCAACATTGACACGCGTGATTATCCGCGTTCATAAATGCTAACCATAACCCATCATGCCTGGTGAGTGGGGAAACCATTAAATTCTCCTTTTATTTGCACATACTGTCAAATTCAGCTTGATAAACTCTTTTGATGCATCATGGCCGTTATTTTTTACTCTTACAGCCATTAATGTATGAGCTGTCTCCATATGCCTGGCCGACGCTCCGTCTGTTTGGAACGGGCGGCAGGGGCGGGGGGCTACGGTAACGCTCGTGAACATTATCCAACGTGAACAAAACCTTAGTGTAAAGTTATGTTACTATAAGGAACTTACCCTGTTGAAAATTGGCAAAATTGACCGAAGGCTTGCCTTCACCTTGCCCAGCTGTCTGACCCCTATTGTCTAACTGCAGCTCGCGCACCTTGCGTGAGCGCTCCCCTTATTGCCGGAAATGAAATGCTTCCGAGTATCCATGCAGAGCATTACGGAACTCCGGGTTTATGAATCGTTCAACTAACGTTAGCTTCCCCATTGCCACGTTGTGTCCCCCAAGAAACGCTGAAGAGGCTCAACAGGGGCAAGCCGGAGCCTGGCGGACAGCGCTTCTTCTCGGATCCGTTCTGCGTGGGCGACGGGCTGGCTGACGTCGGGCCGAGCACTGTCGTCCCGGCGAACCGACCGGCGCTGCTGAAGCCAATGCAGGGCGACGTCCCCGCTTTCCCCGCAAGGGTCCCCCACCCCATGCTCGATCGCACTGCCATCTTCGAGGACGACGTGATGGACAAGAAGGTCGGCGCCACCGCCCTCGTTGAGGGCGACTTTGTTGAGCCCTTGCGCAATAAACGCATGGCGGTCGAGTCGCAGACACGGCGCGACGACCCCTACTGCCCGCCCTCTGTGCCCTTCCTGGCGCCGGCGAATGGGGAAAGGGGGGGAGAAGCAGAAGAGGAGATGGAGATGACTCGCAGTCACACGGTCGTGATCCGGACGCAGGAGGTAGAGACGCAGCGTGGTGGGGTGAGGGCTTCCGTGCCGTATGGGCATAAATCTACATACGTTCCCAAAGCGGTGGACTTGACCGGGAGTCGCACGCCGTTTGGGCTCAGGGAAGCCGAGCACGCGACCCTGCGAAGGTCAGCGCCGAGAGAAGAGCAGCCGCCGCGTCACGATGTCACGATCGGGTTTGAAGGCAACGAGGTTGACATGGAGATGACCAAAAGTCACACCGTAGTGATTCGTAGCGACCCAACAAGATCTCTCAGGGAGAATTTCGATGAGGCTGAAATGGAGATGACAAGAAGCCACACAGCGCTGATCCGTAACGACCCAACAAGATCTCTCGGAGAGAAATATGAAGAAGCTGACATGGAGATGACAAGAAGCCACACTGCTGTAATTCGTAATGAGGTGATGGTGTCCCACAAATCAAATTCTGACGAGGCCGATATGGAGATGACAAGAAGCCACACAGCGGTGATCTGTAATGACCTGACAAGATCTCTCCGGGAGAAGTACGAAGAAGCTGACATGGAGATGACAAGAAGCCACACAGCGGTGATCTGTAACGACCCGACAAGATCTCTCGGAGAGAAATACGGAGAAGCTGACATGGAGATGACAAGAAGCCACACAGCAGTGATCCGTAACGACCTGACAAGATCTCTCGGAGAGAAATACGGAGAAGCTGACATGGAGATGACAAGAAGCCACACCGCTGTAATTCGTAACGAGCCAACAAGATCTCTCGGAGAGAAATACGGAGAAGCTGACATGGAGATGACAAGAAGCCACACCGCGGTGATCCATAACGACCTGACAAGATCTCTCGGAGAGAAATACGAAGAAGCTGACATGGAGATGACAAGAAGCCACACCGCGGTGATCCATAACGACCTGACAAGATCTCTCGGAGAGAAATACGAAGAAGCTGACATGGAGATGACAAGAAGCCACACAGCAGTGATCCGTAACGACCCTACAAGATCTCTCCGGGAGAAATACGAAGAAGCTGACATGGAGATGACAAGAAGCCACACAGCGGTGATCTGTAACGAGACAACAAGATCTCTCAGAGAGAAGTACGGAGAAGCTGACATGGAGATGACAAGAAGCCACACAGCGGTGATCTGTAACGACCTGACAAGATCTCTCCGGGAGAAGTACGAAGAAGCTGACATGGAGATGACAAGAAGCCACACAGCGGTGATCTGTAACGAGACAACAAGATCTCTCAGAGAGAAGTACGGAGAAGCTGACATGGAGATGACAAGAAGCCACACAGCGGTGATCTGTAACGAGACAACAAGATCTCTCAGAGAGAAGTACGGAGAAGCTGACATGGAGATGACAAGAAGCCACACAGCGGTGATCCATAACGAGCCAACAAGATCTCTCGGAGAGAAATACGAAGAAGCTGACATGGAGATGACAAGAAGCCACACAGCAGTGATCCGTAACGACCTGACAAGATCTCTCGGAGAGAAATACGGAGAAGCTGACATGGAGATGACAAGAAGCCACACCGCAATGATCCGTAACGAGCCAACAAGATCTCTCGGAGAGAAATACGGAGAAGCTGACATGGAGATGACAAGAAGCCACACCGCGGTAATTCGTAACGATGTAACTAATAGACCTCTCGCAGAAAATTACAATGCTGCCACACAGGAGCTGCGAGCTCGACCATCCAGCGTTGCGCCGCGTGGAAACAGAACCGTAATATTTCACGACGAGGACAAGGTGGAGGTCGCAAGGTGTCAAACAGTGGCGATCACGGGAGAGGGGCTGCGGGGTGTGGCGACTGACGAACCGTCAAGAGCTTCGACCACCAAGAAGTCCGGTGGGGCCAAGAGCGATGTCGTGGTGCCGAGGAGCGGCAGCAGCAGCAGCAGCAGCAGCGCGATCATCGAATGCGAGACGACACAACTGCACGGCAACCCGCAGCCGGCTCGAGTAGAACCTAAGCATGTGAGCGCCGGAGACCGGCGAGCTTCGTCACCGGAGGAGGTTGAAATCCCGCCTCATGGAAGTGGTGCAGCCGCAGCTGATGGTGACCGTGGTGTGCATGAGGGCAGCACACGGTCCGATCGCCCTATTGTGATGGAACAACCGGTGGCGACCGCAGAGTTTGGTGGGCAGGCCGGGGCAGGGAGAGACAGTGGAGAGGCCGGAGGGGATGGGCATCAGCAGGCAAGGGCGGACGGCGGGGGACGCACTACGGCGGCCGACACCAAGCCGATCGTCCGGGCCGCCGCGGCGAACAACATGACGATTCCGCGGCTCGGCACGGTCGCGCGAGACGCCGAGTCGACGGAGCTGGGGGAGCTGCCGGCGAGGGCGCAGCCGAAAGCCACCGAGGAGGTGAGCTCACTCGGCAAGTCTGGCCATTTGGGCGCAGAAGAAAACAAAGTAAAGTTGGCTGGTGCAGGCGTATTTGAAAGCAGAACGGACAAGGTTCCAAAGGAACTGCTGGGTTCGCCAGTAAAGGAGCCGGTGGCATTATTGGTGGAGCCAAATGGCGCTCGTCTGGAGATAAAACGCGATGCCGCCGTGACGGAGGTGGCGGTGGCGGCAAGACCAACGGACAAGCCCACGACTTTCCTGCTGAGAAAGCAACTGGACAAGAGGCTGTCGCTGCAGCGCAAGCAGCCGGGTGCGGGCGAGCACGGTACCCACCGGCGCGCCACCATGCTGCTGCCGTTTGCCTCCGCCGACGGGGACACGCGGCCCCACACGGACATCCTGCTTGGCCGGCGCTACTCGTCCGCCATGGCGCTGACGCCCGAGTGCACGCGCGCCGTGCGACGCCGGCTGTCGATGCTGCAAGCGGCGCGGGCGAGGGGGGCAGGCGGCGGCGACGATGACGACGCCACGGCGTGCAGCAGGAGGCTAACCACTTCGGACCGGCTCGGCCAGCTGATGCCGCTGCTTACCAAGCAGGTCCAGCTCGCAGACCTGGAGATGGAGATGGCGCTGCAGGGTGGGTTTGAGGGCGCGCCGAGTCTGGGAAAGTTGCGGAGTGCAAGGAGTTTACTGCTACTGGACGTGTCGTGATTCGCCCCCCGTGCCACCCAGCTATTCGATTAATTGTTACGGTTCAGGGCTGTGACTCGATTCAAGATTTGATTCTTTTTTTGTCTTGTTTGCACCGGCAATACTTTTAATTTCAATGTTGTAATGCTCGTAGCATTCATTCACTCTCGAAGAGACAGAACGAACTCAGGGGCGCGTACAAATACCCCCTTTATCGATGATAATAGGTGCTCTCTAACAGCAATTTCCCCAACAGTTTGTAAGACTACACGGAAGGATCTGTCTTTGTGTGTTTATAAATGTGTATGCGTGAAAGGGAGTCCTACGTGCCCTTACACCACCCCGTGTTCTTACACGACCCTTGAATATGTATAGCCTTGTTGTCTCAATGGGCACTTGCCAGGTCTGTGTCTTGTCAATCAACAATGGGTGCGGGTGTTGCCGTTGGCAGGTGGGCACCTGTGTGAGGAGGCGCTAAAGGTGGTGTCCGAGATAGAGAAGACCGGATCCCAGCAGGCAGTCACCAACGGTGATTTCCACACCTCGTACAATATGCAAGACGAGACTATGCCGGGTGAGTGCGGTGAGAGGAGGGGGTGTTTGGTATTTTTGCCGTTCTTATAGCGCAAGGGGTCGGCAACCCGTGGCTCCGGAGCCTGCGTGTGGCTCTTTCAGGAGTGCTTCGTGACGTTACTTATTAAGGATACAATGTCTTGTATTCACAACGTGCGTTGTGGCTCTTGAAGTAGCTTTTTGGTTGGCGACCCCTGTTATAGGGCAAGGCTATGATCACGAAGGGAAGGCGCCGCTGGTGTTTCACGGACACATTCCGGAGTAGATTTGCAGTCGGGTACGATGTTGCAATGTGTAATCCCAGCCGAGTCATTTACGGTGTCATTTTTAAAAGTTGGCGAATTAAATTTGCGGGTGCGTTTTTGTATTATTTTTTTGTTTAGAAAATCGTCACGCGCACAACTCGTCGTTGCTAAGAATCGCCGTTCAATTTATTTCACTCGCATGCCCCCCCGACCGCTACGTTCTGCCGCCGCGCGGCTTCAGCTGTTGGGCAGCAGGAGCTGTGGACGGGGCAGCTGGAGGAACACACGGAAGGTGGGGGTACGGCGCGCCAAACGGCGGCGCAGGGGAAGCGCGCCACGGAGGAACACAGCGGCGGCGGCAAGCGGCGGCGCAGCGACAGGGACGTGGAAAAACTCGCCTGCACGGTAACCGTTTCCCCCGTCTCCACAGTAACCACGTCCCCGTCTCCGTCTCCACAGTAACCGCGTCTCCGTCTCCACGGTAACCGCGTCCCCGTCTCCACAGTAACCGCGTCCCCGTCTCCGTCTCCACAGTAACCGCGTCCCCGTCTCCACAGTAACCGCGTCCCCGTCTCCACAGTAACCGCGTCTCCATCTCCACAGTAACCGCGTCCCCGTCTCCACAGTAACCGCGTCCCCGTCTCCACAGTAACCGCGTCCCCGTCCCCGTCTCCACAGTAACCGCGTCCCCGTCTCCACAGTAACCGCGTCCCCGTCTCCACAGTAACCGCGTCCCCGTCTCCACAGTAACCGCGTCCCCGTCTCCACAGTAACCGCGTCCCCGTCTCCACAGTAACCGCGTCCCCGTCTCCACAGTAACCGCGTCCCCGTCTCCACAGTAACCGCGTCCCCGTCTCCACAGTAACCGCGTCCCCGTCTCCACAGTAACCGCGTCCCCGTCTCCACAGTAACCGCGTCTCCGTCTCCACAGTAACCGTGTCCCCGTCTCCGTCTCCACAATAACCGCGTCTCTGTCTCCACAGTAACCGCGTCCCCATCCCCGTCTCCACAGTAACCGCGTCCCCGTCTCCACAGTAACCGCGTCCCCGTCTCCACAGTAACCGCGTCTCTGTCTCCACAGTAACCGCCTCCCCGTCCCCGTCTCCACAGTAACCGCGTCCCCGTCTCCACAGTAACCGCGTCTCCGTCTCCGTCTCCACAGTAACCGCGTCTCCGTCTCCGTCTCCACAGTAACCGCGTCCCCGTCCCCGTCTCCACAGTAACCGCGTCCCCGTCTCCACAGTAACCGCGTCTCCGTCTCCACAGTAACCGCGTCTCTGTCCCCGTCTCCACAGTAACCGCGTCTCCGTCTCCACAGTAACCGCGTCCCCGTCTCCACAGTAACCGCGTCCCCGTCTCCACAGTAACCGCGTCTCCGTCTCCACAGTAACCGCGTCTCTGTCCCCGTCTCCACAGTAACCGCGTCTCCGTCTCCACAGTAACTGCGTCCCCGTCCCCGTCTCCACAGTAACCGCGTCCCCGTCTCCGTCTCCACAGTAACCGCGTCCCCGTCTCCGTCTCCACAGTAACCGCGTCCCCGTCTCCACAGTAACTGTGTCTCCGTCTCCACAGTAACTGTGTCCCCGTCTCCGTCTCCACAGTAACAGGTTGCTTCTGAAAAAGAGCTACATAGCTCAGTGGACATTACCTGGATAAAAAAAATAGAAGTAGAACATGGCCACCTCAAACATAAACTGTATCCCTGTCTTCACTGTAACCCCTGCCCTGTATCCATGGTAACTCTTGCCCTGTCTTCATGGTAATTGTTGCCCTGTGTCCGAGGTAACCCTTCTGCCTGGTCTCCATTGCAAATGTTGCACTTTTTTCTCGGTAATCTTTACTTGGTCACCGTGGTGATCTCTACCCTTTCTCCATGACAGCTGCTGCCTTGTATCCCCCGAGACTCTTACTCTGTCTGCTCAGAACCAGACTAAGGCACCTTATGGATTATTAGGAGTAATGTTAATTCATTACACTCATAGAGCCAAAACTGTGGCACCATTCGAATTTCTTAGGCATTCAGTACTTACGCTTGGACTTGCATTTTTTTCTTCCCTCTCTCTTTTTGCTTCTCCAAAAGTGAGTTTAAAAATAGATTTAAATGTCCTAAAACATCCTCACATGCCTGCTGTAATGGTGTAGTGTTGCAAGGTAGGAGTCAAAAGCGTTTTTGCCAGGGGTCTATTGTCGGCTGTGGTAGTGGAGGGGGGCAAGGGGGGGGGGGTGCTCTGTCAGTCTGATGCAATTGTGGGCCTGTGGCAGGACGAGCCCGAGGAGAAGGAGCAGGAGGGGCCGACGATCCTCCCGGCACCCCAGCTGTCCTTCTCTGCCGAACACGGTGTACTCCAGGCCTCGCCGAGTGGAGGCAACTCGAGGATCGTCACTGATGGTGAGCTGTGGTTGTAGCGGCGGTGTTGGCACCGCCACATTATTATTCTTTTACTTTGTGTTTTTTGTGTGTGATATAACTGCATGGAACTAGGACCCATCTATTTGCCCATTACAACATCTGGCAGTTCACCAGCATGCATTCAAGCAAGACTGACTCTGCTGATGAGACGCTGAAGTCGAAACCAGTCTGAAGTTTGCTTATGTGGGTCAATACTGCTGAAGTTATACTCTGCCACCTGCAGCAAAAAACTACCGCAGAACGTGTCTGTCAAATGTAGCACCTCCCGAGAGAGCCTTGCGCTATAAGAAAGGGGCGGATACCAAACGAATAGATTTTATGATCCGTGAACTTTGTTTTTGGCCTCTTGGCTGGAATAACACCAGGAGCAACAACAACCGTTCCCACTGCGTGGGCTTTCCTTCCGTGTAGTGCTCCGATGTGTTTTTGGGTAGTGCTGTGCACTCTTCGGCATGACGTCCACGTGCTGAGGAAGCTGCCAGCACGTGGAGCAAAACGTCGTACGTCATGCCGAGACTACACGCAGTGCAGGCCTTGAACACATTGGAGAGCTAAACAGCAATTCTCCTGCGCAGGGTTCATGCCAGCCATTGCCCAGGCCTGCCACAACATCAGCCTCACCTCAAGCCACGAGGTGAGCCTCGCGTCGCGTGTGCCATTACCGTAGCCGCGGTGAAGGTTGCCCATCCCCTCCCCCGTCCCCCATCCCCCGTTGGTTCATTACATTCTTCTTCGCCGGTGTTTCTCAAACTTGTTTGGCCCGTGGGCCACACGGCCCTTCACCCCTGGTAACAAAACGAATGCATGCACTCTTCTCTGAATGCCACTCGTACACCTTCCATGCAGCGCTAGCCATGGGCCGCGACACGCCGGTTTAGTATTCGTGTAAATTGTCGTCGGCAATCATCGTCGCCCGCAATATTTGCTGTCGCCAATTTCTTCGTCGAAAAAAAAATCGTTGCTGCCCAAGCATGGATACATTTTATTCTTGCTCCCTCTCACGCCAGGGCATAGCACCTCGATGTCCACGGGAAGGGAGTTTCGCAATGTTTGTGTGGTCCACAAACCCTCGTTGCTTCCACGGTGCTTCATTACAGGGGTGCGTAGGCACCGCTGCCCGGCTAAAAGTGTTGCCCCTTAAATGGCCCCGGACGTGTCCGTGGAGTTCAGGGTGTCGCGTGGCTTCGTGTCTCACCTCTGCCCCTTCTGCCCCTTCCCGCTGCAGGGCTGGGTGGATGGCAACGTCACCATCCGGGCCTTCATGAAGATCATGCTGCTAGAAGCCACCGTGGCCCTATCGAGACATAGCGAGATCATGGTCATGGTAGTAACCACATGCACGCTGTAACCACGCGTTGTTGTTACCCGTTGTAGTGGTGGTGTACGATTGCTTCCGGTAGAAGGTCACTTTGGACTTGCTTGAGTTCCAATAGTAATAATAATGATGCCATTTCTCCAGGGAACCCACCCCTCCCCCCTGAATCTCACAACTCATTTGAGCTTTTGGTCAGTGGCACTCAACTCGCATTAAAATGTCGCAGGTTCATAATATCGGTTGGAGGTTGACTCAGTCCAACATCCCTCTGGGGCCTATTAAACGAGTACAACATTGTTGGAAGTCGCCAGCAATCGTTTTTATATAGAGATTGGGCTCTGCCATGGTAATGTGGAATTTTTACCACGAGCATTTGGAGGTCAACGAGCAGGACTGCCGTTTGACCACTTTGACTGGGCTAGAGCAGGACAACCGTTGATCCATTGTAAGGCAAAACGCAAATTGGGTACAACGTGATGAATGTATCAGGGGACACATTTTTTTATAACGCGGATACGAATTGTATATGACACAACCGAGCGAACAGAACTACGTCGCGCGAGTAGGAATAAGCGGTCGTACGGCTGCCTCGGCGTAGCATCGCACGAGCCAGTGAGATGATGCTGGATGCTTCTAGATGCTACCCACGCTCCTCGGCCTTTGTTTGGCCTGCGTACGCATCTCACGTGTTATCACGGACTGTGCTTTAACCCATATATTACATATGATTTATTACTTGATTTTTCCATAACGCGGTGTTCTTCAGGAACGCAACTACCAAGGCTGTACCATTTATTTACCCAGGAAAGCCTCACCGATTCTCAAAACTTTTTTGTTAGGAGGGTCCCTGCAGTAAGTATGCCTGGCAAAATACCAGTAATCAGTGTGGGAGGAAGTCGGGAGTATCCGGCGGAAGTCCACCACACACCGTGAGAGACAAGTTGTGTTTTGTGTAACCAGCTGTGAGAACTCGAGGGACCAGGATATGAGTCTCATTCGACAATCTTGACCTGGGTCACCATAATGGCAGAAGCGAAATAAAATAAAGTTGCCGTACAGCATTGAACAATCGGAGCAAAAACAAGAAGAAGAAGAGGGGTAACGCTTGAATCTGAAGGCGCCAAACAGAGGGAATCGGGAATCCGTTGCTGTGCTGCCATCCGCTGGCCACCTTGCAGCGCTAGCCTACACCACCTGGCATTCCTCAGGCATTCCAGATAGGCAAAAAAAGTCTTATTGTTGCCTAGTTTATAAATGTTTACAGTTATCCGTGTATTTGTTTTTCTGGGACTATCTACCCCCCCACCCACCCAACTGCTCCCTTCCCCCGCACCTCCGATTCCTTCCTTCGCACCTCCGATTAGCACGGTTTGCCTACTTTGCGATGCGAAAGAAGTTCAACGTGTACATATCTACCCGCCCATTGCCACGGATAACAAGAGTCGTCTGCGTTTCTCTCGGGCAGCCCCAGGAGGAGGAGGAGCGAGGGCAGCGGCTGCGCAGGATGGTGCGGGAGAGGCATGTGGTCATCCCCAAGATGAGAGCCAAAGAAGAGCAACTTGGACGGCTCCAGGAGCAGACGGCACAGTGAGATGGGGCGCTATCTAAGGAAACGTGGTTCTAGTGTCTAGAGCAGTGGCTCCTAAACGTATTGAAACGAAACTTTTTTTTATTTTACCAGGTAAGGCCGACTGAGCGATGTAGCTTTTTTGTGACTTGGCTATCACAAATGATAGGTCAAAGAAGCAGCATATCATGTGGGAATTCATAGCAGTAGCCAAATACTCTAAATGCATGATGTTGATTCTAAATGTGAAGGAAAAATCCACACGACCACAGGGAGAACATGCAAACTTTAAATATTGAGCAGGCGTCAGGGTCGGGATCAAACCCACGACCTCCTGTATACCAGGCGAGGTAGTTGACATCTCTCCAGCTCAGTGGACCTTACCTGGTAAAATAAAACACAGATAGTTTAGTTTAACATTGTTGAATGTGTGTTATGCGCTGTCATTGCGTTGAAAGTGATAAAAATCTGGGCCCACTGCTTAAGCGGTGTCTCGTGCCGACCGACGCTGCCTCCCTTTTGCGAACCAGGCTCACCGGCGAGGGTGGAGATCGGTTGCTGAAGTCGCTGGACCCGCAGCTCTGCAGGAGGATGATGAGTTGCAAGCAGACGGAGGTGGGGACATTGACACTCGTTTACCTTGTCTCAAAGACTTGTTCAGGAGGGTCCTGCCAAGTTTTTTTCACAGTAGGGGGCGATGTCGCTGCTGTGTGTCATCCCGATTGAGTGATTTGCAGGTACTTTTTCAGCATTGGGATGTTTGGCCAATACCTGTAACAATGTTTTTGGGTTTTTTTGTTGCCATGGGAGGAAACCTGAGAACCCGGAGGAAACCCATGCAGAACAGGGGGAGAATGTACAAACTCCACGGAGAAAGCCAGTCGGGAATCAAACCAAGGCCCTTCTTGCTGCGAGACCCTTTCCAGGGGTGGGGGACTAGTGGTGTACGGGCAGTATGCAGGCAGCCTGTCTCCATTTCATACGGCCCACGGCACCTACCATTTGAAAAGGCCTCCAAATTATATTTACCTATCACTGCCAGCATCTTAATCTGCGCTAATCGGATACCAAAGCGGAATAATTTCGACCTGGTAACACTTTTTTTTTATTTTAGAAATAATCTATGGATGCTACGTTGGGTGGTGTCGCACAATTCACAAGAAAACTCAACACATTTATCCAGAACACCATGCCCTTTAAAGAGGAAAAGAAAGGCAATGGCCCTTCATAGTTTTATGTACTATCAAGAAGGGCCATTGCCTGAAACGTCGCCTATTCTATATATAGGGCCACGGTGTTTTTGAACTTATTTTGCACTGTACGTAGCCAACTGCGCTAATTGGAGGTGCGGGGGAAGGACAACAAACTGAACACAAAAAGCAGTTTTAAAGAAATTAGTTTTCAATCCAAATTTAAAAGTATATCGCTCCAGTGGCTTCCTAATATAGGAAGGAAGAGCGTTTCAGACGGCCGCAGAAGGACATCTGAAAGCGCGCGATGCAGTGACCATCTTTGTTTGATGACTAGCCAAAAGCCGCTGCCAGGATGAACGGAGTTTGCGTGATGGTTTGTTCTTTGACGAGATCAGCAAGGTGGAATTGTGGTTAATTTGTGGCAAGCACTTGGTGTGTTAATGAGTGCGACCTTATAACGTACTCGTTCGGCGATCAGAAGCCAATGCAGCTCGGCGAGCTCTGGACAGACACGGTCTGATCTTGCGGAACGTGTGTTGAGTTCTTTCCGTTGAAATTTCTGCGCACTCCCAAGTCGCTTCTGCGAGGGCCCCTTGCGGCGACAGAGGCAGACGGCGCTTGGCGGTGGGGCGGTGTTTGACAAGCACGCCGTTTTTGCCCCGGCAGCACGACGAGTTCCTGACGGAGCTCCGGGCCGAGAGGGACTGCCTGCGGGAGGAGGCGAAGCACGTGTACGCGCGCGCCAGCATGGAGCAACTGACGGAGCTGCTCGCACAAATGCAGGTGGGTCTCCAGCTACCACGGTGGCAGGCGTCTCTGCGCGCACGTAACAACGTTTGAACGGTCGGTCCGAGTCGAGGAATTTTGGTTGCGTGGAACAGAGCAAGGAGTCCCTTTTGACTCGAATGAATTGGTTTAATCACAGGCAGCTTTGCCCTGCTTGGTTCGGAACCGAGGAGCTAGGCCGTTGCCGGTTTAGCACTCTGACCTCGAGCCCCTCGGATCCCTCTAGAGAACCCAGTTTAATCATAGCCAGCCGCGCCTGCCTGGATTTGAACTTGGGATCTTAGCGGTGCCGGCTCAGCACTGCGACCTCTTGAGCCACCTGGCTGTCTCCCAGGAGCGAGCATATGAATGGAATCATCTTTCTTCACACCGGGCGTCCCTTCTACTCCACCATGCAGGGCCATCTAGAGGTTCTGGAGAATCGAGTGCAGCAGACCAAGAAGACCCTGGAGGACATCAACTTCTACATGGCGCAAATGGACGGTGAGACAAGAATGATACCCACCAGGGCTGTTGAGCATCGTCGGCGTTAATCCAAAATGTTGTTGCCAGACTCCTCATTGCACCATTGACATCTAATCCAAACCCCTTGGTGAGTTTCACCACGATCCTCAATGCATACGCCCCCTGTCTACCTCTCCCCTCTCACCTCACTCTACTTCCCTCCACACACTCTCCTACCTCTCCCCTCTCATCTCACTCTACTCCCCTCCACGCACTCTCCAACTTCTCCCGTTATCTCTCCTGCAGCGTCTTGAGATATGGTCGCATTTAGACGCTGTATAAATCCACATGATTCGTATTCTGCTTGGCTCGGTTATATAATTTGCATATAATCCACGTAACGTTTTTCCGTTCGTCGTAGCTAAGGAATTCTTGCGCGCGCGGTTTGGCGTACACACCGCGAGCCTGCGATTCAGTGGATGACGACGACGATGACACGGTGAACGAATCGTGCCGTGCGTGACCCCCTCCTGGCTTGCCCGTGCAGACGAGTCCGTGAACGACAAGGATCGCGTAGCCGAGCCAGTGCCGAGCCGCGCCCTGCTGCTCGACAAGAAGAACGGTACAGGGCCCCCCCCCGGCCCACGGCAGCGCTGCCCCCCCTCGCCCGTTCCCCATGGCCACTGGGAAGCAGGGGCGGAGCCAGGATTTCAGGCCGGGGTGACATTCAACAAATTTTTATTTCAAGAATGATTAGAGAGAGTCAGGCTGTTGAACTAGATGCCATCGGTTGGCGACACGCTCTGACGATGCAGTTGCACGGAGTCCGCCAGACCGAGTGTCGTACACTTACACGCAGAATGTCACCCCTGTCACCCCCCCTGGCTCTGCCCCTGCTGGGAAGTCACCTCTACTGGCTTCAGGGACAGCCCCAGCCCCCCCAGCCCCATTGAGTGCAGAACAACAACTAGTGCAATTATAAAAATGCCCGTAAGCCAAGACTGGTCATCACTCCGATACCGCAAGGGAGTTTGGACAAATAAACAAAGCAGCCTGTCAGGCTTTTATGACCATGTTCTGTATTTGGAGGCCCCAGGAACATCAGGCACCCCCCTGGCCACTTGTCCACCTCTCCCCCCACTCCTCTCCATGAGCTGTGGGGCTCAGTGGGCTGGGACCCTTGCAGCATCAATAGAGCACTGCGTTGGTGTGCCTGACACGTTGATGTACCAGTAGAGTCTGTACAATCCACTGCTGGATGAGGGCTTGCCCATGCCGTGTGGGTGGTGGGGGGTTATCTGACCATCCCTGCCATGCTGGCCAGTACGGGTTGCTGAAGTCAGGAAATTATAATTGTGGGAGCATAGAAGTACTGCATCTCACTGGATTTGGCCGCACTGCCCTCTGTTGCACGTAACTTAAGCTCAAAAATCAAACGGCTCTCATCCAGTAGACGCACACCTAGGCTGCGTGTTCCCGCACGAGTCTTCGTCGGCGATAAAAGAAATAAGATGGTACAGCGACTTGGATTGGAGCTGCATTAGAGAAGGCGTCAGGATTGGAGCATCGCGATGTGAGAATTGCAATGGATTTTTTCTCTTTTTCTTCAGAACTGACGGAGCTGGCAAATGAGAAAAAGGAAGTGAAAAGGTAAAGGGGCCGGAGGAGAGGGTGGCTTCCCTCTGCTCCTTTAGTTGGCATTGGCGGTGACCTGATGGCCCAGCGATAGCACGCTGGGCCATGTTTGGGACGGCTGCCCCGGATATTACTGCGGTAGTGTAAAAATCGGCTTCGGACACCGAGGTCTCGAACTGTTACAGCTTCACGTCACTATTCATCACACTACTTTACACTACACTATACACTACTATAAAATACACTACTATACACTACTATACACTACACTACTATACACTACTATACACTATACACCAGGGGTCGGGAACCTTTTTGACTAAGAGAGCCATGAAAGCAAAAAATTTGGAAATTTATTTCAGTGAGAGCCATATAATATATTTTAAAAGTGAATTCAACTAAATGTCAGTATAATAAGCCTCTGAATTTATTCTTTTAAATAATGTTGTTATAACACTCACCATTAATGCGACTTCTGGTGCTGCATGGATTTGCTGATGTCTTTGTAGTCGGGTTGGTACTTGGTGAGGTTAAGCTTCATGCAAGCGTTGAGGCTTTCATCCGTTAAACGTGATCGTAGGTTGGACTTGATGTTTTTAAGATGTGAGAATGACTGCTCACATGCATACGTAGATCCAAACATGGTCAATACAGCAATACTCACACGCTGCAGTGTGTGGTATGTGACAGGAAGCGCGTTCCAAGTTTTGAGAATCAGCTGGTCTTCGGGTTGGAGTTTTTTCATTTCTGTCCACATGTGCTTGCTCGCCAACTCCGCTTTCTGTCGTGTGATTCTTTCCAAATCTTCATTCAGTGACTTGAACTTATTCACCCACATGTCTGAGGCCTTCAGGTCAGCCACTTCTGCTTCAAAATCTCTGACGGAGACACCAGGGATGTAATTCAGGTCGGCTGTGTTCAGTGAACACTCGTTTGGATGGGTGATGAACTTAAAAAGACGAGTGTGCTCACGAAATTCTCCAAAGCGTGCTTTGAAGGACTGTAGGAGACTGGATGTGCAGCCAGCTAGCTGGTGGAGATCAAGGTTTTGAATGGGCTCACTTGCTGTGCATGCATCTTTAAATTGGCTCAGTTTTTCAAAATGTAGTAAACGACCTGTTTCAAGATCCGTGATGAAAAGCTCCAGCTTGTTTTCAAAAGCAAATACAGCTTGTTGAAGGGATAACACTGTATTTCCAATGCCTTGCATTTTCACGTTGAGCTGGTTCAGATGTTCAGTCAGATCTACGAGATAGTAAAACTTGAGGAGCCACTCGGTGTCGGCTAGCTCAGGATGCCCGACGCCTTTCATTTCAAGGAAAGTCCGGATTTCGTTCAGGCAAGCCGCAAAACGGCTAAGCACCTTCCCTCTTGACAACCAACGCACATTGCTGTGCAAAAGCAGACCAGGATAGTTATTTACAACTTCATCCAGCAGTGTTTTAAACTGGCGATCATTTAAGGCTCGGGCAACAATAAAGTTGATCACACGAATGACCAGCGACATCACTTCGCCAAACTGCCTGTCACACATCTGAGCACAAAGTGCCTCCTGGTGTATAATGCAATGGAAACTTAGGATGGGTCTATTTTCATGTTCACGGAGAAGCGCCACAAATCCTTTGTTTTTCCCCACCATACACGGAGCACCATCAGTACACACTGAGAGAAGTTTATCCATAGGTAGACTTTTTTCTTGAGCAAACTCCATGAAAGACTTGAATAAATCCTCACCTCTTGTGGACCCTTTTAATGGCAGAACAGCAAGACTTTCTTCGCGCAGTGTGTCACCAACAGCATATCTTGCAATCACGCTGAACTGCGACAAATGGCTCACGTCTGTTGACTCATCCAAAGCCAGAGAAAAGAACGGCGCTGCATTTATGTCCTTCACTTGCGTTTCCTCCACTTTGTTTGCCATCACGATGGTACGATCATGAACAGTTCTTGCCGACAGAGGCATGTCTTGTATCCGTTTGATTATCTTGTCTTTGTTCGGAAGATCATCAAAAAGTTCATTGGCTACATCCAGCATGAACGTTTTAGCATACTCGCCATCTGTGAATGGTTTTCCGTTCCTCACTATTGCTAAAGAACCAGCAAAGCTAGCCGAATTATAGTCACCTTGCCGGGTCCATACGCGGAGTTGCTGCTGGCTAGCTTGCACCCTGCTCAGAAGCTCTTGGCACGCTTTCTTTCTGCTGTCTCCCGCAGGGTATTTTGATGCAAAGGTAGCGTGGCGCGTGTCGAAGTGCCGCTTTACATTCGACCGTTTCAACGATGTAATTTTGTCATTGCAAATTAGACACACCGCAGAACCCGCTCTCTCCACAAAGGCGAATTCTTCGGTCCATTCGTCCTGAAATGTACGATACTCGTCGTCTTTTTTTCTTTTCGCCATCTTCTTCGTCGAAGGGTTAGCTTTGAGCTAATGACCGAGCAGACGCAGTCTCAGACTGATTCAAAAGGGGGCGTTTACCTGTTTTACCCAGCAACGGCAAACGTAGGCCAGTATCATCCAATTAAAATAATGGACAATTGCTCCTGCAGCCCTGAACAGGACATGCGCAGTGAAAAATCGATGGATGGATTAAAACAAGTGAGAATATTTTGTTTTATCTGCGAGCCATATGCAATCATCAAAAGAGCCACATCTGGCTCGCGAGCCATAGGTTCCCGACCCCTGCTATACACTACTATGCACTATACACTACTATACACTACACTACTATACACTATACACTACTATGCACTACTATACACTACACACTACTGTACACTACTATACACTACACACTACTATACACTACACACTACTATACACTATACACTACTGTACACTACTATACACTATACTGTTACAGCCTCACGTCAGTTCTCTGCTGTCGCCCCCTTGATGTGGAACTCTCTAATCCCTTTGCGCATTCGCAGCATCAAATGCACTCTTGACTACTTTCAAGAAACACCTAAAGGCCTCTCTCTGTGTTGGGTCTCAGGCCTTTTGTCGAGCAGCCCTGAGCTTGAGTTGTTGACTTGTCTGCAAAAATCTGGCACGTTACAAATGTCATCATCATTATTAACCATCGTAATACTACAACACGCCGTCTGGTTCACTCGCAGTGGACATTAAAGACCCCTGTGACGTCATTCGCCAGAGTTAGGCATTTTGCGCTGGCATAACGGTACGCATTTTAAACATTACTTCACAAATTACTGAATTGGGATTATTTCAGCAACATCGTTCTCTACGGGCAGTCTCTGTCTGTGAAACGTAAAGCCTCTCTTCGTGGTCATGGGGCATGCTCCAGATGATTTTGTCATGAGCGGTGATGATAAGATGATACCATGATTCTCAAAGGGAGTCTTCTGGTCTCAATGGGGTCCTACATGACAAAGCATAATCAATATCATCAGTTGACAAAACGAAGGCAGAGATCCCCCATAAACCCTGTTAATGAGCACATACTAAGGCCAGCGCGGCACAGAAATGGGTGTGTGGCCAGCACCACGCCCAGACGCCTTTGTCTCCTCGGTGCTCATGTTTATATACCGTACCAGGTACGCATATAAGGCCGAGTCGATCTAGGGGATGTTATCGACATTGGCCGTGAATGGGAATCGAACTCGGGTCACCAGGTTGGTAGCGCAATGCGAAGACCACTGCGCCGCCGCTCCCTACTTGAGTTGTACGCGCATGGCGGGTTCCGTTCGCGTTTGACCGGAGTCATTGGCTCCGGGCTGCAGGCTGCAGCGGGAGCGCCGCAAGGAGCTGAATCTGGTAGCCAAGACGCTGCGCAAGCAGCAACAGCAGCTTCTCGTCCCCGTCCACAGCGTCTCCGAGTACCACAGGTGAAGGCCTCGGCACATTCGCACCTGCGGGTGATGTCGATGGTAGTGGGGGCGGTGTTGGTGGTGGTGATGGTAATGCCGGTGGCAGCGGTGTAGCGGTACGAACCCGGCGCCCCGAGTTCGATTCCAGCTCATTGCCAACACCGGTGACGATTATCTGAACTGGTCCCGGGCCTCCACTAGGTCGACTCAGCCTGAAATGAGTACCTTGTGCGGTGTGTAAATATTGCCACTGGGGAGATAAAGGCGGCCGGGTGTGGTGCTGGCCACCCACCCCCTTTATGTGCCGTACCAGCCTTCATAGGTGCTACTCGCTCGAGGTACTTGCCCCCCCCCCCCCCATACAGGGGGGATCTTTGGTGCTGCTGGCATTGGTGGTGGCCTCTGCTCCTGCGCTGATTCATGCGCTGCGGCCAAACTTGTCGTGCCGGACTCTTTCCGCCACTTGGTTGGGCCAAGCGACGTGTTTCAGCCGCTTTGGCAAATATGAAAATTGCCCAAAGTTTTTGTTACCTCGCGCATGGGGCGAGGGGGGTGGTGGCAGCATTCGCACCACTTTTTTAGGCCCCTACTGCGAAAACTTGGCAGGACCATCTTGATTAAGTGTTTTTAGATTTGGCAAGGCTTTCCTGGGTTTAACCAGAGTGACAATAAAAATAATACAAATTCCTCGCAGGCTGACGGGGTGGGAGCTGCAGTGGTGGCAGGAGAACGAGGCCGTGTTCCTCTTCCTGCACGGATCGCTGGAGGCGAAAGTCAAGTTCGGCAAGCGAATCGGTAAACCCGCCGCCATCAGGCACGACATCGCCCGACATGGAGACGGAGAGATAGAACGAAACGTGAACAGGAGGTCGCGGGGGTTCGGGGCAGCGAGAGGGCTAAGACTGACGTTGGTTGGTTGGCGAGTTCGGATGCATGGGTTGTTCTCGGGTACTTGCCTGGCTGGTGTGGTGAAGGTTTGGGTTGGTAGGAAGGTGACATCAAAGGGACAAAGATGGAGAAATTGGGAAAGGGACGGAAATCAATGGAATCTCTATCTGTACATTGCATCAGAGTGCAGGAGCAGCAGATCTTAACCTTCATTTATTTTGAATACTTACTTGGAAATGAGCAGTGACTGCACATGTTCTGCATACACAACCTGTACGCAAGTTGATCTTGGGACTTCTACTGAGCGCCAGATGAAGGCACGAAAGCCGCTGACGTTTCCGTGCCTGGGCCTGCGTCCCCCCCTCTCCTCTCACGCAGACGGCCTCACGTTCGCCGGGCAGCCCGTGCGAGAGATCTCCGACATCCATCTCACGTGGCAGCTCGACGGTAAGAGCTTCGAGCGTCGGTAGGCGTGTTCGATCCACTGCTGGACGAAGGCCTCTCCCAAGCCGCTGCAGCCTCTCGTGGTCCTACGAATTAGCAGCCGTCTAGCACAGGGGTCCCTAACCCCCGGGCCGCGGACCGGTACCGGTCCGGTGGCCTGTTAGGAAATGGGCCGCACAGCAGGTGAGCGGTGAGTCCACGCGTGGCCCGCCCATTATTTTATTTAGCACTTCAGTCCGCGCCTCTTTCCCGCACTGCGCACTTGTCTCAGTCACGTGGTGTTGGTAAGCCCACAAGCTAACCCCTGGTAGCCACAACGAGTAAAGAAAAAAGTCGCTGTCCACGAAACCGGTCCCTGGTGCCAAAAAGGTTGGGGACCGCTGGTCTAGCGCCTGTGTACGCCGGCTAGTCTCGTCGCGTCCGAGATGATAGATACGACCGATATAACAAGTGGCTCTTGTGCGTACACGCCTAAGGCGGAGTATTAATGCGCACAAAAGATGATTTGTAGGCTGATAAAGGTGCGATTGTGACCATTTGATTGGCCCTGCCATCATGGCTTGCACGTCACGTGACACGACCACACGGCGCGGGTAATGGACACAGCTTTGTCTCGTCGTATTCACTTCTGACGAAAACGGTCAAATTGCGGCGCTCTTTCTGGCCACCACAAAGCTTCTGGTCGTGCCGATAGCGTCCCACCCCCACCGAAGCGTTCTCAACTGCTCCCCCACCCCCCCTTTCGCCCACCGGGACACGGCACAGATTCCCCGTTCCCCGAGGCTACCAGCCTCCTCCAGCGCCTGCTGTTGGCGGGACTCGGCAACCATCGCACGTGGGCAGCGCAGCACCGCAGCAGCCTGCACCTCCCGAAGGTGCGTTCACCGCCACCAGTGGCGACGGTCACGCCGTGCCCGCTGCACCCAACCCCACGGAGCGCCATCTGAGCGAGCGAGCGAGCGAGCCGTTTGTCCGTGTACGTATGTTGAACTTCTTTCGCACCGTATGTAGCCAACCGTGCTAATGAGCCACAGCAGAAGTTGGTATCATCCAGGATGGCGACCTAATAAGCGGGAGTCATTTGACAACCCACTCATTTAAAGGGGCTATCACCGAATTGACCGTTATGAACCCCAGAAAGAAAGTGGAGCCACTTAAGAATCAGAATATTTATTTAGATTGGAGGAATCCAATGAGCTATGAAGCTCTTTTTCACAGTCCAGTAGGGATGGGTGCACTTATCGGTACCACTTCAGGTGGTCAGGGCCCATGGACTTGCGGATCGCGTTGTTGTGGCCTGTGCCTCGTGTCGCACCAATTCTTCTCCGCGTCCCGTCTGGGGTCCCCTACAGATGCTGCACGAGCTGACGCTGGTGGCGGAGCGAGCGCGGGGACTCAACGAGGACGTGGCCTTCCTGCTGGGGGGCACGGGGCTGCGCTACGACCTCGTGCGCGCGTCTGTCGACGGGCTCAGGTGCGGCTCGGCGGGTCGTTGGCCCGGCAGCGTGTTGCGTCCGACGAGGCGTGGATACGGGGGTGGGGGTGTGTGTGGGGTTTAGATGATACGCCACTCAATTCCGTTTTATATCGGTTGTTAAGCTCGCGACGCGCGCGGGAAATTGCGTGGGTAGTTATCGATGCGTTTCGGTCAAAGATTCGTGACCCTGACAGGCCATAGAGGGTGTCCACCACTTCTAGATTTGAAGCTTTCGTGACTGCAAGGATCCATACTCTTTGGTTCTATTCGGTAAAGTCACGTGACTTTACCGAATAGAACCAAAGAGTAAGGTGTCCACCACCCCACTTGCATTTTTTTCCCTTCCGTTGTCTGAATCGGAGGTCCCTTTGATAGCCACTTGCCAGAGCATCGCTCACTCCAGTCGCTTCTAACACTGCCCACCGCTTCAGCTGGAAGTGCGTCTCGTCGCCCGGTGTGGTGGGAGGTGAATCATCGCAGCTCTCGCAGCCGGTGTGATGGGAAATGTGCACCGCTCGCTACCCGAGATCTTGGAATGCGATTGATGAAAGGAATATGACCCTGAAGGCAATGTCTCCTATAAATCGATTTAATGCAACCCTTTCGATCAAATGATTTGCAAATCAACAAAAGGATCTCAATGTGGTGCATTAAAATCATTGTTGGGGAGGCTGGGTAGTTTGGGTTTTGTAGCACCGAGCCAGTTCAAATCCACGAATAAACCGACACGTAGCAAGTCCGTGGGTTCAGCCCGGGCACTGCCGACGCCCCTCGGACCAGACGTGATGTCACGGGGTCGGCACAGAAACGAGGCGAAGAGGCGGGCGGTCAAATCGGATTCGAACCCAGGCTCCTGGCGGTGCCTCGCGCTGGTGCCTGCGCCGGCTCGGTGTCTCTTACCCCTGAACCACCCTGCCGCCTCGCTTGGCGTCATCTCACGAAGCTGCTGCTGCTGCTGCCACTCCGTGCTCCCCCCGTGCGTGACCGATCGTTGTGCCCGCAGGCTCGGCTGCGTCTTCTCCAGCCTGTCGGCCTTCTGCAAGTTCCGTGTCGACTTTGAGCTGCAGCCCGGCTACCCCTTCACGCCGCTGCAGTTTGAAGTGCGGCCCCTCATCGGCAAGCCCAGGTACTCGCTGCATTGTCCCTCATCTCAACCCCTGCCCCCACCCCCCTTCCCAGTGGGATGAGGCACACGACAGAGTCACGATGCAGGCTTATGGATCAGGATGTGACGGTTCATGTATTGATTACTGATTATTACACTCGCACAATAATTTATTGGGCGCCCTTCAATAATGGATCTGCTCGCAAAAGGCATATGTAACGATTTGTACTAAGTGAGCAGTCATTCCTGTGTCTTTGAGTGGATGCATGAGTGGGTGAGAGGTTGGGTGAGTGGGTCAGCGAATGGGTGGTTGAGTTATTAAATGAACAAGCCGGTGAGTGGGTAGATGAATATGTAGATGAGTGAGTGGGTGCTTATGTTCACTAACGAGTCGTCGTGTGGGTTGAGTAGACGAATGGACGGAAGAGCGAGCGTGTGAGCGAGTGAACGAGCGAATGGTCGAGTAGATGAGTGGGCGGTGAGTAACCGCTCACGCCTATCGCCGACGCTAACCGCCATCTGTGTGTATCGGCGGGGGGGGCCAGCGTGGAGCAGCAGGTGAGCCACGCGGTGAGGGCCGTGCCGATGGGGTGGCACTACCTGACCCGCGTCGTCCACAACATTCACGCGTCCGTGCTGGCCGGCGGCGGCAAATCCGGAGGGGCGCCCAGCGACTAAAGGGAGCAGCAGCAGTAGCAGCAGCGGCAGAGCCGGCGAACGGCACCGACGGTCCTGTGGGTGACGGCTGCCACGGCCGCGCCCGCCGCGACGGCACGGGCGCAACTGTGGCTGTGCCACGCGGAGCCGCTGGTGCTGAATCATGGAACCTGGCCAGCACAGTGGCCGGCGCTCCCCGCATCGTCCTCCGGTCGAGGTGTTTGTGAGCGCTCCTCGCTTGCCGGCGTTTAAATGTCGCCACCGTGCGTCGTGCCGGCAGCAGTGATTGAGTGTTACATTCATATTTACGTAGCTTTTTATACACTGGTCTTGAAATGTTCTTTTGACTGAACCTCAATGCTTGGGCGGCGGTAGTTTGTGTTAGCCTCGGAGTTTGGTGCTACCCAAGATGGGAACGTTTTATTTCGGCCGATTTTTTTACTTGGCCAACTAAATATGAGAACGTTAAGAACGGTGGTAACGCTTCGAGACCCTCTGGGAAGCCCTCGTGGCTACCAAGAGGAGGATCCTGCTTTGGGATGTTTGTTCCACCCCTGTTGATAAATGTTATGAGGTGAGCAGCAAACGAACCCTACTGGCTGCTCTGCCACTTCTCAGTCACGTGCCTTGGTGAATTTAGGAGTTTCCCACGCACGTTTAACGAATTGCTCAATTGGAATTACTTGTAGGTCCGAATGATGACCTTGTTTTACTCTGTGCAGCTAAAGTTACTCGGGCTGGCGCCAAGACAGGCAGACAGACAAATTCTGTTTATTTAGTCTGGCCACATCAAGACATTGGTAGCTCTTAACGCTTTCTCTACCCTGGGTGCTACCAACAATGGGAGTCTCTGCTCTGGTTTAATGCACTGCTGTCGAGTGCATAAATGCAGCCTACACGGAATGCACCAGGGGTGACTTAAACCCCCCAGCCAATAGTGCAAAGCTACACAACCCAACCTGGTGGGTGAATGAGTGGGAAGGGTGAATTAGTTATTGCATGGGTGAATGGTTTGTTGGGTGAGTGAATGAGTGGGTAGGTGAGCTAATGAGTGTGGGTGGTGTGTATGGGTGAGCACGTCACAAAGTGGGTAGGTGAGTTAGTGAGTGACAAGCGGAGAAGTGGCTTGTAACTGGAGTCTGACAGGCGACAGATACTCCAGAACTGCAGGCGCGCAGCCGGTAAAACTTTGCCGTCTTAAAGGTGTTTAGAAATTAAACTTTGGATTCAGATCGGGTGTAAATACACTTCACCGGGCCTCTCACTTCTGAACTTATTGTTTTCTCGCTTGAATTCGTTTCTACTACTTGTGCCATTTTTTCTCCTTTGTGCTTAAACATTTGCTTGTTTAGTCTCTGAAGAGTGGTGAATAAAAACCGAATACTCAGCAAAAAATATGCGAATTTGTTGTCCTTCCCCTGCACCTCCAATTAGCACGGTTGGCTATGAACAGTGCGTAAGAAGTTCTACATACAACTGTTGCTGTGTTGTGCTTATTATAATAACGTTTTTAAAGTGTGAGTAACGTGTACAGTTTTCACATGAAGGGCGTGGGAAACCAACAGGAGAGGCAGTCAGAACCGGCGACAACTGCCCAAGCTCTGTGGTCCTATCGTATGTTTCTCCAACTGCGTGTGTATGCGTGTTTGTTTGCACAAACTGGCGGTGTAACGGGGAGCCACGGGTAAGGTAATTCTGCCTGTCTCAATCCGTGAACCCATAACACCTGGGCCAGTCAGCCTCTTGACACTTCACATGGCCTCAGAGCGCACCCAGCCTGGCACAGCAGGCACCATGGTTGGTGTCACCGGCCCTTCGTAGCGTCGCGAATAGCAGCGGTTAATGTTGCATTCGTAAAATTACAGGTTACTTTTATATGAACGGGTTTAGGTTGCGGACGAGACTTTGAATAAGGCGGCTCGATTTTACAGAGGAGATTTGCGGGTAGTGTGCTCGCTGGAAATGCTTCAAAATACGGGCGGCAGCTGATGGTGAGCAGTGCGCATATAAAGGGCGATCCGTTTATAGGTACCCCACTAAAATAACGGGCATGCATTGTAGAGAAACAAGATGAAAATTAATAATGGGCATACATTCTAGAGAAACAACATTCAAATTCAAACGCTCTACACATCTCCCGCCAATCGCAACAAGTATTCTCTTGTCCGATATGCAGCCATCACCGTTGCGATATTCAATCGGCTGTTTTAAGAGAGGTCAATAACGTTAAGGTCATTCGAAATCGGTGCAGTGTCTGTAAATGGATCACAGCCTGTATTGAGCACGCAACCGCCACCATTGGAGCGGCGTGGGCGTAGGTTGGAGTCCGGGGTGGAACCTCACGGGTCCTGGAGCAGAGCCGACAGCCGGGGGTCGCTCTGCAGCCTGCGCTCCATCTCCGCGTAGACGTGCGGCGCGGTGGCCTTGTGCCTGCGGAGAGACCCCCCCCCACTGTGAGCCTCCACCGTGCAGGGCGAGCGCTGGGGGTGAGGGGTCAGCGGGGGTGGGTGAGCGGTGAGCGAGGGCAAACGGTTGGCGGCGGTGAGCAAGGGCGAGGGGTGAGAATGAGCGGTGAGGCCACACCTGTGTAGGCGCTGCTCGGTGACGAGGACGCGGAAGGCCGCCTCCTCGCACGCGGCGTTGCGCTCCTCCTCACCCGCGCGGCCCCCGGGGCCCCGTGCTCCCTCCTGCTGCTGCAGCTCCTCCACCTCCTACGGCCGCCACCAAAAGGCAAAGACCCCCCCCCCCCCGTGTAGCCTTTAACAGGTTGTTGGGGCAAGTGCTGCAAGCGAGCACCGATGATGTGTGTGTCTCTCTCTCCAAGTGGTCGCGTGGGTTTTCCTCCGGGTCCTCCAATTTTCAACGTCGCATGTTTAAGAGTATTTTGGCTGCTATAAATTTCCACGCGATGATAAGCCGCCACTGCTTCGTTGAGCTATCGTTTGCGGCCAGGTCGCTTCCGAAAACGAGCTTCACAGCCCAGCGGGGGGCCCTGACCCGGTGAGGAAAAGGTCATTGCGACGTTGAGACGGGGCGGTCAAGCCATGCGCGCTCTGCACGCGACCCCTTAACCCCCGTGGCCCCTCCGCACCGGAGACGGAACCCTGCGCTGTGCCACCTTCTCGAGGCGCTCCTGCATGGCGTTGGCCTGCGCCGTGAGCTGGCGCTTGACGTCGTCCAGGCACTCGCTCCGCAGCCGCTCCGCGTGCCGGCGCGTCAGCTCCTCGGGGTCGCCCAGGCGCGCCAGGAACGGCGCCAGGTAGTCCAGCTGGGGCTCCTCCCGGCGCCGCTGCTCCTCCTGCCGCAAGCGCTCCTGGTACGGCGTGCGCACGGAGCGACGGTGCGACGTGCATTAGCCTGGCTCTGTTAGCCTCCAGGACATAGGTGTCTTCGTCTGGCTCTATGAGCCTCTGGTATAAAGGTGTCCTTATCTGGCTCGGAGCCTCCAGTACACAGATGTCTCCGTCTGGCTCCGAGCTTCTGGAACAAAGGTGCCTTGGTCTCGAGACAACCCAGCTTACACGGCTTACGTTTGGCACCTTCGTGATGGCCATTGCGCCGTTATGATTGGCGCGTATACCAAACGTACATGTTCACACGTTCATGAGAATCTTTATGGTGTCTTCAGCACATCCAGCAGGTATGGGGTTGGGGATAGTGGTGGTGGTGGTGATGATGATGGCGGCAGTAGCACGTGCAGGGTTTGGCAGTGTTGGCGATACGGCGGTGGTGTGACTGTGGTAAAGTGGTGTAGTACCAGCTCCTGGCGCCGCTGCTTGATGCGGTGGTTGCGCAGCGTGTCGTACACGCTCACCACGAGCTCGCTCGTCGCCTCCTCCTGCGCTCGCACACGCAGCATCTCCCGCACCTACACGGGGACACGGAGACCATGGAGACACGGATACGGGGACACGGACGCAATAGAGACACCCACACGGGGACCCAGTAACGCAGACACGAGGTGTGGAGACACGGGGTCCCGGATCGCACCTCCTCCTCGGATTTCCGCACGAGCTGCAGCGTCTTCTCCTCGGCGGCCATGAGCTCCACGAGCATCTCATAAACCTCTCGCTTCTTTAACTGCGGAGCGGCGGGGTCGGCCTGCGGCACAGGGGAGGGGGGGGGGGGGGCGACCGGGGTCACAAACCACCCCCTCACTCAACGCACCCCGGGTGGTACGTCGACTCCTCGGATTCGAGGTGTTCTGACCGCTAGGGCTCGGCCGTGGCGTGCTTGGCACACCTGGCGCTCACACAGCACGCCCGGCGCACCTGGTAAGCGGAGTAGGAGTCGGGCCCGGGCGGTTCGATGGTTCCGTCGGTGCCGCACGGCGGCTTGAGGAAGTGGCGGCAGGAGCGGGTGATGCGCGCCGGGTCCTGGTGGTAGAGCACGCTCACGCGCTCCTCCGCCAGCAGGAACGTGCGGCGCGACGGGTCCTCGTCCGCCGGACGCGACGGGTCCCGGTCAAAGTCTTCGGTTACCTTCTGCAGGGGTGGGGGTGGAGAGGCGCGCGCTGGCATGTCGATCGCTCGGGTCCCACGAGTCTCACTCGGACCACGTGTCTCAATAGGACCACGAGCTTCACCAGGCCTATGAATCTCACCCGGACCACGAGTCTCACCAGGACCACGTGCCTCACCAGGAACACGAGTCTCGCCAGGCCCTGAATTCCCGCCAGGACCACGAGTCTCACCAGGATGGGGCGGCAGTGCGAGTCGTGGGCCCCCGCGGGCCCGGCACGCTTCACGCGAGGCCCCAGCTGGGCGTGGCGAGCACGCAGGCGGTCGCCGCGCCCCTCGAACTCCTCCCACAGCTCGAGCGCCGTCTCGCGGCGGCTCCGCAGGCCGTCCACGCGCGCCGCGCTGTAGAACTCGGCCCGCCGCTCCGTCTCGGGCACCGGCGACGCGAACGTGTGCTCTGCCGGGCACGCCAGTGGAGAGCGACGGGGAGGGGAGTAGAGTGAGATGAGAGGGAGGAGAGTGTGTGGATGGGGAGTGAGATGAGAGGGGAGAGGTAGGCAGGGCCAAGTCTATTGAGCATCTGGAAGGTGGTGAGTCTGCAATCTTGAAATTGACCAGCGTGGGGACTTTGAGCCGGTGGCACAACGTGGAGTTTGGCGGCGGAGTGTCGGATCAACGCCGGCGAGTCCCAGCGGCCTCCAGCCGACCCCCACATCCCCCTCCCCCCTGTACCTTTAAGGCAGTCGGCGCGTCCGGGCGCGAAGTGTTCGGTGACCAGGCCCGACTCCTTGTTGAGCAGCTTGCGCTCCAGCCGGTCCTTGCGGTGGCCGTAGGTCTCCCTCACCTCCACCAGCTGGGTGCCTGCGCCAGCCACCACCACCACCACACACGCACGCATGCAGGCGACAGCCGCCTGCGTCACGGAGCGGCCGCCGGCGTCACGGAGCGGCCGCCGGCGTCAGGGAGCGGCCGCCGGCGTTAGCGAGCGGCCCCGGCATCAGGCGGCAACGAGCGATGGAGATTGCCGGTGGTCGTCGAAGACTCAAAGCCGCGATCTACTCGGGCACCGTCAGGGCAGTTTAACACGTCGTAGTTGTCGTAGGAGGAGGCCTTCGTGACCAATATTATTCCTAATAAGGTTTTTGTTTGGGTTAGATCACGTAAATATAGTTGTGTCGTTAACCCGCCACCACCCGACACAGCCAATCAGTAAGGTTCATCACGTAAACAAAACGTGCCAATTCGTTACGACTTCAGCACACCGGTTGTGTGTTGGAGAGGAAACCCACAACGTTTACAATTTGAGTACCGTGACATTTCGCCGGGCGACCACAACCAGGGCAGCCGTTGCCGGCAATCGTCACCGGCAACGGTTGCCGTGGCAATATCCCCTTTGCCATTCGAAATCCAAAACAATTCTGATTCAAGCTGCCCACCGCTGAGCGGGCAAACCCGGGGCGGCAACTTCCAATCAGGGTGGAGACTGAGGTCACGTGTTTTTGTATTGTAACGTTCTGACCCCGTGCCTCGACTGGACATCTGTGAAAAAGAGCGTTATGGCTCCCCGGATTCTACCAGTACAAATAAATATGCTGATTCTGATTCTGCTGCCCGAGCTCACGCTTTCTGCACCTGAAACGAGTGGCCAATTCCGCATCCACCATGGGTGCGATCTGAACGGATGGAACAGAACGTCTTCTGATGGATTGCTTTTCTGAAGTCAGGTATTGCTTTGAGTGAGCGACTGGGCGAACTGACCGGTAATAATGGACTGCATGAAGGAAGGACAGTCACTAGTGACTAGTACTCAGCCTGCTCCATCTCTAACCAACTAGTGACTAGTACAAGGCCTGCTCCATCTCTAACCAACTCGTGACTAGTACAAGGCCTGCCCCATCCCTCACCAACTAGTGTCTAGTACAAGGCCTGCCCCATCCATCACCAACTAGTGTCTAGTACAAGGGCTGCTCCATCTCTAATCAACTAGTGACTAGTACAAGGCCTGGCCCATCTCTAATCAATTAGTGACTAGTACAAGGCCTGCCCCATCTCTAACCAACTAGTGTCTAGTACAAGGCCTGCCCCATCTCTAACCAACTAGTGACTAGTACAAGGCCTGCCCCATCTCTCACCAACTAGTGTCTAGTACAAAGCCTGCCCCATCTCTAATCAACTAGTGACTAGTACAAGGCCTGCCCCATCTCTAACCAACTAGTGTCTAGTACAAGGCCTGCCCCATCTCTAATCAACTAGTGACTAGTACAAGGCCTGCCCCATCTCTAATCAACTAGTGACTAGTACAAGACCTGCCCCATCTCTCACCAACTAGTGTCTAGTACAAGGCCTGTCCCATCTCTAACCAACTAGTCACTAGTACAAGGCCTGCCCCATCCCTAATCAACTAGCGACTAGTACAAGGGCTGCCCCATCCCTGATCAACTAGTGACTAGTACTCAGCCTGCTCCATCTCTAACCAACTAGTGACTAGTACAAGGCCTGCCCCATCTCTAACCAACTAGTGACTAGTACAAGGCCTGCCCCATCTCTAACCAACTAGTGACTAGTACAAGGCCTACCCCATCTCTCACCAACTAGTGTATAGTACAAGGCCTGCCCCATCTCTCACCAACTAGTGACTAGTACAAGGCCTGCCCCATCTCTAATCAACTAGTGTCTAGTACAAGGCCTGCCCCATCTCTAATCAACTAGTGACTAGTACAAGGCCTGCCCCATCTCTAACCAACTAGTGACTAGTACAAGGCCTGCCCCATCTCTCACCAACTAGTGGCTAGTACAAGGCCTCCTCCATCTCTAAACAATTAGTGACTAGTACAAGGCCTGCCCCATCTCTAACCAACAGGTTTCTTTACAGTCTATAGACCAATCATTGTTCAGCATACACACATTTCACCAAAGCTTGAGAGAGAGAACTCTGTCACTTTATTCCATTGTCCCACCCAAGTTGCCACAGTTGCGCACGATCGATGCATTACCGATGATGGTTGCCAGCAACAATTGCTCTGATATTTCTTTGGTGGATCACGGTTCCTTAAGGTGTACCCAAGTTCTGTGAGGCTCGACCGGAACGCATGGCAAGCCCCTCCACCCATCAAGCTACGGCAAAAATAGACGCAACCACGGCCCACTCAAGTCACCAGACCCGGCCAAAAGACAAAGATCCCCCGTGTAGCCTTCACAGAGCGTTGGGGCAAGTGCCGTTAGCTAGGAGCACCTGTGAAGGCCGGCACAGCACACGAGGGGTTGGGTAGCCAGCACCACACCCGGCTGCCTGTCTCCCTAGTGGTGATATTTACACACAGTACCAGGTAATCATTTAAGGCTGAGTCGAACTAGAGAAGGCCCAGGACCGGTTTAAATATTCGCCATCACTGTTATTGGTCGTGAGCAGGAATCGAACTCGGGTCGCCGGGTTCATAGCGCAGTGCGCCAACCACTGCACCACGCTCCACCGAACTCGACCACACGCACGACGAGCACAAACAACCCGGCGCATCGGGGGGGGGTGGGGGGGGGGGGCAGTTGTGGCGCCTGCGCACCGAGCAAGTCACCGAGTGACCAACCGAGCGAGTGACCAACCGAGCGAGTGACCAAGCAAGTGACCAAGCCAGTGACAGAGCGAGTGACCAAGCGAGTGACCAAGCAAGTGACTGAGTGACCGAGCGAGTGACCAAGCGAGTGACCGACCTAGCGAGCGATTGAGCAAGTGACTGAGCGAGCAAGTGACTGAGTGACCGACTGAGCGACCGAACAAGTGACCGACCGAGCGAGTGACCGAGCGAGTGACCGAGCTAGTGACCGACTGAGCGAGCGACCGATTGAGTGACCAAGTGACCGACCGAGCGAGTGACCGAGTGACCGACTGAGCAAGCGACCGATTGAGTGACCAAGTGACCGAGCGAGTGACCAACTGAGCGAGCGAGCGAGCGAGTGACCGCCGGCGAACTCACACTCGTCGTCACGGAAGACGGAGAGGCGCGATATGAGGCCGTCGCGCTGCAGGAACGGTGCCAGCTTCTCGAGCCGTGCACGGCGGAACTGCACCGTCCTCTTGCCACCAGGGCAGCGCATCTCCAAGTCTGCACGCGAGAGTGAATTCATTTTAATTAAACGTTTTTTTTAATTGTCTTTCTCAACCAGTGCTGTCCCCGATCGTGCTCCTGGCATCACCATGGTCTTGAAACGGAGACTCCGGTCGCAGTGCTCGCAAAGCGACGCCGCCGATACGGGTTCAGAGAGAACGGCCCGCGGAAAGCGGATATCACAGAACTACCTTCTGAGATCCGGCGGACACCCAGGACAGCACCCACTCTGCCACCGAGTCAAGTTCACCGCACGACAGTCGACGCGACATTTTTTATTCTCAAGAGCTGCTGGAATCATCCAAATTCAGTGCAAAGCCCAAATTGTTGTACTGTAATGGGGACAGCTGGATCCTACCGTGTGGGGACAGCCGGATCCTACCGTGTGGGGACAGCAAGATCCTACCGTGTGGGGACAGCCGGATCCTACCATGTGGGGACAGCTGGATCCTACCATGTGGGGACAGCCGGATCCTGCCGTGTGGGGACAGCTGGATCCTACCGTGTGGGGACAGCCGGATCCTACCGTGTGGGGACAGCTGGATCCTACCGTGTGGGGACAGCCGGATCCTACCGTGTGGGGACAGCCGGATCCTACCGTGTGGGGACAGCCGGATCCTACAGTGTGGGGACAGCCGGATCCTACCGTGTGGGGACAGCTGGATCCTACTGTGTGGGGACAGCCGGATCCTACTGTGTGGGGACAGCCGGATCCTACCGTGTGGGGACAGCCAGATCCTACCGTGTGGGGACAGCTGGATCCTACCGTGTGGGGACAGCTGGATCCTACCGTGTGGGGACAACTGGATCCTACTGTGTGGGGACAGCCGGATCCTACCGTGTGGGGACAGCCAGATCCTACCGTGTGGGGACAGCTGGATCCTACCGTGTGGGGACAGCCAGATCCTACCGTGTGGGGACAGCAGGATCCTACCGTGTGGGGACAGCTGGATCCTACCGTGTGGGGACAGCTGGATCCTACCGTGTGGGGACAGCCGGATCCTACCGTGTGGGGACAGCTGGATCCTACCGTGTGGGGACAGCTGGATCCTACCGTGTGGGGACAGCTGGATCTTACTGTGTGGGGACAGCTGGATCCTACCGTGTGGGGACAGCTGGATCCTGCCCACCCACGATGGAGGCAGCGTGGACCCCGCCCGCTCCTCCTTCTGCCGACGCTGCAGGCAAACACGCAAACGACATGTGACTGTTACTGTGGACCCTAACCCAATACTAACGTCATCGCTAACCCTATCGCTAACTCTATCACTAACCCTATCACGAACCTAACCCAAACCCTAACCTTACTGAAACTCATAACTCTAACCCAACACTCAATCCTAACCTAGCCTTAACTCCTAACTCTAACCATATCCCTAACCTCACCTTAACTCCTATCTCTAACCCAACTCTAACCTCATCCAAAACTCTCACCTCACCTAAACCCAATCCTAACCCAATCCCTCAAACCTCCCCCAGACCCCTGGCTGCAGCTCCTACGTCACCCGACATCTTCACCTCCGGATCGGCCTCCTCCTCCTTGTCCTCCTCCTCCTCCTCTTCCTCTTCGTCGCCGTAGCCGCCGTGAGCCGCTGATCCGGCCGTGCGCGGACGAACGCCGGGGAACACGGCCTCCCAGCCAAGCGCGTCGTGGACATGGAACGACACTCCCTGCGGTACACACACACGCACGCACGCACACACACACGCGGGCGGCACACACACACACACACGCGGGCGGCACACACACACACGCGCGCACACACCCCGGTCGATGCCGCGAGATTAAAACTACGAAGCTATAAGCAGGGAAGGCCCCACTGAGCTACTGTGGAGTTCGTTCTCACAAGCGGCCCCGGCTATCGCGAATGGCAGCTCGACAAAGTGGGCTTGTCACGTGGACATTTATGGTGGCTAAAACACTCCAAACACCTGACGTTGATTCAAAATGCTGAGGGAAAAACCAGAGGACCCGGAGAATAAATTGCGCGACCACATGCAAACATGCAAACTCCAAATCTACAGCAGCAGCAGCAGGCGTCAGGGTCGAACCCACGACCTCCTGTAAACCAGGCGAGGTGGTTAACATCTGACCATGATGATGACGACAATAATAATAATATGTCCGGCATATTCGAGTCCCCATCGTCATTCGGTGGACAACACCGCGGGCTATCTCGGAAACGGCTATCGCTAGCCGCCACTAGCCACTGCTATCCACCGCAAGCCATCGCTAGCCATTGTTAGCCAGCACTAGCCATTGTTAGCCATCACCGTACCGCGGCAGTAGCCATCGCTAGCCATCGCTAGCCATTGTTAGCCATCACCGTACCGCGGCAGTAGCCATCGCTAGCCAGCGCTAGCCATTGTTAGCCATCACCGTACCGCGGCAGTAGCCATCGCTAGCCGCCGCTTGCCGATGTGCCACAGCACTAGCCACGGCTAGCCGTCGTCTCGCCGCGGCACGCGGCCACCAGCTCGGCCACCTGGCATCCGTGGCGGCAGTCCTGCACGTTGACCCAGTAGTTGCGGTGGTTCCACACGCTCTCCACGCCCAGGAAGCGCCCGTCGGCCGTGGAGAAGGCGCGACCGCTCAGCGGCTCCACGAAGAACGCCTCGGCCACGCCGCGCCGGCCCGGCCGCACCAGCACCCAGCAGTGGACGCGCAGCCCGTGCAGCGGGTCCAGAGACGGGCGATCGCGCTCCTGCACGCAAGACGAAGACAAAGATCCCCCGCCCCCCCCCGCCGCGTAGCTTCAGCAGACCGTTGGGGCGACTGCCGTTAGCGAGCACCTGTGAGCAGGAATTGAACTCGGGTCGCCTGGGTTCGTAGCGCAGCACGCTATCCTCTACGCTACCGCTGCACACATATACACATCCAAATCAGACGGACAAAGATCCCCCGTCTAGCCTGTAACAGACCGTAGGAGCAAGTGCTGTTAGCAAGTAGCACCTATGAAGGCTGGCACGGCACACGAGGGGGGGGGGGTGGGTGGCCAACACAACGCCCGACCGCCTTTGTCTCCCCAGTGGCAATGCTTACACACTGCACCAGGTACACATTTGAAGCTGAGTTGACCTAGGAGAGGCCCAGGACCGGTTAAGATAATCGTCACTGGTGTTGGCCTCGAGCAAGAATCGAACTCGGGTCGCCAGGTTCGTAGCACAGCGTAGGTCTAACTGCTACACCAGCGCTGCAAAAACAACCGCCATTCGCCGCTATGTGGCAGTGACATCACCTAGGCGGTTGTGCCAGGCCAGGTGCACCTTGAGGCCACGCGAAGTGTCGAAGGCTCGCCGCTGGCCGGAGGTCACGGGACAGACCCAGGTGGCACGGGCTGACTGACCGAGACGACTGGCGGACGCGCCGGCCGTGCTGCCCGCACGCGGCACCCCACGACGCCGAGACGCGTTAGCGGTCGGCCCCCCGGCAGAGTGCCGCCTCCGCTTCTCACCGCGGCGCCGGCCTCCTCCTCCCGCCGGCGCCGCTCCCGCGCGGCCCCCTCCTCGGCCTGCCGGCGCTCCTCCAGCCGCTCCTCGTGGTGGCTGCGCAGGTCCCGCGCTCGCCGCACCGCGTACTTGTTGGGCGGGCGCCGGGGCTCGGCTGGCTCGGGCTGCGCTCACGCACGCAACCACAGAGAACCCCGCCCCCCCGCCACCGCACGCACACCCATGTAGCACGCACACAGACTGTCGGGGCGAGAGCCGCGAGTGAGGAACACCCACGAAGGCCGGCACGTCGGCGTGGGCAAACGCCGCGCCACGGTCGCCGGACCGTCTTCCCGTCGCCGACGTTTAACGTGTGGGGCCGGGTGCTCGTTAAAGGCCGTGTCGACCTGGGGGAGGAGACGGGACCGGTTCGGATGTTCGTCAACGATGTTGGCCGTGAGCGGGAATCGAGCCCGGCGCGCTACAACTCTGTGCTCCCGCACACGGCACATGCAGGCGTCGGTGCCACCTGACACTGAATATTGAAACCGGTCCGGAGCTTTGCTTGTCTTGAATCAGTGCTGCTGACATCAAGCACTCCCAGAAGGCCGTGCGGGTGATGAAGGCCGTGCGGACCGCGAGGGGCTACGCGAGTTCATGCAGCAAAATCCATCATCGGCGATTTGTTGTTGTTTTTGGTCTATGCGTTGGTGGTCGTGGCGTTGGCGTTGATGGCGCTGGCGGTGGTGGCGGTGTTGGCGTTGGTGGCGGTGGTGGTGGTGGTGTTGGCGGTGGTGGCGCTGGCAGTGGTTGCGGTGTTGGCGTTCGTGGTGGTGGCGTTGGTGGTGGTGGCGTTGGTGGTGGTGGCGTTGGTGGTGGTGGCGGCGTTGGTGGTGGTGGCGGCGTTGGTGGTGGCGTTGGCAGTGGTGGCATTGGTGGTGGTGGCGTCAAAAACGCGCACGCTCCCTCACCGGCTCGGGCTCGCGGAGGAGCGGGCAGTCGGCACGCGACTCGTCGGCGAGGCACGTGGGCCGGTCGGCATAGCCGCACACGCAGTAGGCGTCGTAGCCGGCGCCCAGCAGCAGCGAGCACAGCAGGGAGCTCGCCTCCAGGGAGTTGGCGCGCTTCCGCCGGAGCACCGTCACCGGCGACGCCAGCCGCGACGGCTGCGGCGGGGGGGGGGGGGGGCGATGCCGGTTCGTGTAACTCCAACCGAGTCGTTTGCCGCGTCGACGCTCGGCGCGGGACAAGGTCACGTGACCGTTAACGTCCAATGCGAAGCAGGCGGCGTGTAGCAGCTTCTTACCGTTGATACAAAGTAAAAGATCCCTCGCCTGTAACAGACTGTTGGGGCAAGTGCTGTTAGCGAGCACCTATGAAGGCCAGAACGGCACACGAGGGGGTGGGTGGCCAGCACCATGCCCGGCCGCCTTTGTCTCCCCTGTAGTGATGTTTTAGGCACCGCACCAGATACTAATTTGAGGCTGAGTCGACCTCGGGGAGGCCCAGGACCGGTTCAAATAATCGTCACCGGTGTTGGCCGTGAGCGGGAATCGAACTCGAGTCGCCAGGTTCATAGCGCAGCGTAGCGCTAACCGCTGCACCACCGCTCCTCGCTATTACGGTTGATACACAAGGCGGTGTTAGTCCAATCGAACGACTCAAGGCGCGAGACGTAGCGCCTCCGGTTTGCGCAGTTGGCTCCGTACGGTGCGAAAGAAGTTCAACGGGGGGGGGAGGGGGGGCGGGGGGGGCCGGGGGGGGGGCGGGGGGGTGCCAACATCGGGTACCAAAGCGGAATAATTTCGACCTGGTGCACTGTTTTTTTTTTATTTTACAAATAATTTCTGGATGCTACGTTGGGCGGTGTCGCACACTTCACAAGAAAACTCAACACATTCATCCAGAACACCATGCCCTTTAAAGAGTAAAAGAAAGGCAATGGCCCTTCATACTTTTATGTACTATCAAGAAGGGCCATTGCCCGAAACGTCGCCTATTCTACATATATAAAGCCCACGGGTGTTATTGTAAGTATGTTGAACTTCTTTCGCGCCGCACGTAGCCAACCGCGGGTGATCGGAGGCGGGAGGAGGACGAACGTAACCCCCCGTATCGTGCCCCTCACCAGCGCCGTGGGCGGCTCGAGCGGGGTGGGCACCACGCAGTCGGAGACGAAGCTGGCGCTGCCCTGCCAGTGCTGGAGCTCGAGGTAGGGCACCAGCGTGGGCCTCAGGGTGGTGCACACAAACTTCTGCACGCGCGGCTCACACAAAGACAAAGGTTCCCCCCTGTGCAGTATAGCCTTTGCGAGGCTCTCGGGGCAAGCGCCGTTAGCGAGCAGCACACGACGGGGCGGCGTGGAGGGCCAGCCCCCGTTCCTGGTGGCTGGGAGATGTTGACTACCTCGCCAGGTATACAGGAGCTCGTGGATTCGATCCCGACCCTGACGCCTGCTGCTGCTGCTGCTGTATATTTCTCTCTCCCTGTGGTTGCGTGGATTTTCCTCCGGCTCCTCCGGTTTTTCCCCTCCACATTTTGAATCAACATCACCACGCGTTTAGAGTTTTTGGCTGCGAGACATTTACACGCGATAAGCTGCGGTGCTTCGTTGAGCTATCTAGCTCAGTGGGCCTTACCTGGTAAAATAAAAAGTAGTTAGTAGTAGCAGGATGTCTCTGCATTGCCACTTTTCACACGTGGCACCAGGCTCGTTAAAGGCCGAGTCGACCTAGGGGAGGCTCAGGTACCGGTTAAGATACTGTATTCACCACCGGTGTTGGCCGTGAGCAGGAATCGAACTTGGCCGATCTGGTTTCGCAGTGCTGCAACCACCACACTCCCGCACCCCAAAGACAAAGATCCCCCGTGTAGCCTTTACCAAACTGTAGGGGCAAGTGCTGTTAGCAAGCAGCACCTATGAAGGCCGCAACGGCACACGAGGGGGTGGGCGGCCAGCACCACGCCCGGCCGCCTTTGTCTCCCCAGTGGTGATGTTTACTACACACCGCACCCAGGTACTCATTTGAGGTCGAGTTGACCTAGGAGAGACCCATGACCGGTGAGCGGGAATCGAACTCGGGCCGCCGGGTCCGTAGCACTACCGCTCCCCCACACACACTGCACGCACCACCCCCCACACACCTGGGGCCCCTTGCATGCCCCCCCCACACACCTGTGGCCACTCCCGTGCCCCCCCACACACCTGTGGCCCCTCCCATGCCCCCCCTACACACCTGGGGCCCCTCCCATGCCCCCCCCACACACCTGGGGCCCCTCCCATGCCCCCCCCCACACACCTGGGGCCCCTCGCATGCCCCCCCCCACACACCTGTGGCCCCTCCCATGCACCCCCCCCACACACCTGTGGCCCCTCCCATGCCCCCCCCCACACACCTGGGGCCCCTCGCATGCCCCCCCCCCACACACCTGGGGCCCCTCGCATGCCCCCCCCCCACACACCTGCACCCCGCACTCGTTGGCGGGGCAGAGCAGCAGCGGCCTGCGGTCGGGGTACAGGAGTGAGTACTGCCGCTGGAATGAGTCCGCGAGCACCAGCAGCTCCTCCTCGCGGGGGGAGTTCTCCCGGAACGACGCCCGCACGTCCCAGCCGGCTCCCGCTGAGTCCCACTCGCCCGCAGGAGGCGCCGGGGGTCCGGCCCCGAACCCGGCCTCGCGTGCTGCTGCAGGCCGCGGCTTGCGGCCGTCTCCACAAGCCGGGGCCTCTCCCTCGGGCCCGGCGGCTCTCGATGTCGCCTCCTCCTCCTCCTCGGCCTCCTCCTCCTCCTCAGCCTCCTTCTCCTCCTCCTCGGCTGCCCTGCGACCGTCCCAGAGGCCATGGACGCCGGTCGGCATTGAAGAATGCGCGTGGCGCCAGGGGCGTGTGATGCCGTGTCAGCTGATAAGGTGGCGTTGTAGTGTGTTGTGAGCTGGTGTGAGTTTGGAGTGTGTGAGCTGGTGTGAGTTTGAAGTGTGTGAGATGGTGTGAGTTTGAAGTGTGTGGTGGTGTGAGTTTGAAGTGTGTAGTGGTGGGGTTGTAGTGTGTTGTGAGCTGGTGTGAGTTTGAAGTGTGTGAGCTGGTGTGAGTTTGAAGTGTGTGGTGGTGGGGTTGTAGTGTGTTGTGAGCTGGTGTGAGTTTGAAGTGTGTGAGATGGTGTGAGTTTGAAGTGTGTAGTGGTGGGGTTGTAGTGTGTTGTGAGCTGGTGTGAGTTTGAAGTGTGAGCTGGTGTGAGTTTGAAGTGTGTGGTGGTGTGAGTTTGAAGTGTGTAGTGGTGGGGTTGTAGTGTGTTGTGAGCTGGTGTGAGTTTGGAGTGTGTGAGCTGGTGTGAGTTTGAAGTGTGTGGTGGTGGGGTTGTAGTGTGTTGTGAGCTGGTGTGAGTTTGAAGTGTGTGAGATGGTGTGAGTTTGAAGTGTGTGGTGGTGGGGTTGTAGTGTGTTGTGAGCTGGTGTGAGTTTGAAGTGTGAGCTGGTGTGAGTTTGAAGTGTGTGGTGGTGTGAGTTTGAAGTGTGTAGTGGTGGGGTTGTAGTGTGTTGTGAGCTGGTGTGAGTTTGAAGTGTGTGAGATGGTGTGAGTTTGAAGTGTGTGGTGGTGGGGTTGTAGTGTGTTGTGAGCTGGTGTGAGTTTGAAGTGTGAGCTGGTGTGAGTTTGAAGTGTGTGGTGGTGTGAGTTTGAAGTGTGTAGTGGTGGGGTTGTAGTGTGTTGTGAGCTGGTGTGAGTTTGAAGTGTATGAGATGGTGTGAGTTTGAAGTGTGTAGTGGTGGGGTTGTAGTGTGTTGTGAGCTGGTGTGAGTTTGAAGTGTGTGAGATGGTGTGAGTTTGAAGTGTGTGGTGGTGTGAGTTTGAAGTGTGTAGTGGTGGGGTTGTAGTGTGTTGTGAGCTGGTGTGAGTTTGAAGTGTGTGAGATGGTGTGAGTTTGAAGTGTGTGAGATGGTGTGAGTTTGAAGTGTGTGAGATGGTGTGAGTTTGAAGTGTGTGAGATGGTGTGAGTTTGAAGTGTGTGAGATGGTGTGAGTTTGAAGTGTGTGGTGGTGTGAGTTTGAAGTGTGTGGTGGTGTGAGTTTGAAGTGTGTAGTGGTGGGGTTGTAGTGTGTTGTGAGCTGGTGTGAGTTTGAAGTGTGTGAGATGGTGTGAGTTTGAAGTGTGTGAGATGGTGTGAGTTTGAAGTGTGTGAGATGGTGTGAGTTTGAAGTGTGTGGTGGTGTGAGTTTGAAGTGTGTGGTGGTGTGAGTTTGAAGTGTGTAGTGGTGGGGTTGTAGTGTGTTGTGAGCTGGTGTGAGTTTGAAGTGTGTGAGCTGGTGTGAGTTTGAAGTGTGTGAGATGGTGTGAGTTTGAAGTGTGTGGTGGTGAGTTTGAAGTGTGTGGTGGTGTGAGTTTGAAGTGTGTGAGATGGTGTGAGTTTGAAGTGTGTGGTGGTGAGTTTGAAGTGTGTGATGGTGTGAGTTTGAAGTGTGTGAGATGGTGTGAGTTTGAAGTGTGTGGTGGTGAGTTTGAAGTGTGTGAGATGGTGTGAGTTTGAAGTGTGAGATGGTGTGAGTTTGAAGTGTGTGGTGGTGAGTTTGAAGTGTGTGGTGGTGAGTTTGAAGTGTGAGATGGTGTGAGTTTGAAGTGTGTGGTGGTGAGTTTGAAGTGTGAGATGGTGTGAGTTTGAAGTGTGTAGTGGTGAGTTTGAAGTGTGTGAGATGGTGTGAGTTTGAAGTGTGAGATGGTGTGAGTTTGAAGTGTGTGGTGGTGAGTTTGAAGTGTGTGGTGGTCTGAGTTTGAAATGTGAGATGGTGTGAGTTTGCAGTGTGTGGTGGTGTGAGTTTGACCAGGAGATGAACCCCGTTTAGAGGCGTTGAAGAGTCCCTCTCTTGCAAGGGCGACCTCTATTACACGATGGCGAACTGAGGACTGTGCACTATATACTGCATATAGTAACAGACAAACGTTTACATTTCACAAACCTAGATTCACTTCATATCAGTAAAATGTATACTTTGACGGTGAAATTAATCCACACGGGGCAGCATCGGAGTGGGTGGTAGTGTTAGGAGCACTGTAGTTGTTGTGGTGGTTGTTGTGTTTGATTCTATTGCAGTTGTAGTCGTGGTTGGCGATCGTTGCAATGTTTCTGCAGTTGTAATGGTTGGTTGCTGTGGTAGTTGTAATGGTGGATGTCGTTGTAGCGGTAGTTGTGGCGGTTGTAGTGGTGGTCTCACAGGAGTCGAGTTCTGGGTGACCTCGCCTCCTCTCCAGGCCCTACGCCGCCTTCCATCGTTTCCTCTCCACCTCGTCTCGCTCCTCGAATCCTCGTTAGCTCCTTCCCGTCTCCCTCCTCGTATATCTCCCCTCCTCCCAAGTCCTCCTCCTCTCTTCCTGTCTCTCTCCCCGTGTCTCTCTCCGTCTCCCTGTCGCTCTCCCCGTGTCCGTCTCTAAGGCACGTGTTGACGCCTCGCGTTGCTAGGCAACCGAGTGCGCCCCTGCGTCACGTGACGCGGAAGTCCCCTACTCCCCCCTCCCCGCGCGCACAGCCCACGTGACAACAATACGAGCAGCACGTGGCCGACCTCATTCGGGTGACGATTCGGAGCGCCGTGCGGGTTTTAAATATTTTCTGTTTATTTTGTTACAAAGAAAACAACAATAGCACAAAACAGGAACGGCGGCGAGGGGGCGGCACAGTCAGCAGCACTGCAACTCGTACAGCAGAGCAGCCACCAACAAACCCCGCCGTGCCTGCGCGTGGTCGCATCATCATCATCTTGACATTAAATACATGGTTGTGACGTTCATGTAAAAAGCTGCATAACCTCAAAACACACGACACGAGATTTGTTTTTTTTAAACACCTAAATAACGTTATAGAAAACAAGAATTACCCGCGCGACTTTTAAGTACGTACAACAAAATATCCCGCGACCCCCATTCTAAAAAAAAACCCCTCTCAGTCAACAAACACTGCACTTACCCCCCCCAAGTCTCCGTCCGTACTTCAATACTCTTGCTGTCCTGATCCACGGCTAATACAGACGCGCGACGTTACAACACCCCTCCCCACACCAATGTAGCCCGGTCGATCGGTCCGGTAGGCGTGCTTCTATTTACACTTTGCCCCCTTTAAAATACACCCGTGGGAACACGCAAGCTACGCACACTTAGAGGTCTCTGTACAGCACTCGGGATGGCAGTTACGTCTGGGGGTGATCACTTTTTTTACACGGCTAAAACTACGACCACTTTCACCCTTATCGAGGATTGCAATGGAAAATGAAAAAATATAATATCAGTAATAGTACAAAATAAACAACAAAGATGTATGTAATCGTGAAACCCGCACAGAGGCTGTGGCCAGCCACCACACGGCTAATTTATGAAGGGAGACGCGACCCAAACACGCGACGATATACAGTAAACCCTGCAAACCAGCAACATACTTTTCAGAGTGTACTGCAAAATGAGACCCAGTTCAAACTCGTACGTAAAAGTGCTGCTGGGCATTGGTCCAGAAAGCCCACAAACTGATGGGACTAAAATAATTTACTTGTATGTGGCGACGCGAACTGACACTAAAGCCTTGAATGGTTTCGCGTAGATCGCGAAATCTCATCGTAGCGAGCAGTTCATTCGTATGAAAGATATTGTGCGACTTCTACATGAACATTACCCGCTCTGAAATGGCTCAGAAACGATTAAACTATGGGCATATAAAAAAGCATGGTGAGGTGCACGCTGACACCGATAAACAAGTGGAGCGCGTGGATTCTTGCATCCAGAGTGCGTGATCGCCGAGTCACGCGGTGGCCGTGTGCCATTTATGTAGCCCTCCACCGAACTTGATGGTGGACCGGTCATCAAAAATACGCGAAAATATTTTATCTTTTTAAACTAAAATATTTTTCATTTAAACCAGGTAAGGCCTCACTGAGCTATATAGCTCTTTTTCAGAAGCGACCTGGCTATCACAAATGATAGCTCAACGAAGTGGTTTATTATCGCGTGGAAATTTACAGCAGCCAAATACTTGAGACACGTGTTTCTAAATGTGGAGGGAAACCCCAGAGGGGACCCGGAGAAAAATCCACGCGACCACGGGGAGAGAAACATGCAAACTCCAAATATACAGCAGCAGGCGTCTGAGTCGGGATCAAACCCACGACCTCCTGTACATCAGGCGAGGTAGTTAACATCTCGCCAGCGCCACAGCTGCAGTGTCGGGTTGTCGTGAAGAACCCAACGGTGGAGGTTGGCTGCACAGAGACCTTTCCCTGTCTGGAACCTGTCCAACAAGGCACCACTGGCGGTGTAGCAGGATGGAGTCAGGTTTTACAGATTGTAAGATCCCCGGATAAGGAAACAGTTTGGTGCTTATTTCCCCCTCCATTCCTCGCGCCAACTGCTCTCTGCCAAGCAGTGATCCTCCCAGCAAAACCGAATAAAGGCAAATCATTGACTAGGGAAAGCCAAATGGGATTGGGGCAAGCGACGATAGTCGAGACCAGTGACAGAACGGTGACCCAAAGGAGAGACCGCGTCGAAGAGGATGACCACCGCAGAGATGGAGCCATGAGATCGGGGTCATGTGCCGCAGACTGAGGTGGAGAGGACTAGCAGCTCTGGACTACGAGGTACCGGCCACGGCGTGGGGGAGGCCGTCAACCACCAGGGGAGAGAGATTATGGCTTGTGATAAAATGCTCCAAAAGAACACATGAGTCCGGATTAAAATTAACGGCTCCTCTCTCGTAGGCTCCATCCCTGGCTGCCCCCCACACGTTTAAAGCTTCATGGGAAAATGACCATTTTGGAGTTACGGCCAGAAGCGCCATTATAGCTATCGCACATCTTTCTTCAAAAAATCTACTCATGAGCTCGTTGGGTGTATTCCTAAAAATGTTAGTTTTTAGTTCACAAAGCTTAAGAGGGCTCCATCGTGGCTGTGATGCTAAGTGCCAATGCACTGACTCTCCCAATTCCCGTGACTTTCACAATCAGAGGGGATTTATTTTCTTTTGTAAAAATAAAAAAATCGGTCATCTGTTTTGCCGCACGCAACCAATGAGTCAGCCGCCAGTGCCTTGCAGTGGCTGCCGCTGAACCGATCACGCTGAACCGATCACGCTGATCAATCACGCTGAACCGATCACGCTGAACGGCGCGCCGTGCCGCCGGAGCGTTTATGTGAATCGGGTTTCGCACCGAAACTAAAATTATTGAACTGGATTCTGTGACTTTCGTATTTGAAAATCGATTCCAAATAGATTAACAGCAACAAAAAACTGACAAAAAAATACGATTAGCATCGCATTTTTTGTATAGTTTTGAGTTTGTCACGTTAGCGGAGATTCGCACACTCGTGTGGCCAGTTCCCCGAGAACACGAATTTAGAGAAATGAACGGTTGCATCATTCGGGTTGTGTCTTCCCTTTAAATCGCCTTCGAGTGTCGCGGGGGGGGGGGGGGGTAACAATTGTGCAAGACTCGAACTTCAAAAGTCAACTTAGGCCTGAGGTTTTTCACCACTTTGTACAACAACAAACACGACAGCAGCGATATTTCCCATTCTTTCCACGCCAAAATAAACTACAAACATTTCTCTGGGCTCTTCACCAAGAGGACCCCAAGCCCGTCTGGGTACGATTGTGGAGTTGTTTTTATTTGGGGTGGGACGGGGACAAGTAGCCATGGGGGAGAGCCATGTAGAGTAGCCGAAGGTGGCCCATGATGAAGGGTTTTTTTATGGAGGGGGCACTGCATATGATTTGCTCACTCCTGTCTAAACGTTTTTTTTTTGGGGGGGGGGGGGCGAGGAGTCTCCTCTTTTCCCTCTGTTGCCAATGCCATGGTAGTGGTAGCACCATTGGTTGGTTTTGTCTTAGCTGTCTGGCACTATGATAGCATTAGACTTTTTCCCAATCCCTATCCTCATGCATCCCATTTATTCCCCACAGATGTCTAATTTATGCTATGAACCATGGGCATCATCTCCCACAAAGTAAATTTTTATTGACTATCTTGATTGACTGTTGCATCAATTTTCAGAGCGGTATTTTTTTCACTGTGGTGTGCAACGTCCATGGTCGCCAGGGAGCTCGTGGCGAGATTTTTAACTACCTCACCTGGTATATAGGAGTACATGGGTTCAATCCCGACCCTGACGCCTGCTGTATATTTGTAGTTTGTATGTTCTCCCAGTGGTCGTGTGGATTTTTATCCGGGTTCTCCGTTTTTTTTCCTCCACAGTTAGAAACACACATTTAGAACACATGATAAGCCACTTGCTTGAGCTATCATTTGTGATAGCCAGGTCGCTTGTGAAAAATAGGTATATAGCTCAGTCGGCCTTATCTGGAAAAAAAAAAGTTTAGTTCCGCGAACTATTCAATTTTTTCAGAATAGTTATTGGAAACCTTGCAGCCAATGTGGCTCGGAGAGAAGGTGAACCTTTAGATCTCGGCGTTCGTTACACACTGAAGGTTTTCTTGCTTGTTCGTATACTGGAGTTGGACATACGATGAATAGTCACTGCCATTGCAAAGGGCCTACAGTATGTGGTGTGCTGGGTACAGAAATATTTCCCAGGGCACCACCCTGGCCAGACCCGACTGAACTTAAGCCCGGGTTGCATCCAAATTAAACAATAATTGGAAGGCAAAAGCAGTGTGCTGTAGTGGTGGTGATGCACCAACGCTGGGCTTAACCAGACCCGTTCTACTGGTAAGCCACATCGGCCGGTGATGCCAGTCATCACGTGACAGATAATTAATCCACCTGTGACAAGTCACCTGGCTTCTGATCAAACAACCCAGAATGCACTCGATCCCCTTAGATGTTAAGCAGAGTTGAACCTGGCGAATACATGGAAGGGTGACCACCTTGCATAACTGGTGTCATAGCCTGGGGGGACGCTATGGGCAGTTGCAAAAGCCATCGTTGTACCGTACCTTTACGCTGCCACATCTATGTTCCCCGCCTTCACCAACCTGCACTGACCAGCGTGGTGAAGTATGGTCAAATAATCCCCTTTTTGGCGGTTGACACAATGAGCTGTAGGTGTACATGCATTGCGTTAGACTTAGTTTGTAGCTTCAACGCAGAGACACAATCCGGCACTCAACACAGAGCATGAGCCGTCATAAAAAGGCATGTCAAGATTAACAAGTTGGAGGAAAGTAGATTCTTAAACTCGTGATACATGCATCCCGCAACGTGTGCCAGAATTTGATCATTTACAATTTATACAAACGTTGACTTTAGGCGAACAAATGGTTCCACCCGACAAGACTGTGCAGATGGGACGGAACGAGACGAATGATTCTTGAATATCGAATCGTGACCCTCGAAATCGTGACAATTTATCAAATTGTGGGTTTGGATGGGAAGGGTGTGTGTGAATGGCGGTGGAGAATCATAAAATGCCTAATTATAAATACACTGTAGGTGGGATGTTTAACATCAACAAGTCTCCTGCTGTGGCATTGTAGTTACTAGCTGTGGCCAACTGGTTATCCTAACTCTACCCCCTCAACCAAGAGTGGTAGATCATAGAGAGGAGTGGAAGTAGGTGCTACACACCACCAGCACTCTGGAAAGAGGATGTGGAAAATGACAGCCTCCCCTAACCTTAGGTTTACGGCTGGCTGGCTGGCTGGGGGAGTTAGGTCACAACTTGTACGGACTGCCGCCGGCAGGTCTCGGAACCGTTTCCAATCTACGTTTCGTTTTTCATTCAGAACGGTGGTGTGTTCACCGTGTACCGCCACGGTTTAGTTCCAACACCGGTGCAGTCAGCGCAGCGTAGGAGTGGTGACAACTCTGCAAGGTAACCCCCCTGTAAAGCTCGGACGGGTTGTAGTGACTACCCCACACCCCAACGTCAGGGATAAGGCGAGTTTAGGGGATTGGAGCAACACCCTGCAGGGATCTCCTCCCACGGCATTCCAGTAGCATCTTTGTCCCAGACATTTCATCCCAACGCAGCTGCAGGACAAACTGCCCCATGCCCCACTGCCAGCCAAACAACAGGGGGCCCTTGCATCTTGACCCTAGCAGAAGGGCGAAGCGGTGGGGTCAAACGCCTTGAACATATCCTTGAGTGACGTTTGGTCTTGTTCGTCCGTTGTTCCCTTGTCATTATCCTTCTCGCCGTTACCGTCGCCTTCACTGGCGTTGTCTTTGGCGTGGCTGTCGGCCCCGTCTGGCGCCGGCACGGGCGCCCCCTGGGCCTGCTTGCTCGGCTGCCTGGGGTCAATGCCGTACTGCGGCCTGATCATGGGCAGCATTGGCAGGTTGTGCATGGCTCCCGGCTGCGCCAGCTGCTGCGTGGGCACCACCGAGGGCCGCAAGCGCGTCTGGCTGTAGCTGTTGTAGCGATCCTGCGCGTCGCCCGACCCCTCCGAGCCGATGGTCTCCAGCACCGAGCGGCGGACAAACGCCGCGTCGCCCTGCGTCTCACCCGGCGGCTGCTTGGTCTTGGGTATCACAAAGCGCCGCGGCTTCGATTCCCCGTCCGGTGCCACCGCCGCCGAACTCGCCTCCGCTTGGCCCTTCTCCGACTCCGTCTCGGCCGTGCCACCGCAACCCACGGTGGCCACCGTGGGTTGCGGCGTGCGGGGGTCGTACAGGTTGATGGAGCTAACGATGCTGCTCTGCCCTACGGCCGACGTGAGCCGCGGGTCGTACGGCGCCAGCGGCGTCGTGGGCGACTCCGCCTGCACCGCCGCCGCCCGGTCCGGCGAGCCGGACGCCCGCAGCTCCTTCGCCAGCGTCTCCACCACGGCCAGCTTCAGCAGCCGGGGGTCGGCCGCGGAAGCGGCGACGGCGCCGGCCGAGGCCGCCGAGGGCCCGACCGAGCCCTTGACGACACGAGGGTCCGCGGGCCGCTCTGCCGCGCCGCCCGCCCGGCCCAGCCGTGGGTCGGCGGGCTTTGTCTGCCGCACGACGAGACGGGGGTCCTGCGGCGGAGACGGCGCCGCCTGCGCGCGCACGCGGGGGTCCGCGCTGGCCGCCGGCGCCGGCACGGCTGCTTTCACCAGCGTCGGCAAACGGGCGTCGAGCGGGGGCAGCGGAAGCGGTGGCAGCGCCGGCTCCGACTTGGGCACGGGCAGGGGGATGAGGTCCTCCGGCTCCCACAGGACGAGGCGCGCAAAGTTGGGCTTGGAGAGCGACAGCTCGGTTCGGATGTGGCTGAACTGCTTGAGCTGCGAGCGGGGGTCACGCTGCTGGGCGCCGGGCGCCGGATCCAGCGGGATGGCCACCGCCTTCTCTCGCAGCTCCCGCTCGCCGTCCTCGTCGTCGCCCCCCGCCGCCGCCGCCACCGCCGCCGTCGCCGCCGCGGGCGCCTTGCGCGCGCCGCCATTGTACGCGTCCTTGGGCGTGCGGCCGGCCTGCCGCGGGTCGGCCGCCCCGTGCGCCAGCCGGGGGTCGCGGCTGGGCGCCGCCTGGCCGTCACCCGCTTGCTTGAGGCGAGGGTCGGCCGGCTTGAGACGTGGGTCCTGGGCTTGCGCGGACCCGGACTGCTTGTGCAGCCGTGGGTCCGCGGCGGAGGAGGGAGCCGCGGGGCCGCCGGGCCTTTGCTTGGCGTGGGTCTTGAGCGTCTTGAGGATGGAGCTCACGCCACCGCCCCCTTCCTCCTCGTCGCTCGAGTACCAGCTGACACCTTCTGCCGCACGACACGATGCCACCAGTCAGCACGAGCCGGTGTACGCGCGAGCACGATTGGATTACACACGGGCAGGCTTAAATCGGGACTAGCTTACGCGCTGGCAGGCTTGGAGACATGCACACAGAAACATGGTTACCATGCAGACATCCACACGGGCAGATACCCTGGCGTGTACATACGCACGTGCCCAGGCATGCTTGTCTACGGACAAGTTTACACACTGAAATGGTGACATGCAAACACCCTTACACATGGGTACATAACATAACAACAAGTGCCATTCGCCACTAAGTGGCGGTGACATCACCAGGGCGCTTGTGCCAGGCTATGTGCGCGTTTCGGCACACATCGACACACATACAGGCATGGTTACACACATTCTTACATTCACGACACACACACAACGACCCACTTATACGAACTCTTACCCAACAACACCCTGACACACAGACAATTACACACGGATTTTTACACAGAGACACTTATCCCTAGCCTAAGCAGTGAGTATAGCTCACTGCCATATCTTGCATTGCAAATGTGACAGAAACACTAAACGATGATTGTGTCAAAATCTTTTCAGTGCATATAAACACAATTTATACTTTATCGCTTACTTTAAGACGTTTATAATATCATTAACTCTTCTGTAACGACCATGCAACATTTGTGTTGCACTGTCTTCCTGCACCGCTTCAGGGTGGAGCAGGGGTGCTGTGGTTACCACACCGGCGAGTGGTATCGGAACAGGTCCTGGGCCCTCCCCAGGACCTGATAGCGATACTGACCCGCACGGACCAGCACGGTGAAGCGTGGCCAAGAGACTCAATATCAACACTGCACGGGGAGGCCTTCATCCAGCAGTGGATTGACAAAGGGCTGTACATGTGCGTACGGGTGCGCGGGCGGGCGAGCGAGCGCCCGAGCGATCGTTTGCCCTCACCCTCCTCCTTGTTCTGCTTCTCCTCGGCCTCGGCCGCCCTCCTCGCCATCTCCTCCCGCTCCTCCTGCTTCTGCTGGATCCTCATGAAGAGCGCTCGTTGCGCCGCCGGCAGGAAGTCCGGAACCGCGCTGGGGACCCCCTGCATGGGCCCATCGGGGCCCATCTCGCCGAGGGAGCACATCTCGGCCTCGACACCGCCGACGCCCGCAGCGCCCGCCATGGGGCCCGCGGGCCCCATCGGTCCCATGGGGACCCCGGAAGGTACCGGGGGCCCCAGCGGGGGCATCGGGCCACCCCCGACGCCCTTGCCGAACATCTGGGCGAGCTCGCCTTCGCTCACGCCGGCTTCTGGCATCGCCTCTGTGGGGCAGACGCGAAGGCAATGCCCGTGAGCGAGTGGCGACAATCATTCCTGCTTGGACTTCAACAGATAAACGGTCACGTGGTGGCAACGTTGAGCGACGCAGGTCACTCTTGCAAACGGGAATATCCTTGGTCTCTTGAGTTCTCAGCGGGTTAAAGCAAAATAAATTTGGAACTTGAAAATCTGCTGTGCTGCGTAAATGCCACTGTAGAAGAACCGGAAAACCTTTTCCTTCCCGAGGGCCGAATAGGACTTTCAAATAACTTAGGCGGGCCACACGTTCGCACACACCTCAGTCACTGATGTCACCATAAGAGGCCCTTGCAGTGACGGATATCAAGTGTTGTTGCCAGGTTGAATATAATCTCCACCTCGTACCCAATTAATGTGCCGAAAACGATTGCCGAGATGGATAGATCTCGCATATGGTCAATTTTAAAGCGGTGGGTCCCATGTGGGACCCACCCTGCGGGCTTGCAGGCTTCACATGCCTGAACTATAGGATCCCCCCCTAGAGTATATCCATTCGGAGTGTGTGTGAGAATCAATGATTTTCTTTTGTAATGGGTTCACGCGAGTCCCCTGAATTACTAGAAATATTACGGGGTCAAATTCTTGAGGTGAATTGTGGCTGCGTGCAAATGTGCGCAGGCACGAACACAGGCATGCGTGCACACGAACGCGCAAGCACAAACAGACGCTCGGGCCTGCACGGGCAGACAACCTCAACACACGAGGATGCGCAGTTGCACTCGCGAACACGCACATCGTCCAAGGAACGTGTGCGTACGCAGACGCACGTAGACAATCCAACACGCGCGCGCACGAACACACAAGCACGAAGCACGCGCGTGGACAGAGCGACAAATGTGCCCGAATACACACGAACCTGCGCTTTCCTCCGGCGGCTTGCTCTGCATCCTATGCTGCCCGAAGAATGACTCCAGGAAGCTCGCCACACACGCCGCCTGGTTTGATTGCTGCATGTGTATCTGCTGCTGCTGCTGCATCTGTTGCTGCATCTGTTGCTGCAACTGCTGCTGGTGGTCCGGGCTGCCCATGGCGTTGACACCCATTTGCCCGAGTGGGTTCAGTGGTCCCATCGGTCCCATCGGCCCCATGCCCATTGGGTGGTTCATGGGTCCCATCTGGTTTAGCATGCCTCCCATAGGCCCCAGGGGACCCATGGGGTTCTGTGCAGGGTTCAGGCCAGGCGTTCCCATCCTCTCGGGAGGCATGGCCATCATCTCCCCGCCACCCGGGGTACCCATGTTCTCCGTGCCTCCAGGCGGAACCAAGCCCTGCATGTCCACACCAGGACCCATGGCCTGGCCCATGTTCTGGACCATGTTCTGGCCCATGTTCTGGCCCATGTTCTGGCCCATGTTCTGGCCCATGTTTTGGCCCATGTTCTGGCCCATGTTCTGGCCCATGTTCTGGCCCATATTCTGGCCCATGTTCTGGCCCATGTTCTGGCCCATATTCTGGCCCATGCCTTGCCCCATGTTTTGGGGCATTCCCTGACCCATATTCTGGTTAATGTTCTGACCCATTCCCTGAGCCATATTCTGGCCCATTGCTTGTCCCATGTTCTGGCCTCCAGCTTGTCCCATATTCTGACCCATATTCTGGCCCATGGGCTGGCCCATATTCTGACCCATATTCTGGCCCATGCCTTGCATCATTTCTGGCCCAACAGGAGGAGGAGGCTGCATCATGTCGGGTGTGCCCGGCCCTGACATGGCCATCATGTCTGGACTAAGGCCGCCGGGCCCTATTCCCGGCCCCATTCCAGGCCCAAATCCAGGCCTAATTGGTGGTCCTGGCCCTGGAAACGGAGGCCGTGGCTGGTTTGGTCCAGGGAAGTTAGGCCTGCAGACAGAGAACACCAAAAGAGTGAGATTGTGAAATACATCAACAAACTCTCCCAGCATGTAGAAGAATAATGAACCACATCCAGTTTGATCGTTGTCTAGGTTTTTGGAAGATAAATGTGAAAATCTGGTGTTGAGTCATTTAAAGTTAATTTGCTTTTATATAGACTTTGCCAAATAACAAATAACAAGTTGGCTAAACAGCTGCAGATATCAGTTCCGAGAACACAAGTGGAAACCACAGCAGATTGTGTGTGCCTCCGGCAGCCCAGTGAAGGCCGACTGGGATCAGAATAATTAATTAAAGAGTTGAACGAGAGAAACTTATATCGTATGCATTTGGAAACACTGAACCTGATCATGAAAAATAGTATACCAAAGTGTTAAATCAGCCTATGCTCAAATCGCCCGGAATGGGCCAGGTCTCTTCAGAACTCAGAAGTTAAAACAGAGTTGTGCCTGGATAGTGCTTGGATGGGCGACCATGATGCATAAAAATGGTGTTAATGGCTAGTGCGGGCCTACCCGTCCAGCGCAGCAACATCCTTTGTTGTACTTCTACGCTCCCGCATCTATTCTTGCCAAATTCACCAACCTGCACTAATCAGTTCGGGTGAAGTATGGTCAAATAAGCCCGAAGACCCTCATCTCGCTAGAGGCCTGACAAAATAGGCTATACACGAGCATGCACGAAGCAGACCGATGACAGAGGCAACCGACCGACGCTGAGAAAGAGAAGAAACACAGAAACCCACGCTCACCGGACACCCATCTTGTGCGCCAGCTGTGCCGTCGGCTGCACCACAATCTCAAACAACGAGGGGATCTTCTTGTTCCCTTGTTGCTGCTGCCCTTGCTGCTGCTGCTGCTGTTGCACTTGCTGCTGCCCAGCTTGTCCCGGTGGCCCCGGCAGCCCGGGCGGCCCCGGCGGCCCCGGCTGGCCCGTCGGCGGCGGAGGCGGTCCCAGAATGCCCGACCGCGGATTTCCGCCGGACGACGACGACGAAGGCCCTGGGCTCAAACAGTCCTGATGCGACGGCGAAAGCGGCTGCTGCTGGTGCGTCGGCGACATCTGCTGCACCGGCAGGCCGGAGGAGCCCTGCTGCTGGCCGCCCGCGCCACCCGCGTTGAAGTTGGGCGTGGGCAGCAGGCCGACGCCCGGCGGGGGCTTCGGCAGCGGGGTGATGCCGAGCTTCTTAAGCTCCTCGAGCTCCTTCTCGTCGTCGGCAGCGCTGGCCTCCACCTCGTTGCTTAGCACCTGCCAAGCGCAACGGCCATCGTTGCTCTGCATTACACGCTGGGCAAAGTGGGACGGACAAAACGCTGTACATGTGCTGTGCGATTAGCCACGCACACTTTGGTCGCTCGCGATGCGATCAGCAGAGAAGCCGGGGAGTTGAGCCAGACCCAGAAACCAGAACCGGTGACTGGAAATAACCCTTTAATTTGTTACAGGTTGGGAGCTTGCAGCTGAATGTCGAACCGAAGTACTTTTTTCCAATGAGGAATGAAAATTATAAAGCCAGATTTGAGTTACCGGTGCGAACCGGTTCAGATAAGTTTTACATCGAAATCTATGCTGTCAGCAGCTGTCACTGCATGCTGCACGCTGTCGCGAGCATCTCAACAATACAAATGCTCTTCTCCCCGCGGATTCCTGACTCCACGTGCGAAGGCCGAGGTGTGAAGCAGTGAAACACGCACAGAACACACCAAACCGGACAAGCAATCGGTTTGACTCCCTGGATAAAACATTGACATTAATTATATAATAAAATTGAAACTGTTGATATGGCTGGATCACCTAGAATGCGCCTTGTGTCTTGACAAGAGCTTGGAGGCTAAGCAAGTGTGAGCCTGGATGGTGGTTGGATGGGTGACTATCATACACAACACCGGTGCTGGGGGACTTGTCAGCAGAGGACAGCACAGCAAAATTAATCATTGTACTGTACTATGCTCTGACATCTGCACTCTTCACCAACACGCACCGACCAGGGTGAGTGGGTAAGGCCAAATAATTCCCACAACCGCCGCGGCACAGGGAGGGCTATCATCCATAAGTGAACTGACAAAAGGCGCTTTACACACATACATATCCCAATCATTTTACACCTTTGACCGTTAACTCAGAATCATCTTGCCACCATGGTCATGTGCAAAGGATGGCCAGCTGTGCCCACAATGGGCTTATTCTGTTTCAGATAAAATCTTGATGCAAAGTAAAAAAAACACTTGCTGTATCTCTACGGTGCTGTGCTTGAACTGAGACTGAAGTGGTCGGGCTGTTGCATGCGGTTTGTGAGCGGTGGTCTGGCCACCTCTGGCTTGTGTGTTCGTGACGGGGCCTCACCTTATCAAGTATTTCCTTGGTCTCCTCGGTGAGAGGGTCGTGCGAGAACTTGCAGTTGTCGCCCTGGAAGCAGGTGACGCCCATGTGAAAGTAGCGGCACGGGTAGTCCTGTGCAGCAGGCGCCGTTAAGGAGCTATCGGCAACGTCTTGAGTACAGGGCAGGCCAGCAGAGTTTAATTTCAGCTGGGTCTGTATGGGTCAGAATATTATTCTGCACCCGGCACATCAATTCCGGTACGTCTCTCACCATGATAGTGGCTATGAGCAGACATGCCTACTCTAGTCTACTGGTCATAGGTTGTAATTCCAGCCTGATGTGGAGCTATGTTACAAGGCGGTTAGCACAGGGAAGTGCTGAAAAATCCACTCGTGTACCAATCTTCTACACTCCCAAATCTACGCTCTCTCCGCCTGCACGCCAACCCACACTGACTGGCAGGCGTGGTAAACTCTGGTTAGATAGCCCTCGTGGACCTACATGGCGCGGGTAGGTCCAGATTAACAAAATGCGATGTACAGGCTCTCCATGATCCAACTAGTGTTCTAAATCACAGGCTATATATTCCCTATTACTCATTGTGTCCCCTATCAATGTGTTCACGATCATTCACCGGGGTGGAGTGGTGGCGCAGATGGACGATGTCCATTGCCTACCTTGTATTAAAACATTACTTACTGTTTAACCTCTTTACAGATTTGCCACGGGTTTCGTGTAATTTTCTGCCGTTTTTGCTGACGAATTTGCAATCCCCTCCCTCCAGTTTCCTCCAACTACCGCCGACGTTCTTGGGCTGCGGTCGTCCTTGAGCTGCCGAGCTCAATGGGCCTTAACCAGCTGAAATAATAAAGCATGATTCTACCAATGACACTTAAAAAGGCCCAGCATGCTGTGCGGCACGCGACTGGGCACAGACCCAAGCAAAAGGATATTGTGCATGAAGAGGCAGAAATCTCCCTTGACGCAATGTCCGTTCTGGTAGAACTTGCACACCTCCCGCTTGCGGTTGGGCATGTCGTGGCTGTACTGGCAGTTCTCTCCCTGTGCAGAGGACGGGAGACGAAGACAGGCCACTGGTGAGACCTTGGGGAGTCAATATCTCGGCTTTGCAACCTGTGCTCTTGGGCGCGCGCACGCAGAGCGGCCAAGCGCGGAATAGAAAACAAACGGCAGCGTCGTCGTTGGAACGCGATTTAGAATCGGAAGGTCGCTAGTTCTAAGCCATGATTTGGTGCCTTCACGGGAGCGAGGGTGGCGTTAAAATGAGTAGCTTTGTGGGAAGTCAACGCAGCCTAGGTACACATCTACAAGGGCTGTGTGCTTTTAACGCTTTCCGAGGTTGAAACCACCTATGAATGAGCTGTTGTTGTAATGGTAGGAGGGGGCGGGGGGGCATGAGTGCACTTTCGCTCTCGCAAAGATCGTCCAATCCGAGTGAAAGGTCAGCGTAAGGTTGTGTTGCTATTAGGGACAAATGTGAGTCAAAAACTGGCCAAATTGATCAAAGGGTTTGGCACAAAACTTAAAGAAACAATTCAGAGCAAAAAGGAACAAGTGCAAATATGCATACGTGCTTTCCCCTCGGAGCGACCCATCGGCTTCTGCACTGCTAATTAAATACAAACGCGTGTTGTTACATAATCCACACGTGAGCTTGTTTTATTCTTAACTTGTTTTGGATTGCGTCTCCTTTTGAGTCAGATATGAATTTCTGCGAGTTAATTAGTTCAGATCAGGTCACATTCAACGGACCAGTATTCACGTGGGCTTAATAGATCAGGGTTACGTTTGGGTTTATTAGGCCATGGGTCCACGTGGGTCAATTGTTCAATTGGGTGTATCAAGTCAAGAGGTTCTCGTGAGTTTGAGGTTGTGTGAATGTAGGTTCATTAGCTCAGGGTTTCAGTTGGTTTATGTAGGCCATCTATTTATTTCATTAGGTCATGGATCATGTGAATGACTTAAGTCATTACTTCATGTGAATGCATTAGGTCCCTTCTTAATCAGGTGAAGGATTTATGTTTTGAGTTCATTAGGTAATATGTTCAAGTGGGGTTATCAGGTCATGAGTTCATTGGTCAGGGGTTCACATGGATTCCCTAAGCTATGGGATGATTACACGAGGTTCTCCATCAGGTCAGACATTCGTTTTCAACGACACGTGCCTATGGCCAACCGCTCTGGGCTGCTTATGACTCGAATCTCAAGAACATACCTACAACACATGGGGATACCATGCGTTTTGGGTAACTATGGGTTGCGAGGTAGCCAGGAGATGGTAGTAGATCAACGGATACTTGAATCCTAACCGTGCAGAGCATCGAGTGTCCGTGTGGAGGACTTTCTCGGTATACTCGAGGAAATTCCCACACTAACAATATTGGCCAAACATCTCAATGCAGGTCACTCATGATAAAGTGTCTTGAGCATCAGTGAGGCCTTCTTGTGTAAAATAAAGGGCATTATTGTTCATTATGAAGCCCAGAGGCATCATTCAGGGGGTCAAGAGTTGAATGCTCCGTGAGTGCCCCATTAGATATAAAATTCATGCATCATGTTTGTGGGTTCATAAGAATACATTTGGTCACTGTTAATTCAAGTTCATCGGTCAGCGGGTTTCTTTTTAGTCGATGAAGGGGTTGTTCTTTTACATTCATTCGATCATGAGTTCATACATTTTGTAATTGCATCAGTCATTCGTTTGGGTTCATTCAGAGTCATTGTTGATTTTTCCACAAAATTATTTTTGTAAGTTCATTAGGTCAAAGTTATAAGGCCAGGGGTCTAATTAGGCCAAGGGTTTGCACGAATTTATAAGGCAAAGGGTTCATGTGGATCAATAATAGTAATTCATGATCTTTTCAAAAGTATTAATGTAGCGGCCTTTAGTGGCTGGAGGGATCACATAACCAACCTTACATACAGTGCATACAAATATAGAACCGTCGATTCTTAGGCACCAGTCCAATGCATGTATCGAGAAATAAGGAATGGCCATTAATCAATTAATCGATGTACGGGCCGATCCCGACATAAGGTCGCGAGTTGGTAAGGGCAAGATTTGTTTCGAGGTAATTAAGCCAGTAGGAGTTAATGAGAGGTTGTAAGATCATGGGGTCATCCTTGGTTTATCGGCTCACACGTTTATTTGGGCTGACATGTTCGTGGGGCCAGGGTCATCATCCTTGTGCTTTCATTGGGCCATGCTCCGTTGTGCCCCACTGTAGGATCGTATATATTCATTCATATGCGCAAAAAGGTTAGTGGATTCTCAAGAGGTCACTAGGTCAGGGAACTGTGCTAGTTCATTTGGTCAAGCTTCCCGACTTCATGACGTCAGGGGTATGTGATTCACATAAGTACATTAGGTGACGATTTACACATTTTCACTTGGCCAGCAGTTTTGCCTGGGTAAATAGGAATGCATTAGGTCGAGCGTATGTGTGGGTGCATTGCAGTTCATTAGGTCATGGTTCATAAGAGTTCATTATATAAGTATTAATGTGAGTTCACTAGGTAATTAAGTCATGTTTATGTGAGTTCCCGAGACCTAGAGTTGCACAGTGCATGGTCAGATATGAACCTGTGCATCAGGTTCATGGATTGATAGTTCATGAGATCATTAGATGGGTGGGGGTGGCGGGGGCGTGAGAGTTAATGAACTCGAGATTCATAAAAGTTCATCATGGTTCACAAGGTCGGCGAGTTCAATAAGTCAAGGAATGTGGTTTCATATGCATTCATCAGGCCAGGATTTAAATAGGTCACAGATCGTGTGCTTCCATGCGGGTTCATGTGCTGTGGACCATGGGTTCATATGCTCATTAGGCTATGGGTTCACAGGAGTGCATTCAGTTATGATTTCATTAATTCAGTGGGTTGTGGGTTTAAAGATCATGTGTTCAAATATATCCAAGGATTTGCACTGGGTCACACAAGTTAATTAGGTCAGGAGTTGAGTACAAAGTCACGGGTCAATAAAGTAATTGGTTGCCATCATCCCCCTGAACGAGAATTCATTTAAATTCACACGATCACGGTTCATAAAGTCTGGGTTGAAGTGGGTTCATAAGGCCAGAGGTTGGTTGACTCACACTAGGATTTCATTACCGATGGTTCAAGTAAGTTGATCGTCACGAGTGCTTCGAAGTCATTATTTCTGTGTTTATCAGCTCAGATGTTCATTTGGGTTCACTTTTTTGTGCATTCATTATGGCATCATCATTCTTCTTGTGCATTCATTATGGTCACAGGTTGCATTGTGCACTCGTGTAGGCAAGGGGGTTTTGTTTGGGGGGGGGGGGGTCAGATATTCATTTTTGCATCAGGTTCAGGTCTCAACGTTTTCTGCCGGGGGGGGGGAGATAAAAGGCAGGGGTGGTGGCGAGCAGTTTTCTTCTGCATGAGTCGGCTCGGGGGGGGGGGGGGGGGGGGACACTGCTTCATGCATCAGGTCATGCGTCCTATGATCTCTCTCGTGTCTCCCGGTCCCACGGCGCACACGACATCAGACTCGTCCCGCCAGTCTGCGGCGGTGAGGGGGGGGGTCTCGCTGGGACCGGTGCCGTGAATGTATCGGTGCACGGCAGTGGTTGGGAGAGTTATGCTGTGCATCAGGTCATTAAGAATGCTGTTTGAATGACGGGCTGGTGAGTTTGTAACAACTTGTTTTGTTGTTGTTTGATCCTGCGAATGCCAAAAAGTGAAAAAGGAATGGAAAGTGAGAATGGGGTCGGGCGAACGCTCCAGAGGTAGAGAATGGGGTCCGAGGTAGTGGAAGTGTTAGTGGCTGGTATTGCTGGTTTCTGGTGGCACATGCCTTGTGGTGGAATGCTTTGAAGGCAAGAGTTGGTGGGTCATGTAGATTTAGGCTGAGGTGGCCAGGATATGGGTTTGTGAACTCATCTGTGCGGATCTTTTGAGTGTGCTTTACTGTTACATGCCGGGTACTCCCGTTTCCACCCACACGCCTTAAAATTGGCTTGTGCAAACATCCCAAGGCAAGGCCCTCCTAAGAATCGTGCTACTCAAGTGAGGTTTTTTTGGACAAATCACATCACTGTTAGTTACAGCTAGGGGTAGGACTGACATATGTTTGGGCAACGGTGACTGTGCAAAAATGTAGGCAGGTGGTAAATTATCGATTCATCAATTAAAACTGATTCTTACGCCCACGATTGTACGAATTGAATCATGCACGTAAGAATCAACCATTTTATGTTTGTGCGAATGAAACGTAATAGTTACCCTCAAGCTACCGGAACAAGGTAGAACAAAAAACAAGACAGAACGATACATACAATACAAATAGGGATGTAGAATAATCAATGCATTTAAGTCGTGATGCCATATCTTAAAATTCAGTTAAGTGGCGTAGCTATCGAGTGTGCAGCCACAGGGGCTCGGCCGGGGGGGGGGAGCCCATGCATCGGGCTATGAAGGAAGAGGGGAATTTTGGGCAGGACCCATTTCATTCCTTGCACCAGGACCCCGTGCCAGCCACGTGACGCCGTTGCTGGGAATGGAATGAGTGAATCGCCCACTCCTGAGGGGCAGCCTTTTGACTCTTTGTTCACTTTTCATTTTTTTGGCGTCCCCACCCCCCCCCAACTACCCCTCATCACCGTGCATTTCTTATCGCATGACGAGGGGCTCAGTCGGTGGACTCAGGTCACTGTGCATCAGGTCATTGTGGTGAGGGGCGAGGGGGGGGGGGGCGGAGGGATGGGTGGAAGGCCATCTAGCGGAGCACCTTGACACAGCGGCCCTCCAGATAGAACTTGCAGATGAGGTGCGCTGTGCTGCCCGTGTGGTTCTTCTTCTTTTTCTTGCGGGGCGGGCACACCATCTCGCCCATGTCCTGTGGAACAAACGTGAACCGTCAGCATCGGGACAGATGCACGCACACGCCCGCACGCCCCCACACCGCCGGTAACGCTCGTTTTTCCCGGCCGACGCAAACTTTTCGCGACGTTAAGACGTCGGGGTGGGCGACGGTAGCCTCACCTCGTAGTGATCGTAGTGCATGTCCATGTCTTCCATGTGCTCCATTTCCCGCATGTGCAACATTCGGCCCCGACCACGCCCGCCTTTGCCCTGGCCTCTGCCCCGGCCCCGGCCACGCATCCTGGCGCCTGGGGGAGGGTCGGGTCGGTAAAGCAGCAGGAGGGGGGAGGGAGCGAGCGGAGAACAGCAGCACGGTTAGCAATGAGCAGAAATTGGTCGGCATATAACGACACATCATCACATTATTATATGAATGTAATAAACAGCCCCTTTGTCAATCAACTGCTTGATGAAGGCCACCCCATGCCGCATTGGTCTAGGCGGCTGAGTTTTCATATTTCACCACACAGTTAGTCATGGTTGGGGATCGAGCTCAGCTCATCGGGGTGATTTATAGAATAACATCGCTTAAACTTGATTTTTATTACGCTCACAGTACATGTATCAAATCATGTAAGTCAGTCAATAATTAACAATTAAAGCTAATTATATGCAAGTGATATGCCATTGTTAAATTTTTGGTCATGTATTGAGCAAACTTGAAAAATGAGACGGACAAAAATTTAAACAGTAAAATCAAGACTGATTCATGAGACTGAATCGCAGCCTGAAATCGTGACAATTCATAGAAAATTTCTGGGGGAGGGCAGGGAGAATCAGCGCGCTCATTTGAAGCTTAGTTATTGACGGGCGAAAGAGACTTTGACGCGACGGTCAGACACGCCATTGTGGCCCCCTCACCACGGTGCCCACGCAGATGGCCCTGGGACTCGCGGTATTGCTTGAGCTGGCAGGCAAAGTCATCGTCCTCCTCGCCCTTGTATTCCTCCTCGTACTCGTCAAACCTCCCCCCAATGCCGCCGCCAATGCCGCCGCCGCCGATGCCGCCAATGCCGCCGCCACCGCCGATGCCGCCAATGCCGCCGCCGCCGTCGTCCACCTCTACATCACCACCGCCGTACTCTTGGTACTCGGGGTACTCCGGCTCTGGGGGCTCGTCCATGTAGGGCTTGGGCTGTGTGGGACAGTGGTCAGAGGGCAGTAGGGATGAGGGTTGATTATTATTATTCATCGTGTGTTCCCCTTTATTCATTGTGTTCATGATAACGATTTGTTCTTGATAAGAGCGAACTATACGCCGGGGCGTGTCAGAGCGCTTTACATCACGTCTCATCTCAACCGCATTTGAAATGGGACCTCCCAGTGGCACCCGTTCCTTAGACTGGTATTAATCTGCCAGTAGGGAGCAATAATTGCTGTACACGGTACACACGATCCTCCTCTGACTAATGACATCAGGGCATCTTTAATGGCCGCTGCGAAGCAGACGGCGCTTGGTACTTTTAAGGTTACACACCGCGGCCAATAAATTCGTAACGTGAACCTCTGCAACAAGCGACGACGGCGCTACCACTCGGCGGCCACGTAACCGTCTTGCCGATTACCCATCGGGTATTCCCTATTTCACAGTGGTTCCCAAGCTGTGGTCCGCAAAGGCTGTGGGAAGTGATCCAAGGAGAAGCTGCCGATGCGATTGTTCAAAATAAAAACACCTTATTTTTTTGAATGCAAGACGGTATGTGAAATTCTTTGGGAGGGTTGACAGTGGCCCTGTGGGTTCAGAGAGGTTGGGAATCACTGCCATATCATACATTGTATATGTCCAACCCTTTTGGCAATCCACTTTTAGATGAGGGCCTTCCAAAGTGGGAGTTATTTTACCATACTTCACCAAGCTGGTCAGTCTGGGATGTCAAAGGAAGGGAGTAGATGTGGAATAGACACAGTATCATAATAATGGATTTTTCTGCACTGCCCTCTGCTGACTACAACATAGCTCTATGGCAACCTATTGGTGCATGGTTGCTAACCAGAAAAGTGCCGTCTACGCTCAAAGCTGCTTAGCTCCCAAGGTCAGATGAGATCACACGCATTCTGGGGGTGATTTGGTGAGAGGCTACACGAATGTTGGCCTTAATAATAATCTTTGTTTATCCAGTAAAGCCTAACTGAGCCTCAATACTTTATCAGGAGGATCCTTACAATGGGGCCATTGAGCCAATGCCTTCTTAGAGAAGGAACGCTTTTCACTGTACGGGAGTAAATCAAAGTGCCCGGAGAAAGCATATCGAGGAGGATAACACTCAAAAGAGATCAGTCTGGACAGATAGGTACAGGAACCCACTTGGTGTACTCCCTTGGGTGGGTAGTGAGGCTCGTAGTCCCTGTAGTTCTTCCTGTAGCCTCGGTTGTCACCAGCTCCATAGTCTGACTCCTCGCTGTTTTCTGAAAACTCGTCGCTTGAAGGGGAGTGCCTCTGTAAAAGACGGCAAAAGCAACGTCATCATCACCACCACCATCCTTGTCCTTACGACCCTAAATATCCTCACTGTCCAGTAGTGCAGGTATCAAGTAGTGTACAGGTGCTACTGTACCGGGACCCACAGGCCCAAGCAGGGGAAATTGGACAGGAGCCAATTTAATTTAACGGCACCAAGGCCCAATGCATCGATGCTATTCCACTGTCAGTGTCATTAATATTGAAACCGCATACCATCTCATTATAACCCTCAACATTAACATAATCGCCAAGAACAACATTACCATTGGCCATCACCAGAGACATCCTTGTCACAGCCATCTTAAGAACAATAATCGTCATCACCACGATTATAGATGACGCTGATGGTTATGTTAGCCAACAAAACCGCCACCTTCATCACCACCTTCATCACCAATTTCATTTCCATTCATCATCACCTTCAGTATCATAACTATCACCCTCATTATAACCACCATCAATATCATAATCACGAATTTAATTATCGATGTAGTTATCACCCTCAATGTACATCCTTGTCAACATGGTCATGAACACCCAACTCAATTGGTTACAAATGCCTGCCACCCCACATCCTACATGTACGTCTGTGTTGAATGGAATAAACTGTTTATATCATTAGCCGTAGAGCTGTGACTATTGCATCAACCCGGCCCAGGGAGCGCGAGGGACCTCACCTTGTGTCCATGTTTGTCCCTCCGCCGCCGCTTGGACCTACGCTTCTCCTTCTCTTTCTCCTTCTCCTTCTCGCGCTCCTTCTTGCGCTTCTTGCGGGAGCTGCGGTGGCGCTCGCGCTCACGGTCCCGCTCGCGCTCGCGGCTGCTGCGGTCCTTCTCTCCGTCTGAGTCGCCCCATTCTCCTCCTCCTCCGCCGCCGCCGCCGCCGCCGCCGCCGCCGCCGCCACCGCCACCACCACCGCTGCCGCGGCTGCTGCTGCCACGGCCCCCTCGGCCACCATCGGGTGAGTGCTGCTGCTGCTGCTGCTCAGCGGCATCGTCATCTATCTCTCCATCCTCCAGCTCACCCTCCTCCCTGCACGGTGAGAACATATACGTGGGTTAGCCTTTTCAAATGTATGGCGAGAGCTGTTCGTAATCACCTATTAAGGACGATTTGGTACACAGGGGGGGGGGGGGAGCTGGTATAGCCATCACCATGCATGCTCAGCCACTTCATCTCCCCACGCCACACCAGATGTATGGTAGAGGGCCAGGATGGGTTTCAGATGCTGTGATGTTATCCGTGAGCCACTAATCAAACCCAGGATACCGGTTTCCTAGTGCAGTACGCAAACCACTCCACCATTGCTCCCTTCACAAACACACACAGCCAGATCCTACACCAGCTAGACGTCAGGAGGAAAATGTATATGCCTATGGCGTGCACTGGTCTCTACACAGGAGAACCACTGCCAACTTCTGAAAAAGTTTCATTCGTTTTATAGATCCCGTTCATATGATGATGGTAAAGAAAGAGGGAGTTTGACCCCCAACTAAGAGGGTGAATAGAGTGAATATTTCACCGACTGCTGGTGCAAGTGCTGTTAGCCAGCACTGATTTAGGCTGGAACGGTTAAACAGCAAGCAGGTGAGGTCAGCTCCGGGTCTGGCCACCTTAGCCTGCACAGTTCTAAGCTTATACACTGCACCAGGTTCTCATTGAAAGGAGTCAGTCTCAACGAGGCCCGGAATCAGATGTTCCTCGCCACCGATTGGTAGCCCTGGCCAGGAATCGGAATTCAGGTCACTGGAGAGTGCAGTGCGCTAACCACTGTCCCACCGCTCATTTGTACACACAAACGCACGCTCTTACGTACAACAATTCAGCAGGTGCGCAGGGGGCACGCATCAAGCCAGGAATAATTACTCTTATTGAATAAAACTTCACTGACCCTGTACTGAGCCAACAAGTAGAAGTAGGTCAAACAAACCCCCATGACTGACACGGTGAGGGGAGGCCTTCATCCAGCAGTGGACGTGTTAAAAAGTGCAGTAATAATTTAATCAAGTGCACGTTTTACGAGCATGATGCCGATCACAATGGCCTGGCTTGCTTGCTGCCGTCACCGCCACAGCTGTGTGCATGTCCGGGCTAGCCTCCCACTGCCGATGAGTGGTATAAATAGGTTTACATTGCGTGCTGTCACATATGGGTCAGAAAAGTAGACACTGACCAAGAAAATATGTTAACGCTCCAAATCGTGCAAAGAAGAGGGAAGGGGCGCCTGCTTAGAATTATAGGCAGGAGGAGGAACACATGGAGTAGATAACACAAAGATCCCCCGCAAGGCCTAAACAGACTGTCGGGGCAAGTGCTGTTAGCGAGCAGCACCTATGAAGGCCGGCACGGCACACGGGGGGTGAGTTGCCAACACCACACCCAGCCACTTTTGTCTCCCCAGTGGTGATGTTTACACACTGCACCCAATACTCAATTGAGGCCGAGTCGATCAAGGGGAGGCCCATGATCGGTTCAAATAATCGTCACCGGTGTTGACCGTGAGCGGGAATTGAACTCGGGTCGCCGGGTTCGTATTGCAGAGCTCTAACCGCTACACTACTGCGTGAGTATGTGTGTGCAGATGACACATACACACACACACGAGAGACATTATATTGACCGTAGGGAAACGTAACTGACATTGGGCGGAACTTGTCACGAGAGGGAATGGTGGCCAGTGGTGGAGACTAAGAAAAGGGTGACGGCGGAGAGATCACACAGATACAGGAAAGGGTGACTGTAAGGGTGTTTGTAGAAGTACACGTCCGAGACTGACTAGGTACGAGTGTGACGGCATGTTCGTACGAGTCTATTCTATGATTGTAAGTGTACACGAGACCGTGTGAGAGAAAGTGATTAAATTAGTATTATGTTTAAGACTGTAACCGTAGGTGTAAATTACAGATGATCGTGTGAACACATACGAGACTGAGTGTTGCGTATTACTGTGTGAGCATGTGTCAGCATATGCGTTTAGATTATTTGGCTGCTATAAATGTCCATGTGTTAAGCCACTTCATTGAGCTATCATTTGTGACCAGGTCGTTTCTAAAACATAAACTAATAGCTAAGTGGACTTTACCTGCTACAAATAATGGTTTCGTTTTATTTGTATATATTTTTTTGTGAATTTACCTTTCCTATAATTTGCACTCATTGTGTTTTCATATCGTTTATTGTAGTAACGTTCTGAGCCCGTGCCCCTACTGTACATCTGTGAAAAATAGCTTCATAGCTCATCGGAACTCCTCCTCCGGTATGAACAAATATTGATTCATCTAGAAAAATTACGCCGATAGCACAGCTGGAATAAAACCGGAGTGATGATAACTATAACAATGATGCCTCGGCAGTGACACCACGGGCCTTACAAATGGCTCTCGCGGGAATACAATATTGCTCAAACGTGTTTTCCAAGACCTAATGTTGTCGAGGCTACAGACAACACGCAGTTGTGGGCTTAGCGGCCACAGTACGTAACGAACACGCCGGCTGCCACCGTCAATCATTCTCGGCTCCCAACATCGCTGGCCATCGCCTATTTGTGGTTCGTGTGAAAACTTTAGGGGCTACAGTTTGGCGGCAGCGAACAAGCTCACCCAGGGCCTAAAGAGGCACCGGCGAAAACATTCATGGCAACTTGTGTGTATTGTCCTCAATTAACGCAAGAGGACGAAGCCAGACGTGGGACACTGCATGGAGCGGACCTTGTAAGTCAGATAACTTAAAACTACTAAACTTAGCAGAAGGCATAGTGATATGTGCCAATGCCGACAGAAATTCCACCAGTTACATGTTGCCCAAGACCTTGAAAATGTGATAACCTTTTTCAAATGAGTACTTTCAGTATTTTTCTTGAGTTTTGTGGGTTTTTTTAAACATTTATCAATGGAATGATGTAAAAGTTTTTATACATAAGTCTACAGTGGTCATCTATGTATGTTCTCACGGCCATAGCAATGTAGATTTTCCACCACCGGCTGAGGGATGTAAAATATTAGATGAGTGTTGCTCCAAAACTCGTTTTTGATGTCAACCCACATTGACCCTACAAATGTCTTTTTAAAACTGACCATCGTCAACTCTCTACCTGTGTTCACATCCAGGCTAAAGGCCTTTTCTACTTACATCGGCTTTGGCCACATCGCTGCCCGGCCGATTCGGGAGTTGCGCAAGTCTGCGCGATGCGTTCACCCTTCCGCCTCCATCGCGGTGGATTGCAGCCACGTGCCGCCAAACACGACCATAAATAATCTAACCTCTACCTGCGCTATGCCACTTTTGCTTGAGGAAGGTGGGAATCGAATTGGATCGAATAATCGTCGCATGTCTGCCTGCGTCCACCTCCCTTGGTTGGCATGGCCAACCCCAGATGGACTGGATACCGTTGCCCGCTTACAACCTCTCAGACCCCAAAAAACCTCACGTGTAATCTTGTATATGCACACCCACTGATCGTGACTTTTAAAATCCTCTTTTACTATTTCAAATTCAGGTTGCAGTTGCAACGCCTGAACACTAAAAAGCTACGCCACTGACAGATGCCTGCAGTGCCCAATTTCAATCCAGAAGTCGGGCTCCGTTGGTCGTTATTCTGCAAGTGCCGCGACGTGTACGATAGGTGAAACGATTCTCAAGGAAATTCGATGAATTGTCACGATTCAGGGTCACATGATTGAAAAATCCACTTCTTCATTTAACAGTGGTTGCAGAAGTGCCAAGGATCCATTAACAAACAACACACACCAATCGAAAAATATATCGATTATGAGACGTGTGAAACCATGCATGTACGGCGAGCTAAATAATCCACATTTATCAAATGTTGAATCGTTCAATCACGAACGTTGATGGCAGGAGTGGGGAACCTATCTGGGCCATGTCCGGCACAGGGAAATAATTTTATACGGCCATTAGTGATGCGAGGCCGACAACTTTGGAACGGCCCGCAAAATATATTGTTTAACACGTACTAGTGACGAATTGGCATGTTCTGTTTACGTGACAACCCTTACTAGTTGGCTGTCAGGTGGTGGCGGGTTTTAACGACAATTTATATATTTACGCGATGCAACCCAAAAAAAACCTCTATTGTGGAAAATATATTATATCCGTCATTGCAAGCACTTGAGCAGCACTGATCAGGTACTGGAGGGGAATCTTTTCCACCAGGCAACAACGCTGCGTTTCCAATTTTAGTGCCACACCAATCACTTCTGTCACTGCAGATGCTTCTTGCAGTGACGGAAGTGGTCGAGCTGCAGTGCAATTAATGCGTGGCCAGTCAACGTTATTTGAAAGTTCTAACCCTCGGCAAGAAGCTCGCCCCCACACCTCCCACCGGTCTACGCTGTCAGCTGTCCTCAGCTTAATAAACGTTGTGTTCTCTCTGGCTGGCAATTTGGCTGTGTAAATATTCCCTTTATACACGACTGCGCAATTGTTTGAGGGTTCCGAGGGTTGCACAATGCTCGAGCATTCAAACAGATTTGACATTGGAATTCCCGAGCGTTTCCATGCCCTAAGAGTTTTTGGTGGTGCTCACCTCTGTTTGGTGGCTCATAACCTGTAGTGTTAACTCCAGGATTCGCTAAATTCACGACTGGGAGTTGAATGTCAACTCCATATTCGTATGAGAGGGACCAGTCTTTAAACAACTAGACACAATTTAACCCCACCTCCCATGCCATTGCCCCCATATCCTGCAAGTGTCAAAATGTGACGTTTTGATTCGATTAAATAATGTAAATAAACCTTTGCCGCATTTTTGTCTCAATTGCATTGCTCTTTTTGTTGTTCTTACGGGTTTGTTCATTCCACTCGTCTACGTGTAAAGTCGCACGTCACATATTCGAATTGCGTGACAGTAAATTTCTTGCACGCGCAAACGTCACGGGAAATTTTTTTTATTTAAATAGGTGAATCTACTCGTCGTTAAGTGTCTATTAAACAGCACACCGATGACTGGCCATGGTGTTACTATTCATTTTAGCGACCCGAAAGGCATAATGCCAATAATCAAATCACCCAGG